GTTTCCCTGCAGCAACACTTGCACCAGATACATGTGCTTGGTTTCGTGTTTTCTGTCGATAAGATTCTGTAATTACTAATATAATATACTTTCATGAGTATAAAATAGAATAAAAGTATGTTATCATATTGGTGTTACTTCATTTCATTTCAACACTGACAACAGGATGTTTTTAAATGCCAACAACATTTCATTGGCACTGTCTGGGTATCATCTGCTCCGAAACATTCACTAATGAAGCCATCCGGTTTCTTTATGAACAAGAGCACATGTAATGAAGAGGAAATCCTCTGTTTAGTTGTTATTTTATTTTTAGTTGAAATGTGTTCTAGTACCAAATGGCATTATGAAATATGTGAATTGAAAAAGGCATTAGTTAGATTTCGTATGTGACCAATATCCTCTCAGAGTGCAAAAATAGTACTCTTAATTAAAAACACTCAACTGGCTTCAAACTTTGTTGTGGATATGAAGAGTAGACCCTCTTTCTTGTCATGATTGCAATAAAGCAGCAGTATGATAATAAAAGTATGTAAAAAGTGTATAAGGAATAGTGTGTACTGGTCTATTGGCTGTCTATCTAATGAGCATTGCATGCTCTGATGTTCATCTATTTGCCACATTGAAACAGTTTAATGAGGTAGAAAGTACTAGTTTTAAAATGTGCAGATAAGGGGGTGTAGTGGTGTTTGGACTCCATTCTAAAGGCAGTGGTTTTAAAGGAACATTATAGTGTTAGGAATACAAACGCATATTCTTAACACTGTAGTGCCCTTCTTACTAGTTAGGTGACCACCCCCAAACCCCATTTCTACTAAATAATGCTACCTTCCTGACTCCAAGGCTGATCTCATCAAGACTGAAGATCTCAGCCAATTCAGTGCTTTCCCTATCTGAGGGAGTTAGAGCACAGGGGCCGGGTTTTCCAGCTCCATCTCTGACTTTCTCCTAGAGCGCTGGACCGTAAGGCTTGTGGCTGCACCAGCAGCCCTCTGGATCACCAGGGAAGCCACCGGATCACTAGGGAATGCATCTGTGCCTATGATGTAAATAGAAGGGGGACAAATGTTATATAAAATAAAAGGCAATTTCTGTGTGGGGAGACTGACTTTTAACACAGCTGTGACTGTGTGTGACTCTATGTGTGAGACAGCGTGCTTGTGTGCAACTGTGTTAACGTGACTGTGTGTCTATGTGCCTGTTACAGTGTGTGTGACTGTACAAGATTGTGTGTTACTGTGTGCATGGGACATAGTGCAATATATAATCAGGGGTCAAGTCCTGGGGAATAAAGTGTGGGAACTCACCCAAGATCCACCGCCACCCCACACCCCTCAAAAAACAAAAACACTCGTATGCATATATAAACGCGTGCACACACACAATGACAGGTGCACACACACACTTAGACACACACACACACTTACAGACACACACACTCACACAGACACACAAACATACACTCACAGACACACACACACTCAGACACATACAATCATACACACTCACACACACACTCACAGACACACACACTCACAGACACACACCACAAACATACACTCACAGACACACACACACTCAGACACATACACACATACATACACACTCACTCACAGACACACACACACTCTCAGACACACACACACACACACTCTCAGACACACACACACACTCTCAGACACACACATACACTCACAGACACAAACATACACTCACAGAAACACAAAAATTATTATTATTTTTTCAAATGTAAAAATGTCCACCGATGCTCCCTAACTGGAGAGCTGGTGTGGCCTATCCCTGGGGTCCAGTGGGGCTCCAGTGCGGCGGGCGCCTGTCTCCCTGTCAGACGCGGCGAGGGAGCTGTGACGTCATATTCCGACTCCCGGGAACAGCAAAAAAAGCGCGAGGGAGCAGAGCAGAGTCTGACAGGGAGACAGGCGCCCACCGGGGGGGTCTATCAGGTGGCCATTAGGTCACCTCTTGGGCCCCCCCATGACAGGAGGAACATGGGGGGCATTTGGGGGCGGCCCTGTATATAATCATAAACTGTAACTAAACCCCCATTATTTTTTGCCTAGGTGAGGTGTTTTTAAATAAAACTATTACAATCTGTGAGATTTTAAATCACTGTTTAGTGAATGAACGAGTGCACTGGATTGTGTATTTTGTATGTTGTATGTTGTATAAATTGGCCCCAGCAGAACCCTATAATATATGCATGTTCAGGTGAGTGCAGCCCTAGCCATCCTTGGTTTCATTTATTTATAGTGTGTGTGTGTGACTATGTGCATCTGTGTGTATATGACTGTATGTCTAGGTATATCTATGTGTAAGTGACTGTATAATTGTGTAATAATGTATGTTATAGTGGTGTGTGTTTGTGTGGCTGTGCATGTGTTTGTGTGTATGTGTCCATGTTTGATTGCATGTTTATATATATATATATATATATATATATGTATGCATTCATGTCACTGTATATGTATGTGAGAAATACAAAAAAGGGTAGGAAGGTTCAGAAACAGACGAGAGGTTAGGGGTTGTTAAGAGATACTACACAAGAAGTAACATTGGTTAATAGACAAACAAGAGGGTGAAAATGGTTAAAAGGCACACAAGGTTGAAAGGGAGATAGGAGAAACACACCAGAAGGGTCAGACGATGCACACAGGGACAAGCGACACACAGAAATGTTAAACTGGGGAGGAGGGCAACATTCATATGCAGAATTGGGACCCGTAGATGAATTATCCACAATAAAGAAAATCTAAAAATAATAAAGTATGTGACAATGAGCTCCCAAAATGGAGTGTGTGGAAGACCTTTCCATAGTCCTGCTGGTTAAATGGGGGTTTATTATATGACACCCATTTAACCTGCAAATCATTTAATCTATACATCATGCAAGTTGGCTAGCAAGAAAATATGTAGATTAGAAGAGATAATTAAAACAAACAACCAGCCTGACATCTGGCTCCAGCCTGGCACCAAGAGGTTGCAGCGAGGACGCACTGCATGGGAATGAGATTCATGCTTTACTTCTGGGACAGATCAAAGAGCATGCCAGATGCAATGCAAGTATGTGGAGACATATATATTCAGGGTTATTCACTAAAGGGAGAATTAAAGGTGAATTCAAAGTGAATTTTAAATATAAGGTCAAAACAGTCGAACTGGAAAAATCCTCTAAGTTGACTATACTTTCAGTTCGGCTACTCAGGCCTTAAATGATACATTTACTTTGAACTCTCACTTAAAGGACCACTAAAGTGCCAGGAAAACATACTCGTTTTCCTGGCACTATAGTGCCCTGAGGGTTCCCCCACCCTCAGGGTCCCCCTCCCGCCCGGCTCTGGAAGGGGGAAAGGGGTTAAAACTTACCTTTCTTCCAGCGCTGGGTGGGGAGCTCTCTGCCTCCGGTCCTCCTTCTCTCCTCCCTGTCGGCTGAATGCGCACGCACGGCAAGAGCTGCGCGCGCATTCAGCCGGTCGCATAGGAAAGCATTATCAATGCTTTCCCATGGACGCTTGCGTGCTCTCACTGTGAAAATCACAGTGAGAAGCATGCAAGCGCCTCTAGCGGCTGTCAATGAGACAGCCGCTAGAAGGAATGGGGGAAGGCTCAACCCATTGATAAACATAGCAGTTTCTGTGAAAATCACAGTGAGAAGACGCCAGCGTCCATAGGAAAACATTGAGAATGCTTTCCTATGGACTGGCTGAATGCGCGCGCAGCTCCTGCCGTGCATGCACATTCAGCCGAAGAGGAGGAGAAGAGGGAGAAGAGGGAGGAGAGGAGGAGGAGAGCTCCCTGCCCGGCGCTGGAGAAAGAGGTAAGTTTAACTCCTTCCTCCCCCCAGAGCCCAGCGGGAGGGGAACCCTCAGGGTGGGGGCACCCTCAGGGCACTAGAGTGCCAGGCAAACGAGTATGTTTTCCTGGCACTATAGTGGTCCTTTAAGTGAATAACCCTGTCTACCTTTTCACCCGGTGCTAACTTGCTAAGACAGGTATATATTATTAATTCACTATATTTAACAGTTTAACCATTTGCATTTTAAATGAGGACTTCCTATTTTACCAATGTCTGAATGATCTTTCACCCTGACCTACAACTGTACCATACTGATATTACATAATTGACATGCTTAAAAAAAACACTGAATAAAGGGGAAATGTTACCTGTGAGTTTTTGCACAAATGTTTTTCATTAGTTTAAAAGTAAATTTCTTTTCTTTAATTTAGTCTAAAAAGTATTTTAATTTGTGTGCCAGGCTCTCCAAGTATAGCCAGAGCATACGATGCAAATTACGGCCCCAGCATCAGACTTGTTAAAGTGTACAGGGGCGGCAAAACGTCACCTCTGTCAAAGTGCTTCCTGGGGCCTTGGCCCCACCGAGACCTATGCTCAGGCCGGCTCTGCTTATACCCATAATGCTGGCAAAGCATCTAGGGAGATTGCCTACTGTGATAGTGTTAGAGTGCCCCTTTACGGACGAACTGCTGCTTCTCATGACGTGCCGCTCTACACAAGGTAGACGTACGAAGGAAAAGCGTCAGGGAGACAACTGTGAACTCATACATCAAGAGCAATATGTATTTTAATTTGTGTGCCAGGCTCTCCAAGTATAGCCAGAGCATATGATGCAAATTACGGCCCAGGCATCAAACTTGTTAAAGTGTACAGGGGCGGCAAAACGTCACCTCTGTCAAAGAGAGGCAGCATGGGATGAATGAAAGCATAAAATAGGCAGAGTGAGAAGTATAACAATGTGACTTTGAATGGCATATAGCAACAAATGTGACTTGTCAGCTGACAGACTTGAATGACTGCTGGCATAAAATGTGTCCTAAACACAGTCAAGATTCCAGATACAGCCGCTGGTCTAGTTATACATCCTACCTGTAGGTGGCGATATTGTGTAATGCCGCACTTCTTTTAGTCTTCATCTTTGCTCCTTTTTTTATGCGGTATCTGCTCTTTAGTGTGTGTTTCTTTTCCTACATGCACATCCTGAAAGATGGCGATGGCAGAGAAGAGCACTAAGCAGAAGCTCCTGTCGGTTCTGGATGATCTGGAAGTGTTATCCAGGTAATGAACCAGGAGATGCTGAAATTAAACAGTCTAACATGGCATGAGTTGTGTTATTTTTGTGTTTTATTGCTAGATATTCAATACCTTTTAAATGGACCTCTTCTTCTTTATTATTATGGCACTCATAGCAAGATACATGACAGCCTAGAGATGTTTCCCAGTTAGATTTTTGTCTCCCCTCTCATGCCCTAACTATTAAATATTCAACTTAATTCACTAAAAAAATGATACTTTCTTTTACAGAGAACTTATAGAAATGTTGGTACTTTCGAGACACCAGAAGCTTACTCAACCTGGAGAGGAGAATCAGGTACATGGAAAACAGCTCTGGCTTATTCCAGTCTTCCACTATTTGCAACCAATGAGGTTCTACGTATAAAAATTGTTACTTAAAAAAAAAAAAAAAAATCTGTCTGGGCAATTCTAGTAAGACTAAACACAGATTTTTCTAGTGTTTCTTACTTCGGAATTAAAAAACACTAGCCACGGTATATGACTGTCCCATCACTCAGCATGGGAGAAGTGGATGGAGGCATCCGTGGTTTCTACATCATCAAACATGGGATTAATCATATGTAGAGTTAGTTATCTATTTTGTGTGAAAGGGACACTATATTCGCTAGGACAGCTACAGCTTAATGTAGTTGTTATGGTGTCTACTTCCTGTCCCTGCAGGCATTTTAATGTAAACTCCGTCTTTTCAGCGAAACAACAGTGTTTATTTTACTGCCTAGCAATACATTTTAGTGGCAGTCACTCAGGCTCATGCTCTGGGTTGAGGCTCTGAACGTTCTTGTAGACATACATTGATTCAATGCATCTCTGAGGAGATGCTGATTGGCACAGCGTGGCACCGAACCAGGATCTAGTAACCATCTGAGTGACTGCCACTAGAGGTGTTCCTAGGCAGTAATGTAAACACTATCTTTTCTCTGAATTAAAAAGCCTGCGAATACAGACTGTAGACACTTTTAAGATGTAGTGCTTCTGGTAACTATAATGGCCCTTTAAATTTGTCTTTTCAATTTTCAGATTATTATTATTATTATTATTATTATTATTGGCATTTATATAGGCCAACTTATCAGTGCTTTCTAGTACCTTTTAAAAGGGGGTGGGAGGTTAACAATTGAGACAAACTACTATGTGAGGACCCTGCTTAATCGAGTTTACAATCTAGAGGAATCACTGTTTAATGTTGTGTTATTTATTTGTTTTATTGCTCGCTATTCAATACCTTTTAAATGGACCTCTTCTTCTTTATTAAGGCACTCATAGCAAGATACATGACAGCCTAGAGATGTTTCCCAATTAGATCCCTCATTGTAAAGTTAAAAGTTGTGATATAGTAACGTAGTGTTCTAAGTTTTACTAGTACCTTGAACTGGTTTGCTGAAAATAAACGCATTTTACTTTTAATTTTACATTTTTGTCTGCTTCAGATTTTGGATTTGTTAATTCAGAAGGATGGAGAATTTCAGGAGCTCATAAAGCTAGCTTTTAATCAAGGAAAGATTCACCAAGAAATGCAGCTTTTGGAAAAAGAAGTGGAAAAGCGGGACAGTGATATTCAACAGTTACAGAAACAACTAAAAGAAGCTGAGCACATATTGGTAATTTTAAAAATAATCCAATTGTCCAACATGACTGTGCAGAGCACTATTTTTTTAACTAGCTTTGCTAGGTTATCATAACCTGTGGGTAACCTGATCACAATACCTGTGGCCTGATCACAATACCTTAGATCTATGGATGCATATGTTCCTGCCTTCAAGTTGCAGAGAATGGAGGTGAATACATAAATGGAGACTTCACTGTCCAAAGCCCAAAAAATCATGAATTAGTAGATATATACCATATTAAAATATGCATGTATTTTAATATGTATATATATATTTTTTTTTTTGGTGTATATCTAAAAAATAGCTTGTAAAAGCCGCAGATCTCTTGTCAGAAGTCTTTGCAAGACCTCTCCTTTTAACCTGGTCAAGACTTCGTGACTTCTCAGTGCAGCTCAATAAGAAGTCTTAGCAAGGCAGGTGCTCTGGTTAATTGTCAAGCTCTTGAATTTAGCTCCACGGATCTAAACAACCAGGAAGTAACAAAACCGGTTGTCTGACTGACTGCCAGGGGAGGTATAACAAGGTAAATTTATAAAAGTGCCAGTTTCTATTGACATCTCCAGTTTTTGTAAAATTGAAAAAACAAAATGGACATACTCTTCACACATATATCATAATGTGATTTAAGGGTCTAGAGTGTCCTTTTAAACCCAAACAGAAGCGCAGACGTGCTAAACAGCATCTTTTACGTGCTTCACAAATTTGACATTTCAGAATAATTACAAGCATACCCTGCTTTACATACACTCGCGATTAAGCACATACGTAAAGGTGCATCTCGAGTACAGACATTCCTGCGCCTCTTCTGTCAGAGAGGGAACAGGAAATGGAAGGTTCTATTCTCGCCCGGAGCAGCTCATTTCAGTGTCATTGGGGCAAGAATTTTTCACACTTTCTGACATGGCACAGGTTAATCATCTCATTTTGTTTTATTTTTATGGGTTGGGTTAGGATCTGTAAACCTTGAACATATTAGGACAAATTTATAATGCCTACATCTAGCTGAGAGGGGGGATTTAACTATAAATAGGACAATTACAAGAACGAGCATACATTCTATAGGAGGTGGGATATAAAACATATTAGGGCAGGACTATTGCAATGCAGTACATGCATTGTGAAGTGAAAAAATTTATTGCTTCACTTTAAGTACATTTTCGTTTTACATACATGCTCTGGTCTCATTTTGTACTTAAAAGTGCGGTATGCCTGTACTATTTTCTACCTAGTATACTCTAAAGATGGGCAACTAACCTCTAACTAGGGTTTCCATGAGTTTATTTCCACATTTTCAAGATCCTGTATATTTTCCATTATGATTACAGGAGTAAGCTAATGAAGGGAACATGGCTGGCATATTTACCTGTCCCCTGACATGCAAAGGTTACAAAATGGAGTTAGTGACAATTGTAACACACCTCTACAATACTTCTCATCGATGGGCTGCAACATACCAAATACTTTTCTTTCCATGATGCTGTTCACATGATTAGAATAAAGGAAAGAAGATTAATTTGCATCACATACTAGACTTGCATTCAGTGCAAAGGGGGGGAAAGAGCAATTCTGTTTGTTGAGAGACCAGAAGAACCACTACCGACAGACTTTTACTTAGCTAATCAAATGTGACAGGTTTTTGTGACTTGCAGGAAACATAGCTAACCTGGAGAAATTTTCCAGTTTGCCAATTCTGGCTAAAACTTTATAATTCACTTTGTATTCTCCAGTAATTCCAACTTTACTGAATATCCCTCAGAGTTAAAGGGACACTATAGTCACCTGAACAACTTCAGCTTAATGAGGTTGTTCAGGTGAGAACTATAGCTCTCTACAGCCTTTCTCATGTAAACACTGTATTTTTTGAGAAAATACAGTGTTTACATTGAAAGCTATGAACACCTCCAGTTGCAGCCACTCAGTGAACCAGAGGGACTTCTGAGTTGATGGAGGCATAATATGCCTCTATCCACTCAGATCTGCTGTGCACGAGCATCCTGTGATTCAGTATCTCCTCCCACTGCATGCAGACACTGAACTTTCCTCCTAGAGATTCATTGATTCAATTCATCTCTATGAGGAGATGCTGATTGGCCAGGGCTGTGTTTGAATCATGCTGGCTCTGCACCTGATCTGCCTCTTTGTCAGTCTCAACCAATCCTATGGGGAAGCACTGTGACTGGATCATGCTATCACATGTCAGCAGACTGCTTGTTTTTCCTGAGTCTAACAGCATGCAGATTTACAGCTTCTGGCTTGAATACAGTAAGATTTTTACTATATTTATGGAGGCAAGAGGGGCTCAGGGGGGCTAGATGGTCGTGTTAACACTATAGGGTCAGGAATACATGTAGTTGCACTGGTGACTATAGTGTCCCTTTAAGCAGTTTATTAAAAACATATTATTTATTACAATTTTCATTTAAATTGAAAAATATATCCATTTTCATTCAGTAGCATGAAATAAAGTAACATTGTGAACATATATGTTTATCATTATCATTATTATAGCCAAACTGATATGGATTACATTTTATTTTGCTATCCTATCCAAGCTTACATATTATGCTGTGCCATAGATGTGTAAATGACAAACGTGATGCTTAAAGTGAGTGTGTTACCTGCACGTATTACAGACCCTCTTTAAAAACTGCAGTGATATGTCAGAATCAATTTCATTTTAATTTTTTTTTTTTTAAATAAGGCAACAGCTGTCTACCAAGCTAAAGAGAAACTGAAGTCAATAGATAAAGCAAGAAAAGGTAAGATTACAAAATCAGGCATGCAGAAGTACTATTGTTTGTGGATTATGACTCTGACAACTAATATGTTGCTGTTTGGTTTGTGTATACTAATGAGTCTCTGAATACTAAGTGTTCCGAGTAGTTGAAAGCAGAAATGTAGAAAAGGGAGCGGGGCCGGACCGCCATGCTGACCGGTCGCATGGCGAAGGGGCTCCTGAGAAATTTGGCCTTTAAGCCAGAATAGGCAGCCACCCACACTCGCAAAGAGCAAGAAACTACTCACACAGCTGTGGGAAGGGTAGCGGACCCCGAGATCGGGAATTTCGAACCTCCCATGGGAAGCATGAGACTTCGGAGGCCTACTCTAGGGGGAGTGGGGTGGACGGCCGTTTCCCCGTGTCCCTACTATACTGCCCCACGCTGGAATGCTGAATGACTGCCGGTTCCTGTCCCTCCACCCCCCACCCCCGGTCCACACTGGGGCAAACTCAAGCCGACCTATGAGCTGACTAAAGGGCAAGGCCCACAGCCCAAGATGGCGGCGGCTCAGAGCACCCACCTAACCGCTCCTGCGACACAGAGCCACAACAGCTGCCTGAATGAAGGTACAGCGACTGCAGCGTACCCTCTGCAACACGCGCCTCCCTAGCTGAGATTGTAGCCGGAGGGGACCCATGAGTCATCGCCTGTCCTAGTGACACAAACACTGAGTTCCCCACAGCCTAATGCGGACTGGGCGATATCAGAGCTGACTGCTCACCTCATGCCATCTGGGAGTAGACACTCATGGACGAAGCATGCAGCCATACCTGGCATTGCTGGAGCAAACGTATCCATGCACGACAAAATAAAGAATAAAAAAAAAGAAAAAAAGAAAAGAAATGTAGAAAAACTGTAAAACACTGTATTTGGAACATGAGATGGCTAAAGGGACCCTCTCGTTCTGGATGTGACCCTTGACACCCCCACACACAGTCTCCCACCCCCCTCTCTGTAGATATACAGGTTGAAAAAAAACAAACCAAAAACGTTTCCTACTACTTCTGATCTGAGAGAGGCAATCTTCATCCCTCCTAAACTATGAATAGGCTCCACCTATGAGCCTCTTGTTCTGGTCTGCGGGTTTTTGTTTCTTATCCCATAAAAACTCCGGGTATAGGTTTATGGGATATGTAATTCATCCACCATTTCAGTTATTTCTAGCGAATTGCATTGCTCAATACGTTTGTAGCGGCCATATTGTTGCTGCTTTTCATTTTTTCAGTATTCACCGGAGTCACTGATAATGGCTTAGGTTATCTTAAAGAACCAGGGAGGACATGAATGTTCATGGTGAATACACACTGCACTTACACTTTTAATGGCAAATGAGGGAGAAACTATTCTCCATTTTGAGTTCAGTAACATGGGGGCATTAACTGGCCCAAAAACCTTTTTGAGTAAAGTTTAATGTTATAGCAACTTTTGCCTGAATGGAACAATTTATGATCGTGCTTCCAAAAGAATAGCTGCTGACATTTTAAAGCATAACTGTCCTGTAATATATAAACATTTTGAATTACTGTAAAGTATGCAGTAAATTATGCTCCAGCTAAACAGAATTTTTGTTGTGTTAAGGTGCCATTTCCTCTGAAGAACTGATCAAGTATGCTCATCGGATTAGCGCAAGTAATGCTGTATGTGCACCTTTGACATGGGTTCCAGGTAATTTTACAATTTTTTTTTTATTTTTATTTTTTTTATCCCATTCATAGTTTATTTTCTTTCTGATCTTATCTGATGATCTTCTCACAAGTTCCCTGCAGCATAAATCTCACCCATTTATGTCTTATTACCTCCTTCTAGTGAACTTCTCACCCTGATCTCTACTTTTCTTTCCTGTAGGTGCTAATAAAGGGTCAACCAGATTCTAATGTTTTAGAAGATAAGATTCTGTCTTATCACTGTATTATCTATGATGTCTGTATAAGTAACTGGCAATCATGGTTTAAGAAATGAATAATGCTGAAATCCTTTCTTTTTCTAATTATGCTGTTATGTCAATGCTAATGTTATGGAGCACTAGGTGTGATATTCACATTACCACTGATTTGCTAAGTGAGATTCATGTTGTAAATTATTTTAAGGTGATCCTCGTCGGCCGTATCCTACAGACTTGGAGATGAGGAGTGGTCTGCTTGGACAGATGAGTAATTTGCCTACTAATGGTGTTAATGGGCACTTACCAGGGGATGCACTTGCAGCAGGACGACTTCCAGGTAATTGGGAGTATTTGTACTTTTATTGTATTTAGATTTATTTTAAAATAATCTTCATCTGAAGAAAATCCTTATAAACTGTAAATTGTAATCAACCTTACAGAGATTTAAGTGTGAAGTCACTTTAATCTTCTTCTGTGAGGCTTCTTATGTGTCTTGTGTGTTCTAAGCATTAAGCCAATAAACGTGTGAATGCGTCAATCCAAATGCCTAGTATACCTTTTTAAATACTTCTCCCAGTGTTAAAATGGACAGCTAAAATTTGAGAGAAACACTGTGATGATGCATTGACATTTAAAATATTACTTAAAGGGATACTATAGGAACAAAAACAACATTAATTTAATTAAGCAGTTTTGGTATACAGATCATGCCTTTTTAGTCTCACTGCTTAATCTCTGCCATTTAAACCACTTTGTTTATGCAGCTCTAGTCACATCTCGCCGCATGTGACTTACACAGCCTTCTTAAACACTTTCTGTAAAGAGAGATTTAAGGATTAAACTTCTTAATTTTTTTTTTATTTTTTAAACATTCTGTGTTTATTTTGGCATCAATGTCAATCATTACCGAAAGGAATCATTACACTTATAGATATACATACATTTGTAACATGAGTCAACTTTTATTGCATTTTCTTTTTAATGTAGAATTTTGTTTCTCCTGCTCTTGGTCACCTTCTAAACCCTGCAGGAGCTATAAACTTCTAAAGCAAGTTAACATCTGATTTATGTCAGGCTGTGAGAGTCACAACCAGGGTATGTGTGGCTAGGGCTGCATAACCAGAAACAAAATTGATTTAACTCTAAAATGGTGTGGAATTGAGCAGTCGGACTGCAAGGGCATGATCTATATACTAAAACCTTTTTGTTAAACTAAAGTTGTTTTGATGCCCATTGTATGCCTTTTAATAAACATTGTAAATTGTTTTAAGTTCATAGATCTCCAAAGCCACAGATTGAGTTTTTCACTCAGAGCAAAATATTTTTATTTCCGTATATTTAGGGTTTTATACTTTAAATGACGAGGCTTACTTATTGTTGCTTGCGTTTTTCTGTTTTTTATTTTGTTTTGCATTCCCAGTTTATTTTTCTGCAGTGTAGTACATGGGTTTTATGAAGTGTATAATTTGCAAATCATTCTGGTTTTGCCCCCCCCCACCCCCCCTGCCAAAAAAAAAATGTGTCTCTTCCTTCACATGGCTTTGTGTGTTTAATCAGATTGTGATTCCTTGGTGCTTTTGTGTTTTGTTTGTTGATAATTGTGCCATGTTATTCTTTCCACAGATGTTTTGGCTCCACAGTACCCTTGTGATATGTCCATGAACATGTTGCCACCAAACCACAGTAGTGATTTTTTAATGGATTCTCTTGGACCTAATAAGGAGAATGAAGATGATGTAGAGGTCATGTCTACAGACACTTCTAGCAGCAGCAGTGACTCTGATTAGAAACCAGGACTAAACACCCAACCCCCCATGACTTCTGAAAAGTTTACCTTCGAGACCATGAAGTGGCATTGGCATAGTGTGATCCAAATGTTTACTTTGCTAAAATGAAGAGCCTGACTTTCTAATACCAGATCAAAATTAGAATTAGGATGTTACGTTGTCTAAAATTTGTAGTTATATTTTTTTTATTGACACATTGTCACAAAGTTAACGTATTTGTAATTATCTAAAATATGAACCATCAAAACAAAAAAGACGAAGTGTTTGGCTTTCAGATTAAATTATTATTCCCACATGCATATCGAATATAGAAAGGTTTTTGTTAATATAATGAAATAGTTGCCTTTTTTACCCATTCACTGCGATGTAAAACCTTTAAATCAGGTTTATTTTGTATTTAAGGCATGGTCACTGATATTTTATTTGCTTTATATTTATCTTCAAACTGAACTGTAGTTCCATATCTGTAAATACATGTCTTTTTTATAATTCCCTGAATGTGAATTTGTAAATGGCTTTATATTCCTCAATTTACCTTTTTGTGTGTGTATATGATTGACAACATATTCATATAGTGATGTTAGAGCATCTCTAAAATGGCAAGTCTTAGGAGATGTTTCCAGTATGTAGTTGTTAGTACCTACCAAAAATGGTGGAAGGAAGGACAACCAGTGAACTGACATCAGTCATGGGCACCCAAGGCTCATTGATGCACATGGAGAGTGAAGGCTAGCCCATCTGGCCCACCCAGAAGTTGCTGAAAACCTTAATTCTGGCCATGATAGAAAGTCAGAACATACAGTGCATCAGTTTGCTGCATATGGGGTTGCATAGCTGCACATCATTCGGAGTGTCCATGATGACTCCTCAACTTCCCAAAGCGCCTTCAATGGGGATGTGAGCGTGAAAACTTGGGTCCTGGCATACATGTGGATGTTACTTTGACACTTACCACATACCTAGAAATTGTTGCAGACCACGTACACACCTTTATGGCAACGGTGTTTCCTGATGACAGTGACCTGTTTCAGCAGGAAAATGCACCCTGCCACACTGCAAAAAAAAATGTTCAGGAATGGTTTGAGGAACTTGACAAAGTGCAAGATGTTGCCTTGGTCTCTAAATGCCCCAGATCTCAATTAGATTGAGCATGTGTAGGATGTACTGGAACAACAAATCAGATCTGTGGAGTCCCCATGTTGCAACTTGCAGGAGTTAAAGGATGTGCCGCTAATGTCTTTGTGCCAGATACCACAGGACCCAATTAGAGGTCTTGTGGAGTCCATAGCTTGAGATCAGAGCTGTTTTTGCAACACGAGTGGGACCTACATGATATTGGTTTAATGGTTTGAATGTTGTGACTGAACAGTGTGTTCCTATATAGTGTTAGGTATCCGTGTTTGCTAATACAAGAGGCATGGCATCTGTTGTATATCGTGAGTGACAAATTGAATACAAACCTGTATTCCTAATGCTATAGTGTCGTCTACCCCAATTACCATTAAAAAAAAAAGCATTTACTTACCCTTTTTTAACACCAATGCTCCCTCAGTGCTGCTGACCCCTCTGCCTCCCACAACGTTACAGAAAAGCATTTAAGACAAAATTTTCAAGTGTGGTAAGCACCATGTGTGTTTAACCTTCCCCATAAGAAAGCTATGGTGGTCTAAATTGTACTCTGTCAGTGTAACAGAAGTTCCCCTAGTGCCTGTTAACATGAGAGCCACTATAGGTGTACTTAACCCTGCAATGTACACATTGCAGTTTCCACAGGGTTAAAAAGGAAATTGAGATGAAGTAGGCTGTCCCTTTAAAGCATGCCTGTTATGTTTTGATTGAGTTTCGCATAGAACATTAGTTATGCAATTTTTACTGATATGAACTTCCACGCAACAAAAAAAATAATTTGTTATGCAGAAGTGCAGTCCCAACACCAAAGGTTGGTATTTGAGTTGCTGCTTACCATAGCACAAAATCTGAGTCCTAGACAATTAAAGGAACACTTTGTGCACTGTAACACCTTAATTTCAATTAAATTGTTATGGTGCGAAGAGAACCTGGGCATCATGTTACTGTAATGGGTTAAAATATTTACAAAACGGTGTAACCCCAAAGTTGTGAAGCCTGTAATCATCCACTCTTCCCCTGGTTTTTCGTGATGTTGAAAACTTCCATGAGGAAGCATTGGAGAAGCCTTGGACTGGATAGTGTTGAGTGGCTGAACGCTTCATAAAACTGTGTGCAAAAGGAATTACTCAGGAGGAGGTAACTATCTTTAAATTCTCTTTGGTTGGAAGCTCCACTAATCAAATCAAAACTAATGCAGTTAAGCAAGTGCTGGTGCACGTTGGCAAACCAGATGTCATGCACAAGTGAGCTTCTTATAAATACACTCAGAAGCTCTTTCAGCCAATCAATGTATCTTTATGGGCATCATGTACCTATTTATTTGAATGTGTTTATTTTGTAGGTAGGTATATGTTTTACAACTGTAGGATTTATATTTTTGTTTATAAAAAAATAATAGTTTATGTAATGTACAATGGGTAACTATATACATGCCAAAAATACACGAGGGTCATGCTATAATAAGTGTGAGGGCGGTTATGTTTATTTACATGTCTTATGCATAGATACAAGTGGAGATCTGTATTCCATAGTATTGTATGCATATAATGCAGGGCTTGACAAATCCCAGGTCACCATGGTGACCAAGAAATTTGTCCTGGTGTCTGGGATCTGTGAGCCCATTCAGCCCCTAAGGTGATCGGCTGCCTGAGATTGGAGGTGGGCAGGCAGGCAGGCGGTCCGGTTGGCTCATTGAGAGCTGAGGGAGACATGAAGGCTGGCGGATGACTGAGTGCGGTGGCGAGGGAGCTGTAATCTCCCTGCTCTACTCCCTCCAGTGATGCCGGAAGCTGGCTTATGACGCAAGTCCGGCACCACATCTGTCAGGGTCTGTGTCAATTTGTCAGTGAGTATGTCTGTGTGTCTCTGTCAGTGGGTGTGTGTATCAAATCAGTGTCTGAAAGTGTGTTTTACTTTGTCAGTGAGCATGTGTATCAAATCAGTGTGTGTCTGTCAGTGAGTGTGTATGTTTAGGTGACCTGCATCCTCCAATCATTTGGGAAAGTTGTTTTTACTCGCCTCACAGCTGGCTCCACCTCCATGGCTGAAATCATCAATCTTGATCTCAGCCAATCCGATGCTTCCCCATATGATAACATTGGGAGACTATTGTGCATGTGCGCAAAATACCACGCTGCGCAATTAAATTCTCCCCATAGAAATGCACTGGATTCAATGCATCCCTAAGGGGAGCATTAATGTAGGTGTTGCACACTTTGCAGCACTAACCCAGGAAGCACTTCTATAGGCTGTCTGAGTGACTGTCACTAGAGGTGTTACCAGACAGAAATATAAACACTGACTTTTGTCTGAAAAAGTCAGTGTTTACATTGAAAAGCAGGCAGGGACAGTATATAGACTTCAGAACAACTACATTAAGCTGTACTGGTTCTGGTGACTGTAGTGTCCCTTTAAGAACTGTATTTTGTACATTGAAAAATCAAACTCTTAACTGATTTAGCTGGCTCCTAGATTTCATGCAAATTTGTCAAGCCCTGATATAATGTGTGTCATATTAAATTCCATGATATTCCGCAATGCTGTGAATATGGTGTAAATTGTTTGCAAGGTTACAGTCTAACAAACTGGCACTTGATTTAGAGCCGTTGAAACACTGTGAGATTACATTCTAAATAGAGTTTGCCATACCTTGTCTGTTTTTCTGGACATGTACATACTGAACGGAAGCACAGAGTTGTAGTGCAGTTTTTAGAATTCAAATACTGCAGATAATAAATTAAAGTTTTTAATTACAATAATGCGTTTTTGGACATTATTCTTTGGGTTCCTCCTCTGAAAAAAGATGCTAAAAATAGTTTTAAAATAAGTTTTACTTACATAAATCCAGCACCAGGTGAAGCTCCCGGCACACTACGTCCAGACATGAAAGGACACGCTTAGAGGCCTCATAGGCTTCTTATGCACATAATTGACATTAGGCAGCCTGGAACAGACTTCTGAACTCCATATGTCACATGTGCTGGGGGTGTAACAACCCCCAGCACACAAGTGCAAATAACTCTAATTTGCTGCTATCAAGTTGAAACTGTACATCTAGACCTCTACCACCCTGACAACTTCAAAAAGAAGAAGTGGTCATGGGGGTTGGAGTAACCCATTAATTAAAAAAAACAAGCATGCAGCACTTGAATGCTATATTCTACAGGACAGCACTTGCCCTATTCTGCCCATTAACACGTACAAGTGATATGAGTTTAGGAAAACCAAGGTAGATCTGTCAATTCTATAATTAAAGGAAAAAACACAAATTGGGGAAGGCATCACATGGATATGTAGCTTTATTGAAACTGTAAAATAAGTTTTGTATGAAAAGAGCCACCAGACATTAGAAACAATAATGGACTTTCACAAGGGTGAGATTTGCTGGGAAATCAAAATAAATGTCAAATATATGGACAAAAATAATCAAATGGGACAAACTTGCCAAGACCACTATGCTTCCAGTTTTGCTACTTTGTCCTTAAATTTAAAATTCACTTTGCGTTCCCAACAGTTTTCCCTTTAGTGAATTACCCTGTAAGTCCAATAGTAAGCTGCTGGGTAATTGAAAGGTGAGTGATAGCAAACTGTAACTCTTAACATGAGCATGTATGAGTGGTTAAATCAGTGAGCTCAGTTGGATGATCAAAGAATGGTAAGTTAAAGGGACACTCTGGGTAGCAATACACTTTAATGCATTTTACAGATATTGACCTCAATAATATGCTCAAGCTTTGTTTACATCTCTTTATTGTGACAGATAAGCATTAAAGAGAGAGGAATTTGTTTTTTGCTTTCATCAAAAGTCGTTTCAAGGCAGATCAAGTATATATAGAAACAGAATCTCTCCATATAGTGATATAAAATATAGCACAACAAAGCTACACATCTTTACATGGCAAGAAGGTATAAGCTAACACTAACTAGTTGTAATGGGTTTGGAGTGTACCTTGCCAGTCGCAGAGAGTCCCAATCCGGCGGCCTGACATCATTGCAGCCCCTGCAGTCTCGCGCAGCACCAATGGTGCCAGCTTCTGTGCACACGCATTATGACATCACTAGTAATGACATTAGGCATAACCACTGCTCCAAGATGTTTCGGGGGGTGGGGTTATATCAATTAAGCCTCCCAGCCTATAAAACAGCTAGATTCCAAATGAACAGTGCCCTGTTGTGGGGTCACCTTAACCCAATAGCGCAATTATACAATTTTGAATTACTGATATTGACCTGACCTGACTTTTCACTTGACTATTCTGGTACCCTTGACCTGGCTCTTTCTTATCGCATATCTGATTTCCCTTGACTCTGGCTAGTCCTGACTATTCTACATATCTGTCTATTTATTGTGAAGTCTGGCAATTCTAAGCCCTGGTAACATGTTTTATTACTGAGGTTATACTTTGCATACTGGGGTGTTGTACTTGTCCCTGACATTAGTATGTGATCAAGTATGCAGTTCCAACATTAGTAGGTTTTAGTTTAGTTCAGAAAGGTCTAATACGTGACTAAGGTTAAGCATAAAGGAGACATGAAGCAGTAAATATTAATCATTATTTTTGACAAAAAATTTTTTGTTGAGCTATCAGTTCTTTAAATAATAATATCACAAATTTCATATAAAGTATATGTGAATCTCTTATACATATATTTACTTTTATTAATTTAATTAAATATGTTCACAACTGCCAGTATTAAATTGATTTTATTTATACATTAGTTTCATTAGAAGCATAGATTAATCACCAGATGTGAGAGCTGAATTATGAAGAGCATCTCACTTTGAGATCAATACTATGTATTTTATTGTTTATGAACTCAAATGCCAGTCATAATTCAGATTATTATGATCAACTTTACAATTGGGGATCGGAACTATAAATAGAGCAATGTGACTAGGCAGGGAGCTGGCTGTGGGTGGTGGGAGCTGAACTGACACTAATCTCCAACAGTGTTGGCTGTACAATACTGTGCTGGGCTTAGCTCAGATAAAGTGCTTCTGGGTGAAGTATTGGTGGTGAGGAGTGGCACCTAGGAGATCTCAGGTAATTAGTGAAATTGTTCTAAACCAGTTTGACTACTTACAATGGGGTCCTTGTTGGAAGAGATCACATTCTATACAATTTGCAATAGAGTTTAATTCTTAATAGTTAGCGATACAGGATGAAAACAGGACTGTTAAAAGCTGTATACCCACAAATATGCATATACATCTAAATATATGGTTGCATATATATATATACTCTCATTAAATAATAAAAACTAAATAATAGGATTGCAGAACCTTGCAATATCTTGTTAAGGTATACCTGCTATGATGAACACTACATAGGTTCAAATTAATAAGCATTACATTCCACTTATGCATTGTGCAAATTTATAGATTTTAAGTAAAAAAAATAAACTGGTGTCATCCAGGTCTAAGATGAGGATTGAGTGACAGGATGGTGGAGGAGAACCTTCCTACATAGGGTTCCTCTGTGCTCCTTCCCTCCCCCCCCCCCAAAAAAAAGTGTTTCTCATGTTTTATGGTGAGTATATGATGCAGTGAAGCCAGAATGTTGGCAACAACAGGGAGGACCGCCCTGCCTTAGGAAGTGTCCCCAAGCATCAGTTATTCCAGAGGGGATAGGTTGACAGCAAAGAGGGCTGCAGTACTGTAACACCCAAGTATTCTAAGAGAATGGCGGTGCTGGAGCAAAGCAGCATGTAAGTACAGCTATAACAGCTCCCAAATCCATCACTACCATACATTAAAACATTTATTGCTTTTTATAACCGTTGTATGTTTGTTGTGACCGGCTCAAAACAGAAAGCTGTAATTCTGAGGAGCGCTTTACAGGGGAAAAGTAGGAATTGGAAAGGAGTTAAGACAAATACAAAGAAATTGACATATGCCTACTAAAATGACAAATCTCAGCACTGTACTTCCAGAGATGGCATTGATTAATCTCTATAACATAGGCCTCTATATTTTATATGTATTTTATGAAAATGTATCCCACGGAGATAATAAACAAGGATGTTATAGATGATTTTCTGTACGTGGCCTGAGATGATTAAAATCATCACTAAAAGGATTGTACCCTTGCTGCTTCAAAGAACATAAAGCCCAGAAAAGTTGGTCATTTGGAGGAAATTCTTCCCATTTAACCCAGTTCCATCCTAAAAAACAAAAACACACAAAACATATTAGTGAAATTGTAAATATACACAGTTATCATTTAGTTTGTGTACTTTTAATTTCCAAATTAAACTCCAGATTGTAAACTCATCCGAGCAGGCTTCCTCAGTAACCTCTTACTTCTTGTAACACTGGTCATAGTTTGTGTCTTGGTTGTTTTCCGTTATATCTCCACATTAAAAATTGTGAAGCGTTTCAGAATATGTTGGACCTACATAAATAATATAGCGCATTAATAATAATGAACAATTTTGTTTAAAGGAACACTATAATGTCAGTAATACAAATGTGTGTTCCTAGCACTATAGGTGTGAAAACACATTTTAGGTGTCCACACTCCGCCTCCCTGGCTGAGATCATCAATTTTGATCATCAAAAACATTGGGAGGCTAATGTGCCTGCACAGCAAAACGCTGTGTTGCACCAATCAGCATCTCTTCATAAAGTTGCTTTGAATCAATGCATCTCTATGGGGAACGTTCAGCATCTCCATGCAGATTGTGGAGTTTCTGAATATCAGTACTGCACATTGTGCATAACTGACCGAGGAAGCACCTTTAGTGGCCGTCTGAGTGATGGCCACTAGAGTTGTTCCTAGGCAGTAATGTGAGCACTACCTTTTCTCTGAAAAAGCCATGTTTGCATTAAAATGCCTACAGGGACATACTACACACACTTGAACAACTACATTATGCTGGTGACTATAATATTCCTTTAAATAAATCACTCCTTGGGGAGGAAATTCTGTCATTTTTGATGAGTGCTTGCTAATGGTAAATACCCAGCTTTCATGTTTAGTATGCACTGTTACAAGATACTGTGAGCGAAAAGAAAGAAGAATTCTGACTGAATTGTTTCTGATGAACTAGTGTGATAAGCAAATCTCTTAATTTTCACTTATTATTATGTGGACCTGTCATCAGCAAAGGTGGTCACGTTTGCAGCTGATGGCATGACGAACCCACAGTCTAAATAAAATTTAATTTATATTTGCAAATGCAATATATAGTTCAAATAGAATCACTTGGAGTTCCACTACTTTATTTGTGCATGTTAAAAATGTCATATACCAGAGTACTAGATTTCAGAATTTTACATCAATATCTCACTTAAAAGCTTGATGGAACTGCTTAGTTATATTGGCCCAAAACCTAGATTCCCCTCTGCAAATTGCTCATTTATGTGAATAAAACACGCTGTCTGGTTATTCACTAACCTAGAAACGGCCAGGAATTGACCAGGGCATTTACAGTATGGGTTAAAGTAGCTAAATTGAAGAGAATATTTAATTTCAGCTGTTCTGATATATTCAGATTAGACTAAAAAAGTGCTGATTTGAAAAACAAATAAACAAAATTGTCCAACTAAGCTATGGTCACTACTTGGCAACTTCAGTTCACATTTTTATATTTGTTTTTTTTAGTTTATTACAACATGGTGTTTGATGAATACATTTGCTTTCTTAGGTGCCTTCTAAAAAAATGTATAAATTATAGAAATGTAATACTACTGAACCACTACTAACACCTTTGATATGTAATGAAATATACTGAGAGGAGGCTAGACCATAGACACCATAGACACAACATACATTCACAGTTATTTACTAGACAAGGAATTTGTTGCAAATTTAGGCCAAAAGCCAAGTTTGAAAAAAAAATCTCCAACTTAAATACTCTTCCAGTTCAGTTATTTTGTGCTAGATTTTGCCGTATCCTTGTCAATTTGACAAATTTTCCTGTTTAGTAAATAGAACCACATACGATCATAACCAGAATAAGTAAATGCAGTTTACATATAATCACGTGAAACTACCTTCATTCTTCTCAGGCTCTAGGTTTGTTGGTTCTGATGGGAAGCTCATATCTACTTCACCTTTCATTATAATTGTAATATAATGGTAATCATGCTTCAGACTGACACCATTTACTACCGATGCAAAATGGATGTGTCTGATGTGAAGACCTGCTTCCTCCAATGTCTCCCGTTCTGCACATTCCTCCCAGCTTTCACTGCAGAGACAAAAGAAAATGTACTTGTTAATTCAAATGTTTTATTGTCAGGAACACACTTACGTTTAATATTGTAAAAAGCACGCGTGCAGAGCAAGTTAACAGTGAAATTAAAGGCACAATGCAAGCTAAACATACCTAGCTCTCAAAATATAATGGAGAATTATTGAGATTACAGAAAACTTGTGAACTATTGTAATAGTCAGCTGGCTAGATATAATTATTCGGTTATATGTGTCACATGACTAGAGGGTACGTGGTTGGGTGTCCCAGCTAGTACGGCTTATTAATCAGTGGGACAAAAAAAACAATTTTAACAGCACATGCCCTAAATCAGGGGTAGGCAACCGCCGGCACTCCAGATGTTGTGTACTACAGCTCCCATAATGCTGAAGGTTGTATATGACTGCCCTAAATGTTTCTCATGTAGTAGGCCAGGGGTAGATAACCTTTAGCCCCCTGGATGTTGTCGATTACATCTCCCATAAGGCTCTTACAGTCATAATGCTGGCAAAGGATCAGGGGGAGATGTAGTCAACAACATCTGGAGTGCCAAAGGCACTGTAGTAGGCTCTATTATTCCAAAGGAAGAATCCCTTCAGCCTGGTCCCACAAGCACTTGGAGTCCACATTATTTCTGCACTCTTGCTGATGTCAGTTTCCTAGCACGAGATGCAGGACAACAGTGAACTAAAGCGGAAGATGACCACAAAATCAGGTCTGCTTGTGCTACACTTAGGACACTAAGACCATCCAGAGAGCGATGACACAGTCCTCCACGCATGGTCTGCCCTTGGTAGGCTGGCCATTCATGCCAGGGTGACCTGCCTATTCTTCAGGCAGACATGAACACATTTTTATAATTTTATTATTTATAAACCGCCAACAAATTCTGTAGCGGTGTACAATGGGTGGACTAACAGACACGTGATTGTAACCAGACAAATGGACACACAGGAACAGAGGGGTTGAGGTCCCTGCTCTTGCAGGAGAGGTATCACTGTGCAGGGAGGGAAAGCTGAATTGATATGCTTGTCTGAAGAATTGAGTTTTCACGTGAATGCAGGTGTTGTTGCGGGGGCATGCAATTTTTGTAACTAAACTGTAATTTAGAATAAAACACAAAGTATCTGATAGATTTCAGAATACATGTATTTTAAAGCCTGTAGTGTCCATTACCTATGAGGGTCTCTGACACTAACATAGGAAGGATTCCTAGAATAACTTTTGTATTAGAAACACCGTGCAGTGCTGCATTTCTATTCATTGAGGGTAATTTATAATCACACTTGCTATGTGCTTCTACATTTAGCATTTCTTTATCCCCCAGCAATGGATAGTGATGGCAGCACTCAGCCAAGAGGTAAATCATTTCCCATAGAGGAGCCATAGTGTTGGTCTCCAGGAAAATGGCAGCGGCTGCGGACAAATGGCCCCCGATATCGCTGCGTGCCTTACATTACGTCACACGTCATCACGCCTCTACGGGTCGTTTAGCGGCAGATCGCGGTATTTACTGTAAGCGCACACATACCCGAATTCCAGGTGTCCCCCGGGAAGCTGGTACATTCCGGCTCCGACCGATGCTTTCCTCCTACCGAGTAAGACACAGCCTGGATGGGACGGGCTGGTGACTATAACCCCCACACCGACCCCAGGTCTGGCAGCTCTTACCGGCCCTGACATTGCGAGTCTCGAGTTACCCAATCGCCGCCAGCCGGGAACCCCAGCAGCCCATTCTGCTCTCTGATTGGCTGGGCGGCCAGTGACAGGGAAGTAGGCTGCAGGGTGAGCACATGTGGTGTAATGCAGGCAGGATGGGGGGAGGGGGGGGGGCAGCCCTGAATTATGTTACCCAAGGAAATCAACCTGCACAGACTGACACCAAACAGGCACAATGACTAAAACTATACTGTATATCTAAAGGGCACTCAAGGTACCATAACAACTGCAGTTCATTGTAGTGGTTATGGTGCTATGAGGATGGTGCACGGTCTCCTGGTTCTGGGTGAACTTGTTATTTAAATTAAAACTTTACTACTCCTGACACTTCTAGACACTGGGTGGGAGTGTCTTGCGGGATCCTTCATTGACCTCAATGCTGTAATCTTGTGCATGCGAGAGAGTACAGCAGTGACATCAGCTCCTGGCGCTGAAATAGACTGCTAGAAGAAGATAGCAGCACCCACAAGGCCACCAGCCTCCCCTCCCTCTCCCAGCAGCAATGTCACCATCATGGGTTTTTGCAAATTCTGTTTTTTATTCCAAGTGAGATGTTCTTTGGCCTATTTCATGCAGGTTCTTGCAGAGGTCAGTGGTAAATGTCTGCGTCTGGCTTGTGATGTTGGCTTATATAGTTTAAAGAAAAGTCCGCCATCAATGGGGAGTCTGCTGTTTGTGATCCCGGGAGCAAGAGGGAGAGAGCGAACCCTCTCTCGATTACATCTCGCCATCTTGTGGCGTGACTGGGTCTTCCTGTCCTTTCAGAGTCAATGCTTTAGGGAGGAAGAAGGACGTTCTTTCTTATTTCGCCAGTCTTGATTTTTGGTGTTGTGGCATACTGCTGCCAAAGGTAAGTTGTGGCTCCGGTATAGTACCTTGGATATAGCTTTTTATTGCCCCTTGCAGCCTTATCCTCAGGAGCTCTAGATGCATCCATGCGGTTTAAGCGTCAAGCCGCACCCCCCCTTTAGCTTATTTTTACCACTTAACTACATAACAGTCTACCCTGTCATGCATTGCAGGGCTTAAAGGGACACTATAGGCACCCAGACCAGTTAATCTTATTGAAGTGGTCTGGGTGCACTGTCCCAGGTCCCTTAACCCTGCAAAGGTAATTATTGCAGTTTTTAATAAAACTGTCTACCAGATACCCACTCGAGGAACTTTGTTAGGCTACTTTTGGTTGTTGAACCTGTCCTTTGCGGGTGCCAGCATCTTCTATTGGGACTTCAGCGCCGGGACCCGACGTCACTGCTGTACTTGGGACTTTAGTGCCAGAAACGGATGTAATTGCTGTACTCGCACATGCACGTAACTACAGAATGAGGTCAATGGAGGATCCCGCAAGAGCACGGGATCCTCTATAGATAAAGCCAATTCCCTGCATCAGTCACTGGTGATGCCTGGAGGATTGACACTTCTAGATGGTGGTAGCCCAGTGTCTAGAGGTGTCAGGCATAGAAAATATTCAGAGGCAAAGTAGTTCCTCTATATGATATTCCATGCTGTCATGATTTTGTTTTGCTTTGAGGGTCTGGTGTAGACATGAAACATCAATGGTAAAAAACACGATAACGGTTAAATTATTGGGCTCCAGTGCCTGCTATCAGAGCAACAGCCAATCAGTGAAGAACTGCCCAGCTGATCACTGTGATGACCAATCACAGCGATCACTGTTTGGCAGTGTTTTCAAGCTCTGCCACTCTCTCTTCTCTGTGTGTTCTGTGAGAGCAATATTGTATCACTCCTGTGATAGTGTATCAGCTCTGTGATCTTAGTAATAAACTCCTTCCAACTCTTTTTAACCCTTCCCTCTGTGGTTTCCTGTGTAGTGAAGTGTTGGTTTTGCAGGGCTCATTTTCTTTAACTTTATTTGTGGGTTAAAAAAAATAAAATTTTTTTTTTTATTTATATTATTTAAAAAGTTCATAGAGAGTATGTAGACGTGTTACAGAGGTTGGAAAAAATGCTAAATAGAGGAAATATATATATATATATATATATATTTCTTGTGGGGCAGACATTTGTTAGAGGGTTAAATAGCAAGTGAACAAAAAAGTAAAAAAAATAATAATAGACAAAACACATATATGAAAATTGTTTTAAACTTTGTAATTAAAAAAAAAAAAAAAAATACAAAAACTGTAACTCAAAACTGAAGAGGTATATACCATTCTTGCCTCTAATTCGAAAGCCAATGACACTGCATCAGAGTTTGACAATGATTCCACGAGAGATACTTATTCTGATGTCACATAAGAAGATATAAATAATTATACAGCAGTTGTTATCAGTTTTATGGCGTGCTCTGAAATAAATGTTAATGTTACCAATTTCCGCCTGCTACAGCTAGCTAAGACTCTCACTTTTTAATTGGCACACCATAATGGCTCGTTGCCAACAGACAAAAATGAATTAAAAAAATTCTGAGCTTTAACCATGACAATGGACATTAAAAAAAAAACATAGGGGAAAAAGTCTTGTCTGCCCAATGCCACCTTTCTCACATATTATGTTCAGATTTAAATATGAGTTGATTCTGTATTTTATAAACTTCAATTTCAATGGCAACAAGTGCCTATCCAGAGAACACCCAGACTTTGATAGGCTTCATAAACTTTGGCCTCTTATCCCCCAGTTCAAAAATTAATTTTCAGAAGTTTACATGCCTGCCCAAAACATCAGGCGTGACAAGTCCTTTATGAGGGTAAACTTGAATTTAAAAAGTACATCCAATTAAAGAAAGCAAGGTAACGTGAAAGCGCCACAGGCAATTTCAGATTTATGAGGATAAAAACAGTCAGCTGACCCCACCAGGGGCGTACCTAGAGCATTTGGCACCCGGGGCGGATCCTGTGCTTGGCACCCCCCTCCTCCCCCCAAAAAAAAAAAAAAAACATGTAAAAAATGTTAAAGGTTTTATTTCTTTTATTTTTACAATTTGTAAACTTTGCAAAACCGCTGTCAGCCCTCCTACAAAACCCTTGTCCTGCCCTGCCCCTCCTACAAAACCTCTGTCCTGCCCCTTCTACAAATCCTGTACTGCCTCATCTACAAAACCCCCGCAACCCCCTTCCACAAATCCCCTGCTTATCCCCCCTTATAAAGACTCCTGTCCCAATACAAAACCCCCGCCCCCTTCTACAAAATCCCTGCAGCCCCACACACACATTTACAGGCAGACAGTCACACACTCAGTTACAGACAGACAGTCACACATACACATTTCCTCCGTGCGGCCAGTTTATCAGCTGTTTGCTTGTGTGAGCTGTACTGGCACCCTAACTACCATGGGACACTGTGCGGCCACAGCTCACACAGCCCCCTCCAGCCAGGGCCGGTGCAAGGATTTTTGCCGCCCTAGGCAAAAGTAAAGTTTGCCGTCCCCCCCATGTGACATCACAATGCCCCACTCATATGATTTGCCATGTAAACTAACGCCAGTGCTGCAGTGCCGCCGTCTTTACATTAAAAGGCCTGCAGGGACAGGCTATAGACACCAGAACCACTACATTAAGCTGAAGTGGTTCTGGGGACTATAGTGTTTCTTTAATGTGAGGTAAATTAGAGCTTAGTGCCACGAATAATATACTAGATTGCCTACTTACAACCAGATGAGGATGATGATGGGCTCTAGCTGCAGTCTGGCTCCACTGGTCTGGTGCAGAACAGGCTCTCTGGAGGCGGTTTGTAACTGTGGTCACAAAAATCAATGTTCTGGGAGAACGGGAAGCAGCTCCATTTTTTGGGGGTCCTTTACACAGCTCAAGGTCTGGGTCCCAGGGTCCACCTTCATGTTCCACCAATGAGTTTGTTCACAGGGGGGTGGGTGTGGGGATGTCCTGATATGTGTGTAAGGAATGCATTGTGTGAAATTGTGTTTGTATGTGTAAGGGCTGCAAGGTGTGTTTCTGTGTATGTCAGGGATGCATTGGGTGTATTAACAGGTTGCATTGCTTGTGTATGTGTGTCTGTAATGCATTGTGTGTGTTTTCTGTGTGCAAGGGGTGCATTGTGTGTATGTGATGAATGTCAATCTCTCTCCATTTCTCTCTCCCCCTCCTCCCATTTTTCTCTTTCTCCCCCTCCCATTTCTCTCTCCCCCCTCCTCTCATTTTCTCTCTCCCCCCCCTCCTCTCATTTTTCTCTCTCCCCCCTCCTCTCATTTTCTCTCTCCCCCTCCTCTCATCATTTCTCTCTCCCCCCCCTCCTCTCATTTTCTCTCTCCCCCCCCTCCTCTCATTTTCTCTCTCCCCCCTCCTCTCATTTCTCTCTTCCCCTCCTCTCATTTTCTCTTTCTCCCCCTCCCTCCCTTGTCACTCTTTGTCCCCCTCCCTCCCTCCCCTGTCACTCTCCTACACTGTGAAAACAGATGTTGCAGAAGCGGTGCAGAGTCTGCTCTAAAAAAGGCAATAGAAGAGATTCATCTTACTTCTGCCTTGACTGCTCATCTACGCCTGGCCTGTATATGGAGGACTGCTACTAGCTACCCTAGGCATGATGAAACTTGGGCACCTGTCCAACTCCTTCCTGTTAAAGACACACACTAACACACCCACTCACTTACCGGCACACGCTCTCAGATACACTGACAGACACACACTGACATACCCACACACTCACTGATTTGACACAATCTGACAGACACATGCAATCACTGATTTAACACACACTGACAGACACAATCACTCAGACACACACTGACCGATGCGCACACACACACACACACACATACTGACTGACAAACAATGTCACAGACACATACATTCATTGTCAGACAAACTTACTGACGGACACTCAACTCACTGACAACACACTGACAGATACACACATACACACTGGAGAAAAAAGAAATATCCAGGCGCATCTGAGGTTTCTTCTAAAAGGTAGTCTTTATTTAAAATAAGGAAGTGGAGACAAAGTTTCGGCTCCTCTCTGAGCCTTTAAAAACTCTTGATAAAGGCTCACAAAGGAGCCGAAAAGTTGTCTTCACTTCCTTGGGTTTTTTTTTTTTTTTTAAATGTGTGCATTTTATTCTTGTTTTTTTTCAAACACACATACACACTGACAGTCATACACATACATTCACTTACAGACACACACACACACATTTTCCCCCAACATTTATGTAACGGATCACCTGGCACCCCGACTGGGTACCTCGGTTGAAGGATGCTCTAAGCGCTTCCTGAGGACTCCAAGCACTGCAGCAGACACCACAACCACCAAACCAGAGAAGCATACGAATGCTCTCAAGCATATGAATGCTGTAAGCAGCTGAACAGGAAAAGCATACAATCAGCTTACACTCCTGGCAATCAGCATACAATCCAATTCCCCCAATAACGAGACGACACTTAGTTTTGAGGTCAAGCAGAACTACCTGTACTGGGACATACAGCCTCTTTTATTCCCAATCCACAAATTTAGTACTGCCCACAGGGTTTTACAGAACAACCAATAACACACGTACATTACAGAAAACACTCCCAGCAATTATACACAAAATCCTCCCCTCTGTCTGTGACATAATTATGGTACACAATGGCTTAATATAATTATCACAAGCAGGAAAAATACAGTTTTTATACATGTGCTATAACTTTAAAAAAATACACATATTCAAAAATCAGGGCAATCGGTTCAGGGGTTAAAAAGTTAAGGGAAAGTCCTATTTAACCAAATGAAGCATGGTTTTTCTGCCCAAAACCAGTTCCACAGAGTCTTCTATCCTGGAGATAATTGGGAAGTAATCCAATTATCTCCAAGGACAGAGGCAAAACTCCATTAACCACATGGCAGTACGAGACAGTAAAATACAATAAAATACACAAGGTTACATTTATTACATAAAATACAGACATGCAACATATCCCCAGATAGCTTAGATCTGAGCGCAAATTATTACTGAATGGCGCTCAGATCACATACATACAGTTCAGTTGCCATGGAGCCAAAGTCTTTCACATAGTCTTTCGTTATACGAATGGGCTCCATGGCATAACTATCTGGGGTAACACTGCTCACATAGGGAAAGTACCGAATGACCCGGTTTACAGGTCTTTGCAGGGGAAAATCAAGCATTTCAACATGGGGCCATAGTCACAGGGCAGGAGGCTGGCAATCAGTCTTCTCCAATGCCCAGTGGTGAGGTCTGTTTCGCCACAATTTACAAATTAATTTTAATTTAAATACACCCAGCCTCCCTACCATTGGGAGAGCTGGGTGGATTTTTACCGGGGTCCAGTATATAACTAAAGTAAGGGTTACTGCAGTACCCAGAGAAAATCAAAATACAAGCATTTCCTATTTTTGCTGATGACACCTCCCTCTTCAGTTCCAAGCAGGGTAAAGTAATCCACAAAAATAGAAAATGACTCGCTAGCTGGCCAGACGCGTTCTGCGGGAGCTCCTGCCGAAAAACTCAACAAGCATACCAAACTCGTGGGAAATAGCTGCGGTCGACCCCAAAACAGAGCGACTGGTACATCTGACAACTGGGGACACTGTGGTTCCCCCACATTACGTGAATTCCACGCTAATTGGCCTTCTGGCCCTGCGGCCTGCTGCAGCTGAGGACCCGACGGCTAGGGGGAGGTGGCCGATCCCTCACCCAGGACCCTGCTCTGTGGGAATATTTATGGGATTATAATATTATACAGTTGAGAATTGCCCACTATTTCAATTCTCTTAGATCTTAGAGATCGTTATCATGTAAGTGAAGTGTATTTCATACAAATAAAATCACAATTTGTTATAAAAATAGATATAATTTATTGTGACAAATAAAATAATAATAATATTAGGTAGCATACATGATAATCAGTGAATATTAAGTATAACATAAGTATGTAATACAATGGCAATATTAAAACAATCCAATGGCTAAGAGCATCAACTTTCAAAACTTACAAGATTTATGAGGGTACTTCACAGACACAGAAAGCTAAACTTCCAGCGAAAAGCCATAAAACCTTGGCTAACAGTTAGATCAACTGAGTAACCCTTTCAATGCTGGCTAGATCCCCCTAGGCATATAATATCCTATTATCATGTAATTTTTTATTAAAATAACATTCAAACCAGCTCATTAATCATTTCCTGGAACCATCCAATAAGAATAATCTACCAGATTTTTACAAAAGCTGAACTCTACCTAAGATATACGATCTTATTTCAGAGCAATTCAATACACATGGATAAAAACAGCGATATGCTAACACGTGGTAAGATACCAGTGCTATGTAATTATCTGACTCCACCTGCAGAATGGAGTGTTATAACTACATATTCTTTAGTTAACCAAGATTTCTTAATTATTTAAATCTGACCGTGATTTATCCAGTCATATATCATGATATTAGTAATTTGTAATTAATTTAAATTAATTAAATAAAACCAGCATAATTACCAGTTCTGATGTAGATGTTCTCATCAGATCAGTAGGTAGTCCCAGGAACTTGAATGCGAGTATGATTGGTTGTATGGAGGTGTGTAAGTAATAGAGAAAAGTGATGTTGGTTAGAAAGTAATAGTAAAATTCTAAGTGTCAAGGAGTGTTTCTTGAGTTGTGTCCAAGAGAGTTTGAGAGTTAGTCCCAGAGTGTCCTGAATATCTGTCCTGGATCTCTCTGCATGTCCGAATCTGAATGCCCAAACTAACCTCTCTCTTCCCTTTGTCCTAACTTTTAAAGGGCCAGATTCTCTGTACGTCAGTTGATAAGGCCAATAGGAAACTGTAGGTGTGTCAACGTTATCTAGTATTATATAGTTTTTGGTCAGTAGAGGGCGAAATTGCCTAATTTAACTTTCCTATCCAGGAAAGAGTTAACTTTCCATGATGACGATTTTGAAGTCATTTGGCTTATCTAAAATGACTAACATAACTTAAATTTGCTGTCCGTTCAAAGCGTTTCTTTGGATTTTCTCTAGACAGCGCCTCGACAATTCCTGTTGTACTTTCTAAAATTGACAGTTCTAAACTCAATTTCACCCCTTACTTACAATGGGACCTTGTAAAATTTAGAGAGTAAAATTAATTACTTAGTCTTCTCTGCCACTAGTGTTTGTGTTTAAAATTATTTCTATTACATTAACATTTAAACAGAGCATTCCACCCCCCTGCTTCATTGTTTATCACTTGGCTTGTTTACATAATACATTCCTTAGCTCAGGCTAGTGGCTAGTTACAGAAAGGAAATAAATTTTGTGTCTTTCTTGCCTGAAATCCAAAATGGAGTCCGCTCTGTTCTGAGTGACTCTGGCAATATACACTTTTAATTTCCATCTTAGCATAAAATGTCTGCCGATATAAATATACTGACAGCTACTAGGCAAACAGCCATTAACACACAGCGACACACCCCCTCCCCCCTCTCTGGACCGGCGGGGGTTATCCCGGTCCCCACTGGACACTCTACCGACGAGCAGAGCCCAAAACCCGCTGAGCCTGGAGACTGCGTGACAGACCCAAAATGGCCGCCACACTATGGCCCAAGCCACAACAAGAGAGCATGGCATGGAATGGAGACTGAGCTTCGATGCCAAATTTGAATTTGTGTGCAGTAAATTCTGAGCCCGCATAGCGAACCCGCTCCGGTGTCCCTACCTCACCTACGCAAGCCCACTGCCGACCGGAGATGACCAGCGCCACAGCACAGCTGCGGGTCCACCCAAGCCAGAACACGCTGATACAAGCCAGGCGCAACATGGAAGCAGGTCCGAAGAAGGGACCGCAGAAACGGATGCCCAGGCGACAGCTACACCACAAATGTGCCGGAGCAGCGGTAAGCCGCAAAACAAGGGGGCAGAGGGCGGGCGGACAGGACGCCCACACATCCCGTACACGCCCGCAGCAGGCACCTACACAGCATGACAAACCGACATCGATTTACAGACTCCAGAACCAGGTCCTTCAAACAGGGAAACAGCGAGGAGACAAAACGGCACAGAGTCCCGACACAGAGCTGGTTGGGGCCAGCAAAAGTGCCAACGAATAGACACTCTTCCTGGATATCGGGTCTTTACCTGCCGGGCATAGGGTGAACTAACACCATTTTGCAACCGGTCAGCCACAAAGAACAGGGCTATAAAGACTATACAGCATATCAGCCACCAGTGGTATTTTTCACACGATTATACACATGATTGTTTTCTTGCAACTCACTTGTCTCACTCTTGTCTCACTAGAAACTAGCCCTGTGCAGTCCCATTAGTGTTGCTTATCTTAATCTCATATAACATGCATACACCTACACTAGGGGACTGCTGAGCAGGATAATATTTCACAGCCTGTTCAACACATACCGCAACCCTGAAACACACACATAATGAACCACTCAAAAGTACATAATCGTCTATCCTAAACTAGTTCAAAACAACACAATCGTCAACTTAAATAAAAATTTGTGCAATGTTACCACATACCCCATTGTTACAATTGTCGTTGAATAAGCAAGTGGAAAGCTGTTAGGGGTACCACCTGCATGTTTGTTAAAACCATATGCACTGCAAAAAAAAAAAATACTGAAATGCATACCCCCTAAAAGTGGCCTATTACCCCTCAAACAACCCGACAAACCTATGCATGTATGATATCACTGTATTAAGGAGATGATGCTGAACACATACTGGAGTGTTGTTTAATAGTAACCATTTACATTTTCAGTAAATTTACACCAGGATTGCAATTTGTTAAAAATACCAAAAATTATGTATCTTTACATATTTTGGAAAAGATTGGTGGTAAGATGACTGCATGAAATTTGTCAAAATACTCCAAGTTGAATATCATGGGTTGTCTACTTTTGAAAAATATATACATGTGGGGGGGGGGCGGGGGGGGGGAAGGAAGGGGGGGGTGTGATTCAGGGATTCTAGACAGATATCACTATTACAATGTCACTATCACTAACTTTAGGGGGAAAAAAGTTGTGAAAGATGCTACTTGTACTTATCGCCCTATAACTTGCAAAAAAAACTACAGAAACCATGTAAACATTGAATATTTCTAAACTTAGGACAAATATTAGAATCTACTTAGCAGGTTTTTTACATTACATGATATGATCAAAATAATGGTATGTAAAGAAAGCCCACCTTATGTCGACAAAAACAATATATAATATGTGTCGGTACAGTAAATGAGAAAGAAGAAAATTACAGCTTAACACAAACGCCACGTTCCAAAAACAGTTGTGTTCTCAATCTAAAGTTACGCTGAAGTTGTTTTGGTGCCTATAATGTCCCTTGCTGTTTCTTGGAGAAAAAGCAGAAGCCTCAAACTCAGAGTTTAGTGATGCCATTACAGGGATACTAAAAGTATCAAAACAACTTTAGCTTAAATAAGCATTTTCGGTATATAGATCATGTCCCTGCAGTCTCACTTCTCTGCCATTTTGGAGTTAAATCACTTTTGCTTCTGTAGTCCTAGCCACACCTCACCTGTTGTGACTCACAGAACCTACATGAAAACAAAATGATTTTACTTTCAACCAGAAGTTAACTTGCTTTAAAAGTTTTTTTTTTTAAATATCCTGCTGTGTAAATTGAACTTTAATCACACACATAGTAGACTCTTGTAGGTTCTAGTAGGCTACTAAGAAAGCAGGAGACGATAAAGTCTAAATTAAACAGAATTTACTGTAAAGGAAGTTTAAACATTAGATCTCACTTTACATGAAGTGTTCAGGAAGGCTGTAAATCACATGCAGGCAGGTGTGAGGAGGCTTCATAAACAAAGTGATTTAACTCCTAAATGGCAGAGAATCGAGCAGCGAGACTGCAAGGTCATGATCTGTACACCAAAACTGCTTCATTGAGGTAAAGTTGTTTCGGTGACTATTGTGTCCCTATAATGGCATTATTCATGTTTAGGGAAGTTTTTGAGAGATCATTTTTTTTCATATTAGTGAACCTTTTTACTAAATATTCATCCAGTGCTTTATGACAAGTCAGACTGTATATAGAAAACATGTAAGGCATGTGCAGCCCTAAGCAGAGTTGCTCCTGTAGCAGGTTTCCATGCTATGTGGCTGGCAGCTGTTCAGACAGACACCCTCTGTGGCCGCAGTGCTGTGTGTGACCTTGCACCCACTTTAGCAATCAGTGCCCGCACAGCACGCAGCTCTCTTCCTCCCCCTAGCGGCGATCTATCCCCGCCCTCTCTATGGTTCAGCGGCTGAGCCTGCGCGCTCGCTGCCAACGTCGAGGTGGGACAGACACAGACAACATGGCGGCCTCCATCATGTACAGCCGGCTGTCAGCGGGACTGAGGAGCAGGGCGCCCCGGGCCGCTCTCGGCTCTGCCGTTCAGGTAAACAGCGCCCATAGGGAAGGTCTGGCGAGGGACAAACAGCGGGAGGTCAGTCGGGGTGGGCTAGGACAGCTGACAGAAATGGCCTCTGAGCTGGGTGCCCCCAGGAAGGGGAGGCTGGAGCCAGGGGGGCCGCCCCCGCAGGGGAAGGCAATGGATAGCCAGGGGGGGATTGTCATAATACAGGGATAGCCAGGGGGGGATTGTCATAATACAGGGATAGCAAGAGGGGCTCTCAGGGGATAGCAGGGGGGTCATACTGAGAGGATAGAGGGGGGCTGTCACACAAGGGATAGCAAGGGGCTGTCATAATACAGGGATAGTCATAATACAGGATAGCAGAGGGGGGGGCTGTCATAATACAGGGATAGCAAGGGGGGGCTGTAAATACAGGGATAGCAGGGGGGGGCTGGGCAAGATAATAGAGGCAGGGGGGTGCAGGGATGCTGTCATAATACAGGATAGCAGGGGCTGGGGATAGCTGTCATACAGGGATAGCAGGGGGGCTGTCATATGCAGGGTAGCTGGCTGCGCAGGATAGCAGGGGCTGTCATAGCTGGAAGGCATAGCAAGGGGGGATTGTACAGGATAGCATTGTGCATGGATAGCAAGGGGGATTGGGATAGCAAGGGGGGGATTGTCATAATACAGGGATAGCAAGGGGATTGTCATAATACAGGAATAGCAAGAGGGCTCCACAATGCAGGATAGCAGGGGATTGTCATACAGGATGGGCACAGGGGGAGGGATAGCAAGGGGGATTGTCATAATACGCACACAGGAATAGCAAGGGTTGTCATATACAGGATAGCAAAGGGATTGTCATAATACAGGGATAGCAAGGGGGGGATTACCATACAGGGATAGCAAGGAGGGCTGTCACCCACAGGGATAGTGGGGGCTGTCATAATACAGGGATAGCAAGGGGGGGCGCAAATACAGGGATAAGGGGGCTGTCATAATACAGGGATAGCAAGGGGGCTGTCATAATACAGGGATAGCAATAACACAGGAGGGGGGCAACTGTAATACAGGGATAGCAAGGGGGGGGGGCAGGGGGTAGCAAGGGGGCATAATACAGGGATAGCAAGGGGATAGCAAAGGGGGCTGTCATAATACAGGATAGCAAGGGGGCTGGTTAATACAGGATAGCAAGGGGATAACAAGGGGCTTTCATAATACAGGGATGCAAGGGTGGGCTGTCATAATACAGGGATAGCAAGGGGGCTGTCATAATACAGGGATAACAAAGGAGGCTGTCATAATACACGAATAGCCAGAGGGAGGGGCTGTCTTATACAGGGATAGCAAGGGGGGCTGTCGTAGCCACAGGATAGCAGGGGGGGGCTGTCATTAATACAGGATAGCAAGGGGGCTGTTATACAGGGATAGCAAAGGGGCTGTTATACAGGGATAACAAGGGGTCACAGGGATAACAAGGGGGCTGTCAATACAGGGATACAAGGGGCCATAATACAGGGATAACAAGGGGAGGCTGTCATAATACACGAATAGCCAGGGGAGGGGGCTGTCTTAATACAGGGATAGCAAGGGGGGGGTGTCATAATGCAGGGGCTTCCTATATAACATTGACTCGGCTGTACGAGCAGGGCTGCCATGGCCGCTCCGGCAGTGAAAGGGTTACCAGTGTCAGAGGGCTCAGTATTGTTTACTGTGAGCAGCCAACATCCCTTTAACCCCTTAAGGACACATGCCATGTGTGACATGTCATGATTCCCTTTTATTCCTGAAGTTTGGTCCTTAAGGGGTTAAATAAACTGTCCGCAACATCACTGCTATAACCATACACTAACTGTACATAAAGCAATGCAAAGTCACAAAATGTGCAGTGTGTTACTTTCACCCCTCCCCCCTGACCGCTTACCAGGGGCTCTTCTAAACAATACATAGTGAGGGGCAGCAGTGATCTGTATGCAGCCCCTCCGGACCCCCCCCAGTATGCATGATGGAAACTGTGCTTTCATGTCTAATACGCTTCCCCTCATCGGGCTATATCAAATGTTACCAAACCAAAATGTGTATTTCCTTTACTTCTTTAACTGTGACTCGTATGAAATTCCTAGTGTCTCTGTGGTTATGGTAATTCCTGTAGATGCCCCTTGCACTGACAGCTCCCTTGTAGAGAGGCAGCCTTGCATTAGTTTGCAGTGGATTGAGCTGCGATATTGTGCACAGGTCATGTAAGGCAATGTAACATTAGTGGGAGGGGGCGGGAGTGTAATGTTCTGCTTTGGAGAAGAAGGTGAATGTTATGTCCTTGTACTGACATCTAAGGTTTCTTATGCAGCTAATGCAGTCAGGGCTGCTTGACCTTCTATTCTCGTGGTGTATAGTTGTCATGGTGTCATTGTTGAGTTCATGGAACTTTATAAATAAGTTGTTTAAATGGCATACAGAGCACACTCCCAGTTTAGTACAGGTCCAGGAATATAGCTTCACTGCACGGAGTGACAGCGACCTCCAGTTTATTGATCACTCGTCGACATGTCTATGGACATGCACTATGTGACTCCTTGTAACACATACATGTTCCTGGATATGTATATATTTTTATTCTATACATTGTAAGTAGTAGTTATGCTACTGGTGATTTATGTTTTCATTACAAATAATATACTTTTTAGAAAGCATTGTAGTTGATGTCTGCTTTTATCAGGGAATTATCAGCACATTTGAAAATCTAAAATAATTATGGTAAGATTTTCTGTTTGATAAAAAGCTAATTTTTCTACATAGGTTTTGTGTTTTATGAACTTTTGCATTGTAGTCTAGTGAATAAATTATTTTATCACCTGCTGGTATGAATGTGCTAAGCTTACCAAACAGTGCTGTAGTAAGATAAGATGAGCAAATGATGCAGATCTGCCATTCTCTTTCTTTAGCTTAAAGGACCACTACAGTATAGTGCCAGGAAAACAAACTCGTTTTCCTGGCACTATGTAGTCCTTAGTAGGGATCAACCGATATTGATTTTTTTTTTTTTTTTTGAGCCGATACCGATAATCTGTGAACTTTCAGGCCGATAGCCGATAACTTGCCGATATTCTGTACATTTACCATTTTGAAAAAATAAACAATTTCTTAAGTTAAATGCAGAAATTATACATGCCACATGTAGTGGATGTAGTATGTTTAGACAGGGGAGCTGTGTGTGTTTGTCTGGTGGATGCAGTATGTATTTGTGTAGTGTGTATAAGATGACTGCAGGGTGTGTTTGGGTAGTGTGTATAGTGAGTGTGGTGTGTGAAAAGTGAATATAATGAATGCAGTGTGTGTATTTAATGAATGCAGAGTGTGTGTGTTTGTATAGTGTGTGTGTGTATATAATGACTGCAGAGTGTGTGTTTGTGTAGTGTTTGTATATAATGAATGCAGTGTGTGTGTGTGTGTGTGTGTATATAATGAATGCAGAGTGTGTGTGTTTGTGTGTATATAATGAATGCAGAGTGTGTCATGAATGCAGTGTGTGTGTGTGTATATAATGAATGCAGAGTGTGTGTTTGTGTAGTGTGTGTATATAATGCAGAGTGTGTGTGTTTGTGTAGTGTGTGTGTATATAATGCAGAGTGTGTGTGTTTGTGTAGTGTGTGTGTATATAATGCAGAGTGTGTGTGTTTGTGTAGTGTGTGTGTTTGTGTAGTGTGTGTATATAATGAATGCAGAGTGTGTGTGTTTGTGTAGTGTGTGTGTGTGTATATAATGCAGAGTGTTTGTGTAGTGTGTGTGTGTGTGTGTGTGTGTATAATGCAGAGTGTGTGTGTGTAGTGTGTGTGTATAATGAATGCAGAGTGTGTGTTTGTGTAGTGTGTGTATATAATGCAGATTGTTTGTGTAGTGTGTGTATAAAATGCAGAGTGTGTGTGTTTGTGTAGTGTGTGTAAAATGCAGAGTGTGTGTGTAGTGTGTGTATAATGCAGAGTGTGTGTGTGTTTCTAAAGGGATTTAATTTGTGTAAAATTATTTTAATATTTATGGTTTTAGTCCCCCCCCCTCCCTGCTTGTTACCTGGCTAGGGATGAGGGCTATGGCATTCTCTGGTGGTCCAGTGGCATGTACTGAGCAGTGGGGGGAACCGCAGTAAGCGCTTACTTACCTTCCCAGTAACTCCTTCAGCTCCCCTGTGTAAATATTACTGTCAGCGTGCCGCGTGGAGTGTTGCCATGGTAACCTGTGGCAACGCTCTGCGGCTGCGGGACTCGCAAGATTTACACAGGGGAGCTGAAGAAGTTACTGGGAAGGTAAGTAAGAGCTTACTGCGGCCCCTCCTCCAGGACCGATGCTTGTCATGGCCCCACGGTCCTGGTATGTATTATTGGCAGTATCAGTATTTTTATTGGCCGATACCGATATCTCCGAAAATAAAACCGTAATCGGTCGATCCGTAGTACTTAGGTACCCCCCACCCTCATGGCACCCTCCCGCTGGCCGCAGAGCGTTGCACCCCTCCCCCTTCAGCCACTTACCTGCCTTGGCGCTGAGGAACTCTCCTCCTCCTGCCGACGTCAGAGCCGAATGCGCATGAGCGGCAAGAGCCGCGCGCATTGAAACCACCCAGAGGAAAGCATTACTCAATGCTTTCCTATGGACGTCCGCGTCTTCTCAGTGTGATTTCCACAGTGAGAATCGCGGAAGCGGCCTCTAGTGACTGTCAGGGAGATAGCCACTAGAGGCTGGATTAACCCTCAGTGTAAACATAGCGGTTTCTCTGAAACTGCTATATTTTCAGCTGCAGGGTTAGAACTAGAGGGACCTGGCACCCAGACCACTTCATTGAGCTGAAGTGGTCTGCGTGCCTATAGTGGTCCTTTAATGAAGCGGTTTAGGTGTATGGTTCATGCTTCTACTGTCTCACTTTTCAGTTCAGTTCACTTTGTTTATACAGCTCTAGTTACACCTCCTTACATTTGACTTGCACAGCTTCCTGTAATAGACATGTAATGTTTAAACTTCCCATGTTGCACGTTTTGCTTAATTTTGAATTTCTTATCTCCTGCTCTGAATAAACAGAAACAAAAAGGATTTAACTCTTAAATGAACAGAGTTTTGAGCAGTGAGACTGCATGACCCATACACTATAGATGCTTCATTAAGCTAAATATGTTTTAGTGCCTATATTGTCACTTTGATAAGGCCCATTCTGAGCCTGAATTACACATCCTGACTTTGTTAAATATTGTGAACAGTGTTTGGATTTTGCAGTCCGAATGGCTTTTTTGCTTGCAGATAGTATTGCCCCATTCGTTATGGGGTTATGCCGACAGTGAATATCCTGTTAGTCTGTGCTGGTGAAATTAATAAATTAGAGAAAATAATCTCCCCGCTGTCTGACAGCCGGAGAGGGATTTCTGCAATGATTAATAAAAGTTCTGATTTCAAATAGAAATTGGCACTTTTATAAACTGCAATTAAAGTAAGTATATGCTGACGCATAATGCAGTTCAGCAAGATTGAGTGTTTCTTTAACTCCCAAATCACATAGAATTGAGCAGTGGAACTGCAGGGGCATGATCTGTATGCTAAAACTGCTTTATTAAGCTAAATCTGTTCTGGTGCTTAATGTCTCTTAAGTTCAAATATCGCCAATCCACACATAATCTCTCTTGTTGCTTTGTCTCCCGATTTCCTGTTTAAAGCAGATCTGTAACCTTTCAGTATTTCATAAAGAAATACTTCAAAAAATTTCATGGAAATTTCAACGCAATCCAAAGGCAAAGTAGGGACTTCTTTGTCTTATGGTACAACCTGAGTTTGACAAAAGCTACGCTATCGACTTTTGTCCAGTCCCAGCAGCCATCACAAGTAACAGCTGTGGGATTTAGGTTCTATCTATTGAGAATCCTGCGGTCATGAGGTATGTTCCATAGATCTCATTGCACAATGGTAAAACACTGAGGTGTGTCCTGGCAATGAAGCGCCAAAAGTGAGAGGACAGCAGTGTAATGATGGTGGCAAAACATCTAAAAATAGGTGTGCTGTGCCTTTAAGACAAAATTATTTAAAGTGCCACAAGTGCTATATTGTGCAACATGTGATAGATATATAGATATATATATATCTATATCTCATAAATTCCTTTAACACATATATTGTGTACAACTGTGGGGAAATATACAAAGCACTCCCTTATAAATGTATATGTAGATCCTCTCCATGTAACAAAAAAAGGAGAGAGAAAAAAACAATGATGCTGTAAATCTATAACACAGAAAGCAAATTAATAATTTGCAAAGTGTACACTCACAAATGTAGAGCAGAAAAAGCCTACTCTAACTAAGACCGCTTCCAATAACAATCCTTCCTGGGATAAAAACGGCAGAGACAAAATGATCCACTTCTCAGATTTATTGCACAGGCAGCTTTCTCCTCATTTCCCCCTCGTACATACAGTGTGCCAGTTCAAATCCTTCACAGTGAAAAAGCCGGCCTCTTCCACCGTGGGCATCCAAAACGCCGCAAGCAAAGACTTCTGGGGGGCAGAGTTACCAAACTGCAGGCTTCCTACCCACTTCTGCCTGTCATAGTATAATGATGATGGCAGCTGCAAGGGACAGTCAGAGGTAAGTAAAACTCACCTACCCTACGGTCACCGGACTCATATCGGAGAGGTCTTTGTGAAATATGCAAATACCTCTGAAATTGACAGATCAAGTTTTTTTTAATTTTAAATATTCTTTATTTAAAGTACAGGTATATAGTTACCAAAATATAAATTTTGCAGGATTTACGGGAACAATGTCCTAACCATCATTTTTGTAACATTTTGTATACTTTTTGTTTAAAATATTTAACATGGTTTAACAGAATAACAAATGAAGAGATAAGTAAATATAAAGTCCTTCATGCTGAACTACAGAATCCATAACTATCTTTATAGATGTAGCAAGTACAAAACAAAGACTGCCTGTGCAGATGTTCATGTTTTTCTTAGAGGGACACTGTAGGCACCCAGACCACTTCAGCTAATTGAAGTAGTCTAGGTGCTGTGACCCTTTTGCACTTAGTGCTGCAATGTTTACATCTAACAGACAGCCACTGGAGCGCTTCTGGAGTCTAAAGACTTTTGGTCCGTTATCTGACACTGGACGTCCCCACGGACCTCCAGCGTCAGATTTTCCCTGTAGGAAAGCATTGAATAATGCTTTTCCTATGGGGAGGTCTAATGTGCGCATGGCCATTGCCGCACATGCGTTATAGGTCTCATCCGCCGGCTGATGGTGAGGGAGGAGCATGGGTGGAGCTTGACACATCGTCGCTGGATTCAGGTAAGTGGCTGAAGGTTTTTTTTTTTTTAAACCCCTTCAGCCCCACAGGAGGGGGGCACTTCAGGAGCCTATAGTGCTAGGAAAACAGGTTTGTTTTCCTGGCACTATATGATCTCCTTAAGTAATATACCAAAGCACAGCCTATCCCCTCACACCTTGTGTAGCAAGAACTAATGCACATAATTTATTAATGGCATTTATAAAGCGTCAACATATTCTGCAGCGCTGTAAAATTGTGGAAAAGACAATACACTATATAAAAAGGTTAATACAAAAGGTAAAGAGGCCCTGCCCATGAGCAGAGATCTAGCCCCTGAAGATAATTTGTATAGAGTACTTTGCTAGATAGCCCGTGAGTTTACAATCTAAAGGTTAAAATGGAGGAATTTGTAGGTGTTGGCAGAGAGAATTAATAGTATAATTGCTGTGATAATGATAAGTGGATGAGACAGCGCTGAACAACTCAAGGCAGCAACCCTTAAATGGGAATCCCTCTAGAAACCCTTAAAACAAGATAAATAAAAGTAACAAATAAAAGGCCGCGCCACGTAAAATCAGAATAAAAAGTAAATAAAAAAATTGGATAAAAACCAAAATAAGAAGTCCAAATTGTGAGTCTTTACAGATAGTCTTTATGGAAGGCTGGTAGGATGGTTGGTCTAATGGATGGTTGGTATAATTGCTGTGCCTAGTAACATGTGAAAGGAATGCAGAGGTGATTGACTGTGATGTCAAACAGTTGGAAGAGCATGCTATATATTTAAAAGGAACCAGGGTGAGAGGGTAGTGCTAAGTAGAAATGAAGCTGCTTTGATGTTATTATTTAAAAAGTGCCAGCATATTCTGCAGCGCTATACAATGGGTGTACTGACAGACAAGCTTTTGTAACCAGACAAGTTGGATGCACAGGAACAGAGAGTGGGTTGATGGCACTGCTCAAATGAGCTTACATGCTAAGGGGAGAGGGAAATATTGACACAAAAGGCAGGATGAATACTTTTCATTGAGGACATAGTGTGCATTAGAGGAAGCAAGGTGCAGGGAGGGAAAGCTATTTACAGTTTAATTGATATGCTTTGCTGAAGAAATTAGTTTTCAATGATTGTTAGATGGAATGGAGACTGTGTAATAGTCTAACAGCAGGGAAGAAAGTTCCAGAGGAACGGTGCAGCCCTAGTGAAGTCATGTAGGTGAGCATCAGAGGTTAAAGTATGTAACGTGGGCAAGTTGGGAACATGTAAGGCCATTGAGAAGCGGATTTGAAGTAGTCAAGCCGAGTGAGGATAGCAGCATTGACCAGCATCGTCGCTGCATATGGGCGGAGGAGTGCTATATTTTTCAGATAGAAGTGGCAGGATTTATCGATCAACTGGACAAGAGGGGTGAAGAAGAGAACATCTAGGTAACAAACCTGCAAAGTAAAGCTGATGGTAGTGCCATTGACTTGGAGGGAGACAGACACGGAAAGATAAGAGGGTTAAGTTTAAGGACACAAGCAGCAATTCAGTTACAAATAGCGATGCAGTCAGAGACACAAGTAAAAAAAGGGATGGTGAGAAATTGGGAGAGGACAGATAGATTTGTGTGTAATCCACATAGAAATTATGTTGGAAGCCCAAGGAGCTGATGAGTTTAGCAAAGGGGGAGGCAGTGTAGATCGAGGACAGTAGGGACCAAGAACAAAACCTGTTGGAACCCCAATAGAGTACGGTTGCGGAGAAGTGGCAGAGCCAGAGGAAGAAACACTGAAAGAGCTCTTGGAGTGATAGTAGGAGCACCAGGAGAGTGCAATATCTCGTAGACAGAGGTAATGGATGATGAGTAGAAGTTGTTGATGATCAACAGTGTTGAAAGCTGCAGAAAGGTCAGAATTAGGATACAACCGTGGGCACTTGAATTTGCAGCTTTTAAATCATTGCATACTTTGACGAAACTGCTCTGTCCAGAGTGATGAGTGCAGAATCCAGACTAAAGCGAGTCAAGCACAGAGTTAGATTCGAGAAAATTAGTCAATCTTGCGTACACAGCACTCTCAAGGATCTTGGAGGCGAATGGTCATAGCGGCAGGATTTGGAGATCAATGTAGGGTCAAGGTTGGGCTTTTTAACAAGCAGGGTTAAGTTGCATGCTTGAAGGGTGAAGGAAATATGCCATAGGGGAGGGGAGAAATTGAATATTTTAGTGAGAGACAGAGCAAGAGAAGGAGACAATGGGACTGAGATACAAGGTAATAGGATCGAGGGAGCAGGTGGTAAGGTGGGATGACCGGAGCATTTTACATTTGCACAATGAGCAGCACTGACGCTTAGTGTCTCCACACCCTGCATGGAGGCAGTGAACATTCCTTGTAGAGATGCATTGATTCAATGCATCTCTATGAGGAGATGCTGATTGGTGTTTTCCGCGCATTGGATTGGCTGAGATCATCAGGTTCGATCTCCAATGGGGTGGAGGCAGAGCCAGCTGTGAGGAGACACGGTGGGCGCTGGAAAAAGTGAGTATAATCACCTTTAACTCTTTTCACAGGGGTTCAGTCACCTAAACTATAGTATCAGAAATACATGTTTGTAACTTGGACAGTTGTTTCCACCATTAAGGGGTTAACATTCAGATTCTTTTGCTTGTTTCAGAAAGCATAGTATAATGACATTTCTATACTGGAGAGAATAAGCAAATAAGTAACAAGTTTTATACATTTAATTCAAAAGTATCACATTTAAAGACTAAACCTTTAGAACAACCATATTAATCTTCTTTTTTTGTTATTTTTACCCTTTTGTGGTTCTCTTCCTTGCCACATGTTCCAATGTAATATATCTTGCAGAATCATGTAATTGCCAAGATGCAATATCTTTTTACCATGGCAACCAGCGGTGAGTGACCTATGGAAAAATATTTAGGGTACATTGCTCTTTGTTGAAAATACAGATATAATCTTCAACTCTGAAATATACCTGCTAAATTGGCTAAGAAGCATTGCTTCTTTGTGCAATCAAGCCCTCAAGCAAAAAATTATACTCTCAGGAGCTTGCATTCAAGCAATATTCCCACTGCAGACTTAGAAAAACATATAATTATACATTGTGACAACTTTATGACCGAAAGTTGTGATTTTAAAAAAGACACAGAGGCGAGTATTGCTGAACCCTTTCTTTACCGAACCACAAGAAAGGATACACTCAACCAATTCTGTATAACACCAAGTACTACCAAACGATTAACAAAGGTCAACAAAGTTGATATCCAGAAACGGACAGTCCAAACTGTCATGTCTTGTTGAATACGGGGAACCGGTAGCACGATCTCCATCAACTGCAAACAATCGCTTGAGATTCCAAAGCAAAACAGCAGGCAGAAACTCAAGACCAAACTTGGTTTCCCCCAAATCATATAAACATATGATAATATAAAATTGATCACGTGAGCATTTTCTTAAATAGGAGTATTTACAAAGGGTTATTTTAGCGCGAGACTGTTGCAGTGGGTGTAATATTGATGTTCTACACTTTAGGCACTTGAATAAAGGGACACTGCTTTCACAAGGAAGTGCTGGAATTTATTTTTATTTTCCCTGACTATACACTGTTTTGGGTGGAACCAGATTCCTTGCGTGTATGATAGGTCCTTTTCTTATTTCCTATTTTGCAGTTAGGTAGAGTGCAGGCAAAGGAATCGCAGACCTATACAAATTCACTGTCTGATATGTCCGTCCAACCTCATAGAAAGAAGTAAGAAATTGCAGGATAACGGTCAAAGGGGATGAAATGGAATCCAAGTGCCAAGCCAGGCACCAGCCAGATTAAATCTGTCTAGTGGCACTCTACATTTTCAGAGTACAGGAAGCCCTTGGCTGCTAATAGTCATCTAGTTGCATCAGAAACTCCCAGGACCTCCCAAAGCCCCATAAATCAGCCAAGTCAGAACGTCCAGAGCCCAGTACAAGAGAAGCAGATGAGGCCAGCCATCCAGGTCCCAAAGCAGAAGGAGAAACCAAGACTGCGCCCTTCAATACGCGGTGATCAACACCACTGTTTCTGGTTAGCATTGTACTTGCAGGAGAGTGCGTAGGCTCATTGAGAATTGGGGAAACTTGTAATGAAGACCTCAATCTTGGAGGAATGTATTCACTGTCTCTGCCTCCAGACACCAGCCATAGAACCGGGACAATTGAATGTTAAATCTTGATGCAAAATGGTCTGGAAGGGAAACTATGGTTTTGCCAACATTAAAAGGTTACTCCAACCCGTTTACATAATTTTTTTTTTTTTAATTTAGGATGTCCTATTGTAGCGAAGATGCAATATTCCCCAGGGTATCTCCGCTTATAGTCCAAGTGAGGCTCAGGAACAAGCAAATAATAAATCCACAGGCAAGGTTTCCAGCAGGTAAAATAACAGCAATATCCCCACAGCAATCCCAATAACTGGACGACACACAGTTTCAGGAGCAGAACTGAAAGCTTTAATCCACAGTCTCCTTTTAAAGCATGCTCCCATGCAAGGGAGGGATTTACACACATTATTACAGTAGCCAATCCTGTCCTGGTAACCTCCCACACATCTCCTCCCCTCAGCCAGCATCATAATCCCCTTATCCAGTACAGTAATTCCCCCTGTTTCTGGATGTACCCCTAAACGTAGGGGTACCTCTTTAAATCCTACATCCCCGGATACCCCTGATCTGGGTGAACAACATATCCAAAAATCACCCAGATCAGACCAGGGGTTTCGGGAAATGTATGGAGGGAATAAAATGACCGACCGCACTAACTGAGATAGCCGAATTAGGTTCCATGCGAATGGGCCCTGCGGTCGGTCCTGGCATAAGGGAATAAAATACACGAAAGCCTCTAGCTATAGAGGCTAGGGAGGGTTCGCCTGAATCCCCTCGTTCGGTTCTTTCTATCTACCGAACGAGGGGCCGTTCGGTAGTTAGGAACCGAACGGACCGGGCTTGTGGAGGTCTCAGCGGTGTTCGCCTACTCGAGTGTCCGATTTGAGTTCCAGACACTCGACGGCAAAACACCGCTGTTCGGGAGTTTTAAAATGGCCGCCGCCACGTGTTCGTTTGTCGAATGGCGGCCACCCCCGAGAACAAAGGACGGCTACTTACTAGGCAATTACCCGTTCGCAACAATGTTGCAACGGGTAATTGAGGACACACTTCACACAGGGGGGGTCTGGTTGTTCGGTAGTTTCATTCGAATGAACTAAGGGAATAAAACTACCGAACAATCAGAGGAATACAGTTCTTTTAAACACATAGAAAACCAGCAGATCACACGAATGCAGTTATTCACAAGACATTTGCAGGACAGCCCAGTGCCATCCGCTACACCTATTAAGCTGGTTTCCACTCTTGGTCTGACATCATACCTGCCCACCTGTTTTCCATTCAAATGTTATTCAAAGTGAAGCATTTGATTGGACTGTTCTTCCTGCTCAGAGTGCATTCTTAGTTGGTTAGGTGAAGGAGTCGGGGTAGACAGGGAGAGATTTCCAAAAATAAAAAAAACTTAAATGGTATATGGAGGAACGGACTGTAGGGACATGGGCTTAAAGAAGAGAGATGGAAAGAAAATACATGCTTCCCTCTCAGGTGCTTCCTTCAAGGGACAAGTTTATTATGTCTGTTAGTTTTTTGCATCAAACTGACTGTGCCCAAGTCACATGTGAGGATATATATATATATATATATATATATATATATATATATATATATATATATATATATATATATATATATATATATATATATATCTCTATCCTACGATCGTGACCACTTCTAAAAGTGGTCGGAGTTACCCTTTAACAGTAAATGTGACTTTGTACCAGGAAAGGCAGCTCATTTTTTGATGTAGTATTCGTAATAATTATAATATCAGTGTCTTTATTTTGTTATGCTTGTAGGTGCTCAGTGGATTTCCTGGACTTTTTGGTGGCCATGGCTTGCAAGCACAACAGCAGAGGAACCTTTCACTGCATGAGTATCTTAGCATGGATCTGTTGAAAGATGCTGGAATTGCCATACCAAAGGGCTTTGTTGCAAAAACACCAGAGGAGGCTTATTCAGTTGCAAAAGAAATAGGTAAGGATCATAGTTTCCAGTATTATGTCTTATTCTAAAACCAATTATTTCAGCTCACTTGCACTATAAAACTGTATGTAAAATTTTAATTAGAATATTGTTTTTGCATGTATTGTTGAGTCTATTCTTTTCTAATCAGGTTTTCCACAACACAAAGTATGTTCTCATGCTGTTGAAAAGCCTGTAGAACCTTTTGTAAACTAACGTTGAGAAAAAAGTTATACCAATACAAATTTTAATCAAAAAATTGCTTTTGACATTTGGACACCATGCCCTTGAACAAAACATTGTAAATCACATATAAACATTTTCCATGTGCTGCTTTTTCTTGTAAAATGTATTATTGAGATTGACATCTCAATCTAATTCAGTCCAGGTACAGCTAGCCAGGGAGACATAGAACTGTGCTTCATACCTCTTCTTCTCTGTATTCATTCTCTAAGCTACTGCCAGGTGCAATGAACTAAACTTATAACAATGTTTAACATAGAGATATGATGGAGGTGCCAAGTTCCTTGACAAAGAGGTTTGAATTTCTAATTTTATTTTTCACACTTTGCTAATACTTTTGTTAATACAGGGAATAAGTAAGTATAATAAAAAAATCTTGGGAAGTTGAGTTTATCTTAAAATGGCATATCCAGTTGACTCGTCTCTCTGCTTTAGTGGTTCTTCTGAAGAACCATATGACTCTCTGTGCTTCATGGCACGACTACATTGTACTGATGTTAACCATCAGTACTGTTTTAAATTGCAGCATAAAATTGTTTTCTTTGCTTCTAAGTGCGACAACAAGTTGTATTTTAATTAGTTAAAAATAGCTCGAACTGTTTTATTTGTCAGAATCAAAGTTCCAGGTATTTGGCAATTTAGTGAAATTGAATAGACTTTAGTATAATGTCCAGTCATTTTAGGTTGTACAAATACATCACACAATTCTCCACTCATGTATTCAGTATTTAATTATAGCCATTATTTGTCCTCTAGCTATTTCACATAATTATTTTGCTCTTCCCTTCTCTAAGAAGATTTCTAAACTGTATTCTTTTGAAGAACAGGATGTTCCTTTTGGTATTATTTGAGTTGTTAGCTTTGATTGATTGAGGCGTAAAAATCACTTGTGCAAGATGGAAATGCTTACTTTTTTTTTTTTCTGTATCCTAATAATAATTGGTTGGATTACTATATGTTCTTTCAGAAGCCTTAACCCCTTAAGAATGGAGGAAATTGTTCTGACCAAAACAAACCTAAAATTTGTGCAGTAGGTCTGTTCAACCATAATTAACCTGTTTCATATTAAGTGCACCCACACTTATTATATATAATTTTGTTCAGGAGAAACCGGCTTTCATTTGCCTTCAAATATTTATGTATGAAACACAATTTAAAAATATATAAAACATTTTTATTTATTTTTTTAAGTGAGAAAGAAATATTGTCATTTTCCATATTCTACATTCTTTTATCTGTGAATGTCATAATACTGTTGTCTTTTGCTGCAATAAAATACACATGTGTATGCTGTGATGTCCCACAACTGCAGTGATGCCCTCTATGTATGGTGTTTTGGAAAGTTACAAAATCAAATAAAGAGATGCTTCTATCTAAAAGAGGTTTGCTGGTTCTATGATGCCTTTGAGACCATATGGCAGCCCAGGAATGAAAATTACCCCCAACTTGGCATTACATTTTCAAAATTAGACAATCCACGATATTCAAAATGGGGTATGTCCAGTCTTTTTTTAAATTTCCACTTAGTCACAAACACTGGCCAACATTGGTGTTTATGTATGTTTTTGAATTTGTCATACAAAAACTACACTTTCACTTTCAAGATATCATGCTCTAAAACATTCTCTAAAACACTCATTTTTGTTCAGCTATGTCTCACGAGTACAACAGTATCCCCCATGTACAGGTGTTATGGGATTTTGGAAGGTAACAGGGTCAAATATTGGGCTTGCCCATTTCATGTTACCAGATTGGTTTGCTGGGCCTATGTTGCATTTGAGAAAGTATGGCAGCCCAGTAATGAGAATTTCCCAAATCTTGGCATACCATTTGCAAAAGAAGACAACCCACGGTATTTAAAATGGTGAAGTCATTTTTAGTAGCCACTCATGCCCCGTTTCCACTGAGCGGTACGGTTTGGGCTGGTACGGTCTGGTATGCTATTTCAGATGTAGGTCTATAGGATATGGTACGGTTAGGGCGGAGCTACTGGCCTCACACTATACAATCCATTGATTGGTGGACAGGAAAACGGCTATGCTCATGACAAATGAAACGCTAGGCATTTGGTCTAAACCCTGCATGCTCCCGGGTGGTCTGACTTGCAGTGGAAACGCTCACCTGAATAGGCTGGACTATTCTAACCGTTCCGAACCGTACCGACTTGAACAATACCGCTCAGTGGAAACGAGGCATTAGTTATGGCCGTGGCCAAAGTTGGTGTTCATATTTGTTTTAGTTTTTTTTTGCTCTTGTACTTGCACTGATCTTATCTCTATGTTTTACTGCTCTAAATGTTAGTTTTGTGTGGTATATTCAGTAACAGGGGGTGCATCTAGACATATAAAAACAGTTGGACATCAGGCAAAGGAGGGTTTTCACTATACCAGCCCACTAAGTGAGGTACTCCATTTTGGGTAACTTGGAGTTCTGGCCAAGTTAAAAGGCCCAATTTCACTGGTTACTGGATTATTTTAGGAGCGTTCTAAGATGTGAGTCCTTTTCTGGAATCGTCCTGATTCTGTTTGTTTAATGAAAGTCCTTGAAAATACCACACTATTAAAAGGTTCCATCTCATTGCACAGGAGTTGGGAAACAGAAACCATATTGACCTATCTCCCAGTCCATTTCTTTTCCAATACACAGCTGCACATGTGCTAATGGGTGGGCTATTTCACTGGCCCTTCTTGGTTAGTAAGAGTGAGTCCTGGAGACCACACCTGAATTTTAACTCCCACTTCTCAAAATTTGGAAAAGGAAGATGTGGCCCTCATCACCCAGTTAATGGGGATCATTTATTCCACCTGTTGAATGAAGTGTAGGAGAATACTAATGCTATAATGTTCCTTTAATGGTAAGAAATGTCTAGCTAAACTATTTTTTTTCCTATATTCTCCTCTGCTTAAATAAAAAAAAAAAAAAGTTTGTCATTTTTAAATGTTATTTTTAGAAGGGAATCCATATGCTGTGTTTGGAGACCACATCCCTTGCAGTGTTGCTTTTAAGTCCCATCCACATTTCTATGAGTTCCCTTAGCAACAACCTGCTGTTTTATACAAAACTTCTGCACGTTTTGGACCAAACTATTGGTTTAGATCCATATAAAATCTGTTTTCAAAGCACTCTTTTCTTTCTCTTCAAAAGCTCTCCAAATTGTGTGTTAATATTATTCTTTCTATGTAACCTTTCTTTGCCTTTGCTGCAGGCAGTCCAAGTCTGAGTGCAATTTTGTTCCAGACATAGACATTCAGTACAACACAGGAAAGCTGAACGTTGTGCAGTATAATCCAATATTCTTCATATTCTTGAACAAGTCCATGGGTGTTCTCCATTTATATAATTTTTAATGATGTATTTCCTTTTTATGTTCAGTGGAATAGTCAACCACTGCTTTTTAAATGGGAAAACAAAGTTGATAATTAGATTGTATTATTTCTAAGTGCACGTTCTCTCCACTGTTATCTCACATATGAGTGAAAAACTGCAGAACCAATATGCTTTACTTTTTAATTGCTGAGAGCAATGGAAAAAATGGACTGCCTTTTTATTCTTTCTTTTTTTAAAGCATGGGAGCCTCTTGAAGGAACTCTATAGTCTTAGGAATGCTTAAGTGTCCCTCTGACCCTTTCATAGCTGGGGAAGGAGGCAAATTACTTTTAAAACACTTCTGTGATTGCAGCGCCGAAGTCAGCCGGTGCAGGGGACCCAATGCACATGCGCAGCAAGCACCGTAAGCGCATTAGGCCTTCCCTATAGAAAAGCATTGATCAATACTTTCCTACGGGGGATTTGAAGACGATGGATGTCCTGATGCAAAACCTGAGGACGTTTAGTGTCATTTCACGAAGCGCCTCTAGTGGTTGTCTGAGAGAAAGCAACAAGGGCAGTGTTAACCCTGCAATGTAAACATGGCAGATTCTCTGAAACTGCAATGTTTTACATTGCAGGGTTAAGGCCACAAGGACACTGAAGCCAGACCACTTTAATGAGATGAAGTGGTCTGGGTGCCTATAGTGTGCATTTAATGCACAAACACAGCATTTGCGAATGGATAGGGATTATATCATGCCAACTAAATTACTGCAGTACACAATGTATTTCATAGTGACATCAGCTTATTTGCAACCTCATTATATTTAACAGTACAGCAGGAATTGTTGCAATTTACGAAATAGGTAAACATAACACTCAGATAAAAGCTACACTTTTTTTTAACCCTTTACTATTATTGGATATTGGACACCCAACATTGAAATGGTTTTATAATCACTGACTTGTTGTAAATCATAACTTAAAGGAACACTATAGTATTAGAAATACAAATAATTTTCCAACACCCTAGTTTTACTATACTTACTAAGGTGCCCTTCCGCGTATGAAGGTTTAAAGGTAAGTTTTACTTACCTGTCAGCCTTCACAGCATTGAACTCTGTCAAGCTGTCCGCTTCTTTGATGATCTCAGACATTTCAATGTTTCCCTGTAGGGAAACATTGACAGGCTAGTGTGCATGCATTGGTACTATATTTATTTGGTGCAATACATGTAAATCATTGCGTAAAACTATATGCATAATCTACAACAACCAAAACAATTTTAATCGCAGGCGTATATAATTGCATTCAGAAAGAATAAAATAGGTACATTTATAGCGAAACAGTGGGACAACACGGTATAGTTTAATGAAGGAGCATCAGCACCATATTGTAAGTCAGGACAAATACCCTTATAGAGACACTATAGGCACCCAAACCCTTTATCTCATTGAAGTGGTTTGGGTGCAATGTACCTGGCACCCTTACATTGAAATTAAAAAATTTCAGCTTTAGAGAAACTGCAGTATTTACATTGCAGGGTATAGACTGCTTCTAGTGGATGTCTATAAGACAGCCACTAGAGGTGCTTAATGCAGTTTCACAGAGTTTGACTCCATAAACCGATGCTGGACCTTCTCACGTTTTGCATGAGGATGTCATGCTTCTTGCAAACTCTATAGGAAACCTGTGATTCAGTGCTTTCTCATGGGGAAGGCCTAACGTGCGCTCAGTATGTGCATTAGGTTCCTGTATCACCAGGAGGAGCAGATCGATCCAGCTCCAAGGGTCTTCGGCGCTGGGTCAGGTAAGTGGTAAAAAAAAGGGGTTATTAAATCTTAATTTGTCACGGAAAGTGGGTAAAGGAGGGGCAGAGACACACTAGTATTAGGAATACAAAACTGTATTTCTAACACTATAGTGTATATTTAATCTGTGTATTAGTGGAGCAAATCGTTTTAGCTCATAAAATACAATCTAACATACACTGAATGAAAGCCAAGGAAGCAAGGCTGTGAGGAAAAACAAGTGTCCAGGAGATCAGACCATTGAGACCAGATCCATCCTTTGTCTCTGAATATTATTCATAGTAGCCATATATTCATAAGGACAAATAGGTGTTTAATTTGTCCACTAACTCCTGTACAGAAGGAATCACTTGTCACTTCCATTTGAGGGCTGTGAGGTGTTATGCTGCTAGAGTTACATGGGATGCTAGAGGTCTCTGGTGAAAAAGGAAGGCACATATAGAGTTTGGCCAGAGGAAGGGACAACTTGTATAAATAATTAAGTCCTGATCCCGAGTTGGAGATGGATTGGTGTACCTGTTTGAAGACATCACCATCAGACGAGATTAGTTAATTTGTTAATTATTCTGTAACCTGTCAGGGGTCAAATAGCAACGGCAGAAATTGAAGCATCCGGTAATACCATTGATAGTTCAGCTATTATGCACAAAAATAGCTGAATATTTCTGGCCTGAATTTTGGTCATGAAAAACGAATTGTAATACTTGATATGCTATTTGCCCGTAAAACTCAATTATTTTTCATTGTTGCAATCAGGAGGGTCATATTATTTAACATAGCTTAAAGGAAAACGTTCACTTCTGGAAATTGCACCATTGAATAAAACATTGAACATCACCTATAATTTGTGTTGTGGTCTGTTTTGTAAATCTATACATTATTAAATAAATACTGTTCCTGTTACAAATTAGATGAATACATTGATCAGCCACAACATTAAATCCACTGCCAGGGGAAGTGAATAACTTTGATTATATCGTTACAATGGCACCTTGGAAGGGATGGGATGTTAGGCACCAGGTGAACAGTCAGTTCTTGAATTTTGTGTTGGAAGCAGGTGAGAAGGCAGTTGAAAAGATGTGAATGTGCTTGGGAAGGGTCAAATAGTGATGGCTAGATGACTGGGTCAGAACATCTTCAAAATGTCAAGTCTTGTGGGGTGTTCCCGGTATGCAGTGGTTAGTACCTAGCAAACATGGTGCAAGAAAGGACAACCAGTGAACCGGCATCAGGGTCAAGGGCACCCAAGGCTTATTGATGCATGTGGGGAGCGAACGCTAGCCCATTTGGTCTGATCACACAGAAGAGCTACTATATCTAAAATTGCTGAAAATCTTAATGTTGGCCATGATAGGATTTAGAATACACCATGCATTACAGTTTGCTGTGTATGGGACTGCGTAGCCACATGCGTGTGCATTGTTTACCTTAGGAAGATATGGCAGCAGGATACACTGTAAGAAGATGGCAGGCCGGGCGAGGCAGTGTTATGTTCTGGGCAATGTTCTGCGGGGAATCCTTGAGTCCTGGCATTCATGTGGATGTTACTTTGACACATACCACCTTCCTAGAGATTGTTGCAAACCACCCCTTCAAAAATAGTTTGAGGAACATGAAGAGCGTTTAAGGTATTGCTTTGGCTTCCGAATTGCCCAGATCTCAATTCAATTGAGAATCTGTAAGATATGGCTGAACAACAAATCCGATCCATTGAGGCCCCACCTAACAAATTGCAGCATATAAAGGATCTGCTGCTAATGTCTTGGTACGGATACAACCGTACACATTGAAAAGGTTTTGTGGAATTCATGTCTCGATGGGTCAGAATTGTTTTGGTCGCATAATGGGGACCTACATGATATCAAATGGACCCTATAATCACCAGAACAACTACAGCTTAATATAGTTGTTCATGTAGTCTTTTTGCAGTAAACACTGTCTTTTCAGAGAAAAGACAGTGTTTACATTACAGCCTAGGGACACGTTCAGTGGCCACTACTCTAATGGCTACTAGAGGTGCATTCTGGGGCAGTGCTGCACAGTGTGTAGCTCTGATGTTCATTATCTCCACTCTCTGCATGAAGACACTGAACTTTCCTCATAGAATTGCATTGATTCAATGCACCTCTGAGGAGATGCTAATTGGCCAGGACAGTGTTTGGCTCTGCCCCCAACCCAAGTCCTTGGCTAAGAATATTAGAATTGACAATCTCAGCTAATCCAATGCTTTCCTGTACCAATGTTTGTGTTCCTGACCCTATAGTGTTCTTTTAAGCTGGGTTTTTAATGTTATGGCTGATCAGTGTATATGAGCTTCTTTTAGATTGCAGACAAGTTTGTGTAGGCTTTGTAAAAATCCTTGATTCTTCTTGTGTTGTTTGGAATTTTTTTTCTTTGACTTTAATCAAACAAAAACACCTACTAAGGCAGGGGTCGTCAACCTGGTCCCTACCGCTCACTTGTAGGCGTTTCAGGATTCCAGGTGGGCGGTAGTGGGTTCTAAGGCACAAGCAGAATCCCCCCTCCATCCAGAGAGATGAACGCTCTATTCATCTCTCACGCACTCCGTGGTTAGCAGGAATTGCGGGCATGCAGATGCGAACGCACGAATGCATAACCGCAAGTACGTGCGCATGTACGAACGCGGACGAATGTAACACGTTGCTAGAGGAAGGGGAGGAGTTGGAGTAGGGGTATACATGATAGCAGGGAGTGGAATACTTGTAGAATAGGAGAAAGAAGGAGCCGAGTACTTGGAAAATAAAAAATATAGGAAGGAGAGAATTGTTGTTGACTAATAATAATAAGTTGGCTACCCACCTCAGCCTTACTGCCGAGTATTGCTATAAGGAAGGTAAAAGAAAAGAATAAAGGAAAAAGAGAAAAAAATTTTTTTTTTTCAAAATTGAAAAACTAGTGGGCGGTAAGGACATTTATCCATCAAAAAAGATGCATCAGTGGGCGGTAAGTATAAAAAGGTTGACTACCCCTGTACTAATTCTTGAAATTAAAAAAAATATTAACACAGAAAATGTTGTTGCAGTCACCCTTTCAAGCTTTGTGTGGGCTCCAGTGTGACATGGCATAACTTTGTAAAGTATACCCATGATTTAGCTTGTGGCAGATTTCCTTGCAAAGGTTATCAGCAGCAATTAATTAATGGAAGACTCCAAGCATTCACTGCGCTCTACACTCAGTGGACGTATCGAGAGTGCTCTAAGCCAATAAGTGCAGTCCTTAACTGGCCAGTCTCAGCTAAAGAAGACATCTGACTTCTCCTGTACAATAATACTGGATGTGATGTGGGCTTTAGTGGTTATGGTGCTTAGAGTATTCCTTTAATATTTATAAAAAAATAAAGTTTAATCTCCAGGTTTCTCTCCTAGATTTGTAATTTAGAAAAAATCATGCATGGTTATGCCACTAATTGAAGTTACGGTGCACTTAATTTCCTTACTATATTACACTTTGTGTTTTGTAAAGGTTCGAAAGATCTGGTTGTAAAAGCGCAAGTGCTGGCTGGTGGCAGAGGTAAAGGTACCTTTGAAGGTGGTCTTAAAGGAGGAGTGAAGATTGTTTATTCGTAAGTTTTCCAGAACTAATTTATTTATTTACAGAGCACCAACATGTTGAATGAACACAATGTTAGCTAGGTTTTGGAGGTGGGTTTATAGAAAGAAATTAAAATAGGAATTGAGTTGAAAAGCTAAATGTGAGCTGTTTTAGTAAATAGAAACAAGCTAATATTTAATAAGACCAAGATCAATCAGTATAAAGAAACAAATATTAGTAGTTGATGTTCTGTTAATGGACCTGGATCATTCAATTTCAATGCAACACTATAAGCGCTTATTGCAGTGGCCTAAAGCCAATTTTCCCATTGCTATACTTATTTATTTTATTAAAAAGTATTTATTTTGTTAAATGCCTGTCACCAGTTCAGCTATGGTAGCAGTTAGGAGGCAGTGATAGGCTCAGAGCTCTGGGGGTGGTTGTCTACAGACTTTAATACACTATGATCACTTCAATTAGCTAAAGTGGTTATGTTGCTTATAACGCCCATTATACTGTTCTGGAAAATTCAACAAAAGTCCAGGCATGTCTAGTGGCTTCAGCTCACGAGCTTGTCAAAGGCTCATGTAAGAACTGAAACCTTGTCACTGTATTTTGTTCCTGAATAACAGACTGCCTTTTTGAAGAAACCACTAGGTATGCCTGGAGTTTTGTGTAATTTTCTAGTGAAATATTTGGGGATTTGCCCTCCCTGTCTGGAGCATTCTGGTGGGATTAATCCCTTGCAGAGTCTGCATTGCCCACTTACTATTACAAACATTTAACTGTTCTTGTCATAGATGAGTGTGCCCTTCCTAGAAAAGTCCAGATTTAAAAGGACACTATAGACACCAAAACAACTTTATTTTAATGAAGCAGTTTTGGTGTATAGATCATGTCCCTGCAGTCTCTCTGCTTAATTGACTGCCATATAGGAGTTAAATCACTTTGTTTATGCAGCCCTAGGCACACTTCCCTGCATATGACTTACACAGCCTTCCTAAACACTTCCTGTAAAGAGACATATTGGAAGGCATGGCCTGAAGTTGTGGGAGGGGCTATAGACCTATAAAAGGGACTCCCCCCTCTCCCTACTTACCTTTGTTGGTCAGACGAATAGACTGTTCAAGGTCAGCATTTGCATGAGATCCACTTCCAGGTCATACAAGATGCCATTTTGGTTTCACCTTTGCTCTATGAGGTCTCCTACTCCAAGCTGTGTCCAGGAATCCTGCAGCAGGGATTTCCGTTAATCCAGTGGCTTTTCTCTCCAGTCAGCATCGCATTTGGTGTCTCAGGGACTCTCAAACCGTAAGTTGACCCACCTGTCGCGCCAGGATTAGTTCCCACGGCGTTCAACACAGCACGGGTCCTCACTTTACGGTTTCCTTTCGTTTTGCACGGTTATTTCGTTACCTTATACTCACCTAGCTGTTTATGTAAAATCTGTTGGTTGAAATCTGTTTTGGTTAAAAATCTGTTGGGTTAAAACTACAAACGACATACAATTTTTTCGCCTACACACTGACCCCTATCGGTCATGTACGAACCACTGCATTTGTGCCTACACACTGACCGCTATCGGTCATTCAGTGTACTACAGGCATCTCAGACATTATTGCATTTCATGTACGAACCACTGCATTTGTGCCTACACACTGACCCCTATCGGTCATTCGGTGTACTACAGGCATCTCAGACATTATTGCATTTCATGTACGAACCACTGCATTTGTGCCGACACACTGACCCCTATCGGTCATTCGGTGTACTACAGGCATCTCAGACATTATTGCATTTCATGTACGAACCACTGCATTTGTGCCTACACACTGACCCCTATCGGTCATTCGGTGTACTACAGGCATCTCAGACATTATTGCATTTCATGTACGAACCACTGCATTTGTGCCTACACACTGACCCCTATCGGTCATTCAGTGTACTACAGGTTTCTTAGACGTTTTTGCATTTCATGTACGAACCAATAAACCACTGCTTTTTCACTTACACACTGACCCCTACCGGTCATTCAGTGTACTACAGCCTTCTCAGATATTATTGCATTTCATGTACAAACCAACGAACCACTGCATTTTCATCTAGACACTGACCCCTACCGGTCATTCGGTGTACTACAGGCATCTCAGACATTATTGCATTTCATCTACAAACCAACGAACCACTGCATTTGCGCCTACACACTGACCCCTATCGGTCATTCGGTGTACTACAGGCTTCTTAGACGTTTTTGCATTTCATGTACAAATCAATTAACCACTGCATTTTAACCTACACACTGACCCCTACCAGTCATTCAGTGTACTACAGGCTTCTCAGATATTATTGCATTTCATGTACAAACCAACGAACCACTGCATTTTCACCTAGACACTGACCCCTACCGGTCATTTGGTGTACTACAGGCATCTCAGACATTATTTCATTTCATGTACAAACCAACGAACCACTGCATTTGCGCCTACACACTGACCCCTATCAGTCGTTCGGTGTACTATAGGCTTCTTAGAAGTTTTGCATTTCATGTACAAACCACTGCATTTTCACTGCATTTTCACCAAGACACTGACCCCTGCCAATCATTTGGTGTAACTACAGGCATCTCAGACATTATTGCATTTCATGTACAAACCAACAAACCACTGCATTTGCGCCTACACACTGACCCCTACCGGTCATTCGGTGTACTACAGGCTTCTCAGACATTATTGCATTTCATGTACAAACTAACGAACCACGGCATTTTCGCCTACATGCTGAACCTTACTGGTCATTCAGTGTACTAGAGGCTTCTCAGACTTTATTTCACTTCGTAAGCAAACAAACTACAGCATTTTCACTTTTATACTGACTCCTATCTGTCAAACGGTATACTACAGGCTTTTCAGACATACGGTTATTCCCCTCATAACATTTCCACTATAATTATAATTACACAATAACACTTCCTTACAAATCATGCTTACTATGATATAATCATTACTGCATACCTGCCTTCATAGGCATTTAGTTACATTTACTGACAATACGCATACATTTACCCAAGAATGCACATACTATTTAAAGCACTATGCAGTTTTCCAGAGTCTAATACGGAATATTTGCACGCTTAAAATATAAATCCTTCCAATGACGTATTTTCACTTATTAGGTTATTCAGCTGCCAGTTATGGTTCACTACACTCATGTTTCGGGGTACAGTTGTGTTCCATATCACACATGATATAACACTCCCGACAAGTTAATTTCCTTCAAACAGGGGCATTACAAGCATACAATAAACATTGGGACGGAGCACTTTGCTCTATTAAACTCGCATAACACACATGGATATACGCTTTTAAATGTCTATATTCAATTTTCATACATTGTTTTACCCGTCCGGGATACAGGTATTAATAACCCTTACGACCAGTAAGGGTATCTAATCATACTACCAGGTACATACACCTGCTCATGTGGTATATACATATATTTTCTGTTTCCCCCCTGGGCATATCCTTAGCGTACTGGCAATTAGGGACTATAGGTTTCCAATAGATATTTTCCTTTTCTTGGCATCTACGCCTGTTGTATAGTGGTCCCGCGAGGCCCCGCCTCAACGCTCGGAGGCAAACACCCATCGGGCCACTCGTGAGCTAGCCGCCTCGCATGGTATATAGAGAGGGCCTCACCTGTCACTCCCTTCCCCTTTTTTATGGTTACAGTCACCGAGAGGCCAACATCCTGCCACTACGTTTGGTGGCCACAAAAAAATCCCCTCGCGCCATTGCATAGATAGAGCCTCTCAAGCCACTTGGCAACTAGCAGGGCCTCACCTGTCACCAAACAAAGGATTAATTGTTTCGCCTTGCGGCTTTAGCTAGCAAGCCAGTACTAGCACACGGTGGGTTCATATAATAATGGCTATCTTCATATTTTTTTGTATGTATCAAGCAGGTGGTAAGGATTTCTCTCTACCTAACACTCCAGCTAGAGTCAACACACTTTCACTTGGAGATGTTGCTAGTCCCACAGGACAATTTTGTCCCAACACAGCGGACGATCACGTTTCAGGCTCCAGGCTCTAGCACCTCTGGTAGGACGTAGCGAACTACCCGAGATAAATTGGGTCGTCTCATTCTCTTTGGCAAATCCCAGATTTGCAACAATTTCCACGTTGGCACATGTAGTTTCAGTGCATGCAGACTGTTGCAGATATGTTCCCAATATGTCAGGGCACATGCAAAAACCATGTGTCCCAATAAATGTACCCTGAACCTTACTTCTCATCTGTAAACATTATGCATTTCCAGTACTTTCTAACTTATCACCCTTCCAGACATTTAGTTTATTTCCTAATCTCCGATTTTAAAGGCCTTCTGTTCAGGTATTGCCATATACTTTTGGGGAAATCTAGAATGCCCTAACTTGCAGTCATCACAGCAGCATCCAACAGCTGGCATTACACTCATGGCCCAAGAATGGCAGAAATATTTCTACCTGGGCCTCTCCGATCTACACCATTTACAGTGTGGCGCAATCTCATTGGGATTGTCACAGGGAATCTTCCCTCACACTGTAACTGATCATAGACTTATCTGCACCTCACGCCTCGGCTACCCCATAATCTCAACTCCCTCATACCCTCCGAGGAGTTTTCATTACAGTATGCCACCATTGTTCATACCATGACAACTATCACTCAAGCAGGGAGGGGAAGCCTGGTTAAGTAAAACTGATATCACAAACGCATTTCAGACTGCCACCATCCACCCTGCACTGGCACTTACAGGGCATTTATGGGCAGCAGTTATATATTTCTTCTCCCGCTTAACTTTCGGGTCAAGAGCAGCCCACAATCTTCAATATATTCGTTGAACTCTTTACTGGTTGTGGTTAAACATATCCAGATGCCCCACAGTCATACACTCCCGAGATGATTTCTTGTTGGTCAAAGGGAATGCCTTTCCCTCTAGAAGCTTCATAGGAAGCCATTAGTATGTCTGAACACTTGGGTGTCCCAGTATTCCCTAAGGTCACAGAAGACCCAGACACTATCGTTACATTCCTGGGCATACAACTTGACTCGGCATCCATACCAACAAGTTACCACGCGAGAAATAGGAACAGTCGCAACAACACCAATTACCACCTCCTGCTTGGTACTTGCAACCACATGGAACTACAATCCCTACCAGGTTCCTTAAATTTTGCCATGCACATCGTACCGAAGGCCGCGCTTTCCTCTCAGACCACTTTGCATTTTCCTCCTTCCCGAATGATGATCAGGGGCTGTCCCTAGACAACCAAGCCATGGCAGACCTACACATATGGTGGACTTTCTTAACCACACGTAATGGTAAATTATTGTGGCAGCTGCCGTGACAGCCGCCATGGCAGGGGGTCCTTTATGGTCATGGATTACATGAACCTCGCCAACATAGCCGGGCTCTGACTAAACTTGCCTTGTCCACCAGCACTCAACACGCTTGCTACAGGGTTTTCCACTTATATAATACGTTTCATGTCGGACCATCACTTAGATAGCTGGTTTGAGGTTTCACCACGTATGGCTTTCGCCTTTTTTTTGCCACCTTAAGTTAATAATTCTCGCGCAACACGGTTAAACTTTATCTCACGGGCATTCAACACTATACGTATTTCTCCATCCCAAACAATAAGGCTTCCTATCCTCCTACCCCATACATACCTTACTTAGAGACATGGCCAAGCGGACGTTCCCGCTAAAACTAAATACTGGCCATAGACATACAATGTTCAAACCATGACAGAACCACTCGACCATGCACTTCCGAGCCACACACCAATGCAGTTATCAAAACTGCTACCTATCTAGCCTTTAACGGCTTTCTCAGGCCAAAACAATAACTCACTATCAGCGGCCAACATCATAAACAAGAGTGCCTGTTGACCTCTTATCTTCTAAAACACACAGACCACTATGTCCGGTCCCTTCCTAAAACTAAGATGAGTCAGAGGGGCGATCCAGTGCATATAACCTACTACCTTACAAGCAATACTGGGTGCCTGGTTAAGGTACTGATTACGTTCTTGGGCACGCTACCATACGGACCACTGAACCATTACTGTCGCTGTACGATACTGTCCTTACCACAGGTAAGTTCATGCACTATGTCCACCTACTCACTCAACGTGCTCGAACTAAACCCTAGCGACTACTCAGGGCACTCCTTTAGAATAGGAGCAGCTTATGCGACGTACATACCACAGCCGATTCAGGAATTAGGAAGCTTTCATTAAAATGTCTACCTGATGGTTAACAAATGCACTATGATCCTGTATAATGTTTTGCATTACTATGTCTCTTTTTGCCCATTTTTTACCGGCCTACAGCATACGTCGGTTTCGGCACACCTCAACCGATTATTCCTAAAGCTACATCTCTACAACCCATCTTATTCTATATCATATGAGAATGCCCCGAACACAACTATTGTTTACACTTCCTTTTTTTCAAATTCTGTTTAATTTGGAATTTCTTATCACGTGCACAGTTAATAGCTTGCTAAAACTATAAAAGTAAGTTACATTGTATTGAAAATGAAAGCATTTTTGTCATGCAGACTGTCAGTCACAGCCAGGGGAGGTGTGACTAGGGCTGCATAAACATATAGTGATTTGACTCCTAAATGATAGAGAATTGAGCAGTGAGACTGCAGGGGCATGAGCTATACACCCAAACTGCTTCATTAAGCTAAAGTTGTTTTGCTGACTATAGTGTCCCTTTAAATTTATACTTATCTGCCGGTATACATGTTTTTCACATATTGTGTGGATGGCATGTTTTTCCTAAATTATAGAGGAGATTACAAATGATATTTTGTTCATAGAGTAAAATCAATTTTCTTTACCAATATTTTGGTTTATTCATTTCGCTAGAATGTGTACTGAAGTTTTATATCCTATATCATTGTAAGAGAGTCCTTTTAGACATGTGTGATCGTTGCTGACGTGCTTTTATTACACTGACTTTACACTATGTGCTGCTTTTTTTATTTTTTATTTAATTTTTAGTCCAGAAGAAGCCAAAGACATTTCCTCACAAATGATTGGGAAGAAACTATTCACAAAGCAGACAGGAGAAAAGGGCAGGATATGCAATCACGTATTTATTTGTGAGCGACGATATCCCAGGAGGGAGTATTACTTTGCAATCACCATGGAGAGATCTTTTCAAGTGAGTGTGTGTCAAACAAAACTTTTGGAACCACAGAAAACTGATTTAAAAAACAAAACAAAAAAAACCCCTAAGTGCTGTATATAGAATTATGTTGACGTAAAAATATGTTATGGGTGAAAATGTACTGTTTCTTCTAATATTCGATGATTATATTAATTTTACGTCTATACCAGCAATATCTGAGCATGTAAGATAAAACATAAATGGAATTTAAAGATGGTCAGGAAGCTTTGCTTTTATTGATGACATGGATGATTTCCTTTTAAACTGCAAGAATTGTTGCTTTTCTTCAGACATTTATAAAAATATATTATTTCATCTAAATGGTCTGGGTGCAGTGGTCCTGTCATTTTAACTATTGCTGTTTTGCAGAAAGGACAATGTTTATCGTGAAGGGTTAAACACGCCTCTAGTGGCTGTTACACAGGCAGCCACTAGAGGCACTTCCGCTGCACTGAGGAAAAACTCAGATTCATTGCCCTCCTATTAGAAGCGTTGAATGATGACACAGTACTTGCAGTGCATCACATTACTGATACTCCATGAGCTATAATGAGCCTTGGACTGAAGCCATGTCTCCTTGATGATGATGTGGGAGGCGGAAAGGTGAGTTGCATTGAAGGAGTCTTGGAAAAAGGTAAGTAAGCTGCTTTTTATTTATTTTTTTTTATTTTTTTTGCCGTGCATATGAAAATACAACACGCATGGGGTACCCAAACGGCAATCCTCATGCTTTTGTTTTAAAGATATTTATAACAGTGAGGGGTGTGATAGTACATGCACAATTTTATGGTAAGTATGTAAGATTATTCACGCTGTATGCAGATTGGTTTTATGTAGTTTAAAGTAGGCTAATGTCCATTAAGTTGCTCTTGTCCATTTAGAAGTCACAGGGGTAAAAAGTGATGCAGGTACAGAACAAGTAGTAGGGAAGACTTCGCTTAAACGACCACTCTAGGCACCCAGACCACTTCAGCTTAATTAAGTGGTCTGGGTGCCAGGTCCAGCTAGGGTTAATCCATTTTTTAATAAACATGGCAGTTTCAGAGAAACTGCTATGTTTATTAATGGGTTAAGCCTCCTCCCTAATCTTCATTGATAGCCACTAGAGGCGCTTGTGTGCTTCTCACTGTGATTTTCACAGTGAGAGCACGCCAGCGTACATAGGAAAGCATTATGAATGCTTTCCTTTGTGACCGGCTGAATGCGCGCGCATCCAGCCGACGGGGCGGAACGGAGGAGGAGAGAAGGAGGAGAGCTCCCCGCCGAGCGCTGGAAAAATGTAAGTTTAAACCCCTTTCCCGTTTCCAGAGCTGGGCGGGAGGGAGTCCCTGAGGGTGGTGGCACCCTCAGGGCACTATAGTGCCAGGAAAACGAGTATGTTTTCCTGGCACTATAGTGGTCCTTTAATATATGTTAGCATGGAGACAATATTAAGAAACAGGCTTCTTGAGACCTATACACAGCTATAGTGCAAGATTCATGGCACAACATTTTGATCCTGTCTACGACTCAACAAGTAACCCTTAGTGGTAAGAACAAAAAAAAAAAGGAGGGTGTGGGGAGGAGGGGGGCAACATAATAATAGGTAAAAAGCACTCATCAGAATACGTTTAGTCCCAGGGTCTGTACACGTTTTCCACCCCACACCATTTCTTGAGGCTGGATCTTTCCGTCCCAGGTTGTGGCTGAATTGAGGGTCTTCGGGGTGTGTGGTAGCTGGTTCTGTTTGTTGGTTCTTTGGACCGGTTTCGTGAGTGGTGCCTATCCCAACATTTGGGGTGATCTCCCTTCCGCGAGTGAGAAGGGGGTTCTCCCTTCCGCTGTCGCCCCCAGGGGGTCTGCTGCTGTAGATTTATTGCTTCTGACCTCTCCGGCTCCTGCCATTCAGATGCTGTACAGAGCCGATCCAGGCATGTTAGCAGCTTGTCTCTGCGGTGTATGGGATCAGCGTTGTGTGTGGGTGTTGTGGTGGTGCTGGCAGCCGCCATCTTAGGTGAGTGGATTTTTTCTGCGGCCTCCTGGCCTTGCCTGTCTGGTAGGGCTTGTGTGTGCAGGCGCTGGTTTGTGTGGATGCCGTGGTGGACCGGGATGACCCACGCAGGGGGAGGGGGATCAGTGGTGTCCTGCACGACTTCGGAGCTGGGAGACCAGGCGCATCTCCTGCCCCGCATCAACTGCTAGGACTTGCCTCAGTAAGTGCGCCCGGAGAGTGCATAGTGTCTTTGTCCCGTTGCCAGTGGGTGCTCCGTGGGGGGGGGGAGGGGGGTTGTTGAGGTACCTGTTTTTCTCGGCTGGGTTGCCGCAAATTAGGAGTAATTTTGGGCCCTTGGTCAGAGCTCCGGGTAGCTGCGACTTCTCTGCATGGCGGTCAAACTCCGCCCCTGTTGCTTTAAAAAACAAACATTCAATTTAGTTGGGAACGGGGGACTGCATATAACTAGAGACATAGGGCACTATAGCATTATGAATACTGTTTTTTAACTTCCTAACTCGATTGACAAGGTGGCAGATCAGGGGCAGAGCCTCACAAGCCAAACACAGCCCTGGCCAATCAGCATCTACTCATAGAAATGCACGGAATCAATGCAGGAAAGTTCAGTATCTCCATGCAGATGGTGGAGACACTGAATGGCAGTCACACTCTGCAGCACTGCCTCAGGAAGCACCATTAGTAGCCTTCTGAGGTGTGGCCAGTGGAGGTATTCCTAGGCTGTAATGAAAACACTGCCTTTTCTCTAAAAACACAGTGCTTACTGCAAAAAGCCTGAAGGGAATGATTATACTCATCAGACCAAATAGAATAAGTTGTAGTTGTTCTGGTGACTAGTGTCCCTTTAAAGTAGAACTCTAACGCTGTTACAAATCATTGTATAGTTATGTGTTGTGTAGTTTGTTGCCATCTTCCTGGTTTATGTCAAACTATTTTTGTGCAGTTTGAGAAAAACCAGGGCTGCCATGGCTCTCTGCTGTGGGTTGGCTAACTGTGGATGCCATGGATAGGCTGAGAGATGTGGGGGGGATTAGAAGCTCCTTACTGTCCAAAGTTGAAAGGCTGATGGCCTTTGCTAGTGTTTAGTGCAAAAGTGACTTCAACAGTTACTTGTACAATTCCTTAACACTAAATCTAGTATGGCCTCTTTACGAGTTGGCTCCTCAACAACTTTCTTTTAGAGACAATCCCAGTAGGGAGTTTAGAATATGTGTGCTCCTGGCACAAGTAGCTAATTTTGTTTTCCAATTTACATCAGGAAGATTAAAGTCACCCATGATGATAACTTCCCCCTTCATTGTCATTTTAGCTATTTCCTCAACTAGTAGATTATCTAACTCTTCAATTTGTCCTGGGGGCCTATAAATCACACCTACACGAGTTACTGTGTGATTACCAAATTCTAACGTAGCCCAAACGGACTCTATGTTTGCCTCACTAACTTTTATTAGGCTAGATTTTATGCTATCCTTCACATACAAGGCCACCCCTCCCCCTTTCTTGCCTTCCCTATCTTTCCTATATAAAGAGTACCCTGGTATTGCTATGTCCCAGTAATTTTTCTCATTGTACCATGTCTCAGTAACAGCGACTAAATCAGTTGCCATTATTGTTCACGGATCTTATTCCCTAAACTGCGAGCATTTGTAGACATGACTCTAAGCTTATCATTTTTTAACACACTTGCTACAGGCACCTTCTGTCCTTGTTTTGGGGGACAATTGGATTGATGTTTTATCACCCTTTTGCCCCCCCCTCCTAGTTTAAATACATCCTAGCAAAACCTCTGAACTGCTCACTGAGAACATTTGTTCCCTTTTGAGAAAGATGCAAACCATCTTTTTTGTACAGCTTATCTCCATTCCAAACAGAGCTACCATGAGAAATAAAGCCAAATCCTTGCTCCCGACACCATTCACCAAGCCACAAATTAAAGTCCCTAATACGCATCCGCCTGTCGTTCTGAGTGTTATGCACAGGCAGAACTTCAGAGAATGACAGTGTGGAAGCAACCTGCCGTATATCATTGGCAAAAACACTAAAAACTTCCTTAACCTCTGAAATCTCATTGCAAGCCAAGTCATTTGTCCCTAGATGGACAAGTACATCCAATTCCCCTTCCTGCTTTGCTTGCTTAACAATATTACAGATACGTCTCCTGTCTCTGTGAGCAGTAGCTCCGGGAAGACACCTCACAAGACCACCATTGTCCATCTCCACACCTCTTATAATGGAATCCCCAACAACAACTGCTTTCTATTAGGCCTCACCACCATAGTCTCCAAGCCCGGTCTCCACAACACCACTAGCCTCAGTGCACTCAGTGCCTCTCTCCAGTGCCTCTCTCCACACACCACTAGCCTCAGTGCCTCTCTCCACAACACCACTAGCCTCAGTGCCTCTCTCCACAACACCATTACACTCTGAAAGTGCAGAAAATTAATTATGAAGAGCAACAGACTGTGCAATATGCCTTTTATCCACAACTCTAAGTCTACCAGATCCTACAGTAATCCATCTGCCATTCCTAGTATGTCTCTGCGGCAGTGGCTTTGCAGCAGTTCCAGTCTGAGTTTGCTCACCAGATAATTTACAAATCTCAGACTTCAAAAATACAATCTCCTGCTGCAAGATAGAGAACTGTCTACAGATTAGACAACAACCAAACCTCCAAAAAGTGGAACGTGAAACAAATGCATAGCAATTGTTACACTGAACTAAGTCTGCCATTCCAATTAGGAGAATAATTTAAATCTAACAAATCTTAACTTTGTATTTATCCTCCTGAATACCTCAGATTACCTCCAGTTTATCTCCAGAATATCTCCAACTACACACTTAGAAACAGCACTCTCCAGAATATCTCCAACTACACACTTAGAAACAGCACTCTCCAGAATATCTCCAACTACACACTTAGAAACAGCACTTAGAAGTAGCACCAAGCTATATTAGACAAGCTAATGACAACAAGCCTTATATAACTCCTAAAATCACCACCCACTAGGAATGTTTAACACCTGGGTAGGCCTCTGCTTATTTGCAAACAATAGCTAATTAACCAGCAATCAATAGCAAGTAACTAGCTTAATCAAATCAAATGCCTTATAATTACCAACAGGAATTCAAACCTTGTGCAATCAGTAACCTTTTCCTACAGATGAATCTTACCTGTAACAGTAGAAAAGAAAGCTCTTAGCACAACTCTTAGACAGTTGAAGCTTCTGTAAAACTCTCCAGAATATCTCCAACTACGCACTTAGAAGTAGCACCAAGCTATATTGGAGTTAGACCATTATATTTCTTCAGCCCCAGCCACACCTCCCATGGCTGTGACTTACACACTTACTGGGGAAAAAAAGGTTTTCATGTTTAAACCTACCTTTAACAGTTCTTCCCTGCTATGAACTGTTATTGCAAATCAGCTTTCTTTGTGAGCTGTACTGGCTGATGATTGGCTGGTGGTTAAGTACAGAACCTACTACAGCGGTATTCATTAACTTCTAATGTAGGAATATCAAAATGACAAGCTGTCATGTACCTAGCAGAGATGGTTTATGCAGACTCCTAGCTAAATTCATGGCTTTAGTTCATTGTGTCAGCGAGTGGGAGAGCTTCATCCTTGCCAGGATCATATCCGGTCCCCATAGACAAATGCTACTTGGAGACAAATTCTCAGAACGAAATTTCATGTTAGAATCGCCATGGTGACTTGGCACTTAGAATTGTTCTGAAATTGTAATTGCACTAGATTTATTGCTTTCAAGTCAACATGATTTATGTTCGTGTTACAGTGCATCTTTCACGGTTGTTATGACCTTTCAAGTCAAATAGCTTTAATTTTCATCTATACTTATATGTTAGTCAAATTACTAGCAAATTCATGGATTCAATAAATCAGTAATATATTTTGTTCCGACTTGTCAGTTGATATTTGGCATAGAGTGTTGTGCTGATGGTTTCGCAATGACCACTTTGCTTGCCTTATCCCAGGGCTTGACAAATATGCATTGAATCTAGGTGCCAGCTTTTTTCAACAACATAATTTATTCTTATTTGTTCTTTAATTCCTCCTTTCAGCTACTATACTTGATAGGAATTTTTCTCCATCACCCCAACACTATACCTTTTTGTAGCCTTCCACTCCCGTTTCTATACCCACTTTATCTGTATTTCTATCATAGATACTTCATGTGCATATATTGGCCTGATTGGTGCCGTTACAATATTGCCCTAACAGCTACAATTGTATTTAAAACGCCAAAGATATTTAACTTTGTAAACCTGAATAGCTACAGGAGCAACTGCTTTATACCCGGATACTTTTATAGCAGCTTTTAAATCCCTTGCACATTTTTGGATCACTGTTTTTTTGGTTTCACGTTTTCAGTGTATAATTATGTGTCTAACGTACAATACTGAATAAAGATTGTTAATAATTGTAATTTTTTTAACCTTTTGATTGAGTTGTTTACCTCCTGTATGGGTAAATCTTTGGCAGGTTTTTGAGAGTTGATATGAGAGTGAGACTTGGGTTCTCGCTTTCAGTATACCTGCTTTAAGTGCTTTTTCTTTTTTTTCTCAAATAATTTCCAGAGAAGTTACTGTTTTTCATCCAAAGATTACATTTATTTAGATAGGACAAACTGAAAAGTGTTACATCACTTGACAGGTCCACATCAAAGGAATACTCTAACGTAAGAGATAGAAACATGCCTTTCTAATGTTGGTGTTTTACAAACCTTTTAGATATCTAGCCCCCCTTTAAAAGTTAAAAAGTTTTTATTTTCGGTATATCCCTCGCCGTGATTGCCTCACCGTGGCTGTTGCTCTGCCCCAGCTGAGACAATGTCGTCTCTGTAGGAAAGCACTGGGGGGCTAATGCATGGCAATCGCTGCACTGTGCCAGTCTGAATTTCCTCAAAGGAATGTATTCGCTCGGTGCCTCTCTAATTAGAGCTTTCAAGTCTTCATGCCCTGCCACGATTGCAGGACTGCTATAGGAAACACATCTAGTGGCAGTCTGAGTGACAGTCACTATAGTTGTTCATAGGAAGCAACTTAAACACTGCCTTTTCTCACAAAAGGTAATGTTTGACTAAAGGGACAGTCTTTGTACCAGAACCACTACATTAATCTATAGCCCCTTTGAACAGCATAACAAGCCAAAATCTGATTGATTTTATGCTCAGTATTTTGGATTCACACCTCTGACATTCACTCATCTTTCGATTCTGCGCTGTTTAGTGGCTAAAATATCTTGTGAACCAACCATACAATGTGTTATTCTGTCTGTCCATGTAGGAAGGAATTATATCCGTATAATTGTATCATTTATCTGTAAGTAGTTTGTAATTTGAGCAGATGCGATGATCCAATTTACAGATTTTACTATTAACATGACGTAAAGTCATGATTTTATTAATGACACGGAGGCGAGTATTATGCTGCACTCTTTCTTTATTTACCTCAGCAGCAAAGAAAAATAACATTAAATCAGTATAAAAGAAACCAGTAAATAACATGAGGTATATCTTCCTAGCAACAGGAACAGCCAATCAGCATCCTCTTTATAGCATAATAGGCAGTGTTCAGTATACTACTTCCTCTTTCTTGCGATCCCGAACAAGGACAACAAATCCAAATAAAAAGTGGGCTCCAATTAGAGGGTATACGAGCCTTAAACTGGATCTCGAAGTCAAGCTGGAAGAGAAAGGAGAATATGGTAATATCCAAGTATAAAACTGGATTTATGCATAAATTCGCATTACATGAAATATCATATATATATATATATATATATATATATAACATGAAATTCAGTTTAGTCAAACCGTAAGCTCTTGACAGTCATTAACAAGGATAAAACCCAGTAATCAAAAAAGACTTACCGTGAAGTCAACTTACCCAGAGAAGACCAAACCTCCAGGGATGGGAGGGAGGGATAATACTCGCCTCCGTGTCATTAATAAAATCATGACTTTACGTCATGTTAATAGTAAAATCTGTAAATTTTATTAAGACACGGAGGCTCCTATTATGCTAGTTCAAAGCTGTGAAATTATGTCTCCTGTGAAGTGTTGAATAGGTCTAAAGTAGAAATCATGGAATGTAGACTCCGAAGACCAGCCGCTCTCATAATATCCTCCAAGCGACAACCAATCAAGGAAGCCTTAGAAGCCATTGCCCTACGAACCAAATGAGGCACAGACACATAGGTATCAATACCTGCTAGAGATGTCTAATTGACCCACCAGGCTAGAGTAGACACCGGAAGACGCGACTTTTGGAAGGAGATGAAGAGTTCCTGTTTCAAAGGATTCTGTAACGTAGTAGAACGATGTTCACACACCCATTAGTATGCTACAGGGCAAAGGAGAGATCTATCAGGGAAAACTGGGTAAGATAGATTTTAGAGGAGGTTTTTGTCCTCCGTGAAATGTCAAAGAGGACACCTTCTGGAGTAAAGGAACGAGCAACCACCTCACGAGCTCGTACGTCAGAAAAACCTCTTGCAAGAAAAAATAAATAAAAAAATTCAAGACAATAGAGATGTCCCACAAGACAGAGTATTGTGGTAAGGGTGAATGAGCAAACCATATTCCTCAGAGAAGTCAATATATGACAGGATGTCAACCGACAGGCGTCCAATCAAAACTTTGATGGCCAGCAGAAATGGACGATCGGTAAGGTCCACAGTGCGATAGGCTTTACCTTCATCATAGAAGTCAGAAAAATGGAGGACAGACATAAAAGGAGCTGATATGGGATTTAAATTTAATTTCATGCACCAACTATGCCATCTGCTCCAAGCAGATTTATAAGCCTGTCTCGTGTTGGGTGCACCCTTGATAAGTTGGGGAGTTGATTGCGAAACTCCCTTGACTGACCAAGGTTCCCTGAAAAAGACTACACTATGAGATGCAAGAGACCTTGGAGAACAAGAGGATGAGGTACACCATAGAAGGCACTCGAGAGATGGAAGGTCGATAACCATCTCCTGAAGAGAAGAGAACTATGGTTGGGACGGCGATAGAGGAGCCACGATCAACAGGTGCCAAAAAAATCATAATTCCTTGGAGAAAACATTCATAGCCAGTGCTATCGGATCTGGTCTCCAACTGAAAAAACGGGGAAGTTGAGCATTCAAACGAGAAGTGAAAAGATCTATTTCCAATAGACTCCATAGGTTTCCAGATGTCTTGGAAGACCATGGAATCCAAGTGCCAGTCGCTGGAATCTCTGAGTTGGCGTGAATACCAGTCCTTCGTAGTGTTGGAGAGACCTCTCCAATATATATTCTGCCGTGACTGAAATGCCGTGTCTCAGGCAAAATTGCCAGCAATCACGAGGCATGTAGGTCAGAATTTTGTATTTTGTGCCTCCAAGCGATTGATGTAGCGGACTGCTGACACGTTGTCCATCTTCAGAAGGATAGCGCATTGGGCTTGAGTTGGGGAGAAACTATGGACTGCAAAGGAACCAGCCAGATGTTCCAAACAATTGATGTGGAGTGTTGATTCCAGGTTTGATTATCTGCCTTTGGTGGAAATAGTTCCGTATTGAGCACCCCAACCATGCAAACTTGCGTCGGATTTGATTATCAAATCTGGAGCTGTACAAAATATGGTGTGCTTATTCCAAGCTCCATGTGAAGAAGCCACCATTGGAGTTCATCCTCCACTTCTGAGTCCAGAGTTACCATATCTGTGTATGATGCGCAGCCCTTGAGATGAAGTTTGTAATCGTTGTAGGGCTCGATAGCCAAGAAGACCTGTAGAAATGGCCTGTATAGATGCTGCTAGAAGGCCTAACATTCTCAACAGTTGTTTGAGAGAGAGTTGAGAGGTTGCTAGTGTTCGCCTATCTCCTTCTTTATATTGGCTAATTTTGCCACCGGAGGGTGTAGAGTTTGAAGGGTAGAATCTACAATAATCCAATATAACCCAGAAATTTTATTTGTTGCGTGGGAACGATAATGGATTTCTCCCAATTGGTCAGGAAGCCTAGGTTCTCTAACAGAGTCAAAGTCCATGCAAGGTATGTCCGGATTAATTGAATAGACTGAGCCAGAATGAAAATGCCATCTAACTATATTATAAGATGTGAGCTTGGTGAAGCACCATGGAGCCGAAGACAGTCCGAATGGGAGGCACCTGAACCTCTATTTACTTCCCTACCATGTAAATTGCAGGAAGTTCTCAATCTTGATGTTGTACTGGGATAGGCACTGTGAGATATGCATCCTGCAGATCCAATTTGGCCATCCAATCTGCTGGTTGGAGAAGATCCCTTAAACAATGCTCTCCTTCCATCTTTGAAGTGCTGAAATGTTCATAACTATTGAGCAGTCTCAAATTTATCACTGGACGGATACCTTTGCCTTTTTTGGGAAACAAGAAAAGGTTGCTCACGTAACCCAGGGTATGCGCCAGAATCTCTACAATTGATTGTCCACAGAGACAAGGTCTGTGTCTCATTGGGAAAAAACAATTTCCCTTGATGGGGAACATTGAACAAGTAGAGAAAGGAAGTCTATGCAATACCCTTTCACAGTGTGAAGAACCTAAGCATCTGATGAAATGAGGGATCATACATGGGAAAAATGTGTGAGCCTGCCCCCCACTATCAGTAAGAAAGAATGGAAATTGTGAAGACGTCTTTGGAGCACCTCTTAGGCCACTAACAATCCAGGGTCGGCCACTTTGTGAGAAGGAGGTTGGTATAGTGCATTGTTCAAAGAAATCGGCTCGGCAAGTATAAGAGCCTTGGTTCTGTCTAAAAGAACTTCTGTTTGTTTAGCAGGACAAAGGAGCCCAATTCTTTTACAAAGTTGTCCCCAAAGAGAAAACCTTTTGCCTGTATTATCTGGCTCGTTCAGAGCCATAGTTAAACGTTTGGGCTCAATCTTGAGCAAGATCGATTTGTGGCGTTTTGTGACAACCACATTGTTGGCGTTGCCAACTTAAATCACTCTCTGGATCTAACCACTTAAGATGGCGCAATCTAATTCTAGATCATCCTCCACTGCTTCAAAGATCTTGGCTGCTGAGCCCAAAATGCCCAGGATTTTATCCTGACAGTTTTGCAATGAAAATCTAAGCCTTTAGATGGCTTCCATCCTGTCTTACTCAGGAATTGAATGAATTTAGGATTGACTGATAGCGTTTAACATGAGTCATCAGGGACTGTTCGGCGTGGCCATTCAGCCCGCAATTTATTTCACTTTGCCTTCTCAAAAGGCTTGCGTACTCTGGATGCAATATACTTGGCTACATGGTCTGAGGAGACCACTGGGTGACATAGGTCGTCAGGTTCGAATAGGGGTTCACATTGAGTGTCCAAGATCCTATCGGTGTCCCTGAGTCCGCATAATCTACCTAAATCTTGGTAGGTTTAACAGGACGTGTATCCCAAACGGGATTAGCATCCTCTTCATCAGTAATTTCATAATCAGGATCAGAAATATCCTCTGAATCCTTCATATAGGACTCAGGGAACTCCTCCTCAATATCACTGAGCTCAGATTCAGAGTTCAGTTGGGCTTTTGCCCTTTTCCAGTCTAGTCGATTTTGCCCGACTAGTAGCTCTTTTGCGCGGTGGTAAATTAATTGCGCCATCCGTGACAGGTATGGAACTGTCCATCTCTATTGTTTTGGAGGAGTGTTTAGCCTTATATGAGGCCTTGCGGCCAGGCTGAAGCAGAGCAGGTGTGAGTACAGATACACCTCCATATAGTACTCAGGGAAACTCCTCCTCAATATCCCTGAGCTCAGATTTAGAGTTCAATTGGGCTTTTGCCCTTTTCCAAAGTCTAGTCGATTTTGCCCGACTAGCAGCATTTTTGCGCGGTGGTAAATTAATCGCGCCATCCATGACAGGTTTGGTACTGTCCATCTCTATTGTTTTGGAGGAGTGTTTAGCCTTATATGAGGCCTTGCGGCCAGGCTGAAGCAGAGCAGGTGTGAGTACAGGTACACCTCCATATAGAACTCGGGGAACTTCTCCTCAATATCACTGAACTCAGGTTCAGAGTTTAATTGGGCTTTTGCCCTTTTCCAAAGTCTAGTCGATTTTGCCCGACTAGCAGCTCTTTTGCGCGGTGGTAAATTAATCGCGCCATCCATGACAGGTATGATACTGTCCATCTCTATTGTTTTGGAGGAGTGTTTAGCCTTATATGAGGCCTTGTGGCCTGACACCAGGGCCTTGTCATTGCTTTTGCCATGGAAGTGTCAATTAAAGCCTGCATGTCAGCAGGATCAGTAAAGCATAAATTCAGCCTCATCTCCAGAGATACCTGGAGAGGCTTCTACATTAATCTGCATGTTTGCTGTAGACCCAGAAGGCACAGAAATATCCTGTCAGACTGCATCATAAATATACAAACAAACCTAAGGGGCTGAATAAAGTAAAATAATACCAAAAGTAAAGGGTTGAGTAACCCTCAAGTAAAAAATAAATAAATAACTAAACAGGATAAAGAAATGAAAGTACTCACAATAGTGAAAAAAAAAATAGCAATTGTAATATAAAGACAAAGGAGCTGCCCAGCTGCCACTACAACTAAACCCCAACTTGGATTTCTGGCAGTTGGTGGCAGAGCAGCAGCCAAACAGATAAATGAAGGGAAAAAAACAGCACAATATTCAGGGGATAAAGATCCTCAAAGACGTCCCTGATCCCCAATTGATGGTATTCTTGGGGCCAGGGAGGTCAGAGGGGAAATACATTATCAAAGGGTATATCATAAAGCATATTACTGAAGCAAATGAAATAAATAAATCAAATTACGTTAAAATGAAGTAAGTAAATATATTTATAAACATGAAAATATTATAATTAAAATGTAATAACTATAATAATAACTATATTAACCACAGTAATGATATGAATAAAGTAAAGTAAAAGATCCCACAGTTAAGAACCATGGGACCCAGTGTTACTTAACTGAGGTAGCAGCAAAGAAAGAGGAAGTAGTATACTGAACACTGCCTATTATGCTATAAAGAGGATGCTGATTGGCTGTTCCTGTTGCTAGGAAGATATACCTCATGTTATTTACTGGTTTCTTTTATACTGATTTAATGTTATTTTTCTTTGCTGCTGAGGTAAATAAAGAAAGAGTGCAGCATAATAGGAGCCTCCGTGTCTTAATAAAATTTGTGTTTAACTGCTATTAGTCTAATTGGCTTAACTGTCAGGAGTATTGGCAGTACATTTCTTTTGTCTGCCACTAGAGGGCGGCCAAATACTACTGGAGTAGCTAAGTGACATCGAGGTTGAAGTAAAGCTATGTTTTGTCTGTATCAAGCACACCTACATTTCAAGTTTAATGTGTTCAGCTGACAGCATCTTTACTTTCTGCATGACCTAACTTGCCTTTTGCTATGTTTCTTGCAATATTTATTTTCTGTTTCAAGTCATACAGTACCCCTCATCTCGCAATGTTTGTTTTTTGATACAAAATACAACAGACTGAAACATATTTTTCAGTGACGTATTACAGAGTTCAACACATCATCTGATTATTTGCATTTCTTTGCTAAGTAATTTCTCAGAAAATGTTGATTTATTTACCGTTTCAACTGCACCATCTAACTCTAGTAGATACTTTAATAAACTACACTGCTCAAAAAAGTAAAGGGAACACTTAAACAACTCCAAGTCAATCACACTTCTGTGAAATCAAACTGTCCACTTAGGAAGCAACACTGAGTGACAATCAATTTCACAGGCTGTTGTGCAAATGGGATAAACTCCCCCAATAAAGGAGTGGTTCGGCAGGTGACCACAGACCACTTCTCAGTTCCTATGCTTCCTGGCTGATGTTTTGGTCACTTTTGAATGCTGGCAGTGCTTTCACTCTAGTGGTAGCATGAGACGGAGTCTACAACCCACACAAGTGGCTCAGTTAGTGCAGCTCATCCAGGATGGCACATCAATGTGAGCTGTGGCAAGAAGGTTTGCTGTGTCTGTCAGCCTGGTGTCCAGAGCATGGAGGCGCTACCAGGAGACAGGCCAGTACATCAGGAGACGTGGAGGAGGCCGTAGTAGGGCAACAACCCATCAGCAGGACCGCAACCTCCACCTTTGTGCAAGGAGGAACAGGAGGAACACTGCCAGAGCCCTACAAAATGACCTCCAGCAGTCCACAAATGTGCATGTGTCTGCTCAAGCGGTCAGAAACAGACTCTATGAGAGTGGTATGAGGGCCCAACGTCCACAGGTGGGGGTTGTGCTTACAGCTCGACACCGTGCAGGACGTTTGGCATTTGCCAGAGCACACCAAGCTTGGCAAATTCGCCACTGGCGCCCTGTGCTCTTCACAGATGAAAGCAGGTTCACACTGAGCACGTGTTACAGACATTACAGAGTCTGGAGACACCGTGGAGAATGTTCTGCTGCCTGCAACATCCTCCAGTATGACCAGTTTGGCAGTGGGTCAGTAATGGTGTGGGGTGGCATTTCTTTGGTGGCCGCACAGCCCTCCATGTGCTCGCCAGAGGTAGCCTGACTGCCATTAGGTACCTGAGATGAGATCCTCAGACCCCTTGTGAGACCATATGCTGGTGCAGTTGGGTTCCTCCTAATGCAAGACAATGCTAGACCTCATGTGGCTGGAGTGTGTCAGCAGTTCCTGCAAGACGAAGGCATTGATGCTATGGACTGTCCCGCCCGTTCCCCAGACCTGAATCCTATCGAGCACATCTGGGACATCATGTCTTGCTCCATCCACCAACGTCACGTTGCACCACAGACTGTCCAGTAGTTGGCAGATGCTTTAGTCCAGGTCTGGGAGGAGATCCCTCAGACCATCCGCCACCTCATCAGGAGCATGCACAGGCGTTGTAGGGAGGTCATACAGGCACGTGGAGGCCACACACACTACTGAGCCTCCTTTTGACTTGTTTTAGGGACATTACATCAAAAAATTTGATTTCCATTTTTTAAATTTTGTGTGATCTTGTTGTCAGCACATTCAACTATGTAAAGAACATTTCAGAAGAATATTTAATTCATTCAGATCTAGGTTGTGTTATTTTATTGCTCCCTTTATTTTTTTGAGCAGTGTATAAATGGTGCAATAAGCATCATAATTTTTAGTTGGACCATGAGCTGTAGGTGGTCTACAGCAGGGCTCGACAAATCGCAGGTGCCAGGTCCCCATGGCGACCAGGAAATTTGTCCTGGCGCTTGGGATTTGTGAGCCTATTCAGCCCCCAAGGTGACCGGCTGCCATAGAGCAGAGACAGGCAGTTGGCTCACTAAGTGCTGAGGCAGGCGGCTGAGTGAGGGAGAGAGGTGGCTGGTTCATTGAGATCTAAGGTAGGGAGGCTGACTAAGGGATGGAGGGGGCGGCCGGGTGGCTGATGGAGAGCTGAGGGAGGAGGGCAGCTGACTTATTGCGGCAGCAAGTGAGCTGTAATCTCCCTGCCCCCTCGCGCGCCTTGTAGTGATGCCGGGAGCCGGGTTATGACATCACTCTGCCCCCCAGCTCACTAAGCAGTGCGTGAGAGGGAGCAGAGCAGTGAGATGACAGCAGCCCCACTGAACCCCCCTAGAGGTGTCACCAGGCAGCAATGTAAACACTGCCTTTTGTCTGAAAAGTCATTGTTTACATTGAAAAGCATTCAGGGACAGAATATAGACTTCAGAACAACTATATTAAGCTATAGTGGTTCAGGTGACTATAATGTCCTTTTAAGAATTGTATTTGTGGCGTTGATTCCTCTGGCTCCTAACTTTTCTAGCTGGCTCCTAGATTCTAAGCAAATTTGTTAAGCCCTGGTCTACAGCTCTGGTTGGACAAGATCTACAAGTAATTTCTACAAGACAATTTTGACTTTCATGAGCAAGTGGTAGTAAAGGCTTTGCCTCAAAGGAAATTAAAATTCTGTGCCGAAACCAAAAATTCAGGATTCCCTTATCCGAAAACCAAAACCGAAAATGACTTTTTTTCCCCAAATGATTAAAAAAAAATTTTTTTTCCTATAATGTTTTTAAAATTAGACTTTTTAATGAATTTAATCTAATATTAAAAACTTCCCTTCTCTTTTAGTGGTCTCCCCCGCTTAATGTTCCTCTCTCCCCCCTCTAGTCCCATAGTGTTCTTTTATCCCCTCCCCTGTCCCAGTGTTCTTTCCACCCATCCCATTGTGTTCTCCCCCCCCTCCCCTGTCCCATAGTGTTATTTCCCCCTTTCTTGTGTCCCAAAGTGTTCTTTCCCCCCGTCCTGAAAAAAAGTTCGGCAAATTTGACATGTTTTCGGCTGAAACGGGATAGGCCTATTTTCGGCTGAACATTTTGGCAGCCGAAATTTCGGTGCATCCCTAATGAATTTCATTTAAATGCATGACTTTTATACATATATTTGTATGACTTAAGTAAAGATGCATATGAAGCAAGGATTAATGAAGAGAAAAGGGTGAATGTGGCAGCAGAAAGCAGGAAATTAGTTAGTGGATATGCCTTCCTAGTGAAAGGGATTTTTTGAATTAAAAAAAAGATTGAAGAACAGGGGAAAAGTGTAATTGATCAGGGAAGAGATTTCCATAAGAATGGTTCAGAACAAAGAAAAGGCATTAGAGCAAAGATGTCAGGATAGGACATGTTTATTTTTTTTATATTGATTTGAGCACTGTTTGTGGTAATTTATCATAAATAGTTTTATCTTTATCAGCTGCTTTTCACAGCAGTCCCTTATTTGCCTACTGGGCTGCGGCAAAGGACATCTGGGGAGTGAGTAGGTTCTCTAAACGACCATGATCAAAAATCTTCATCCTATTCCACCAGTGCGAAGTGGGCTCCAAAATCCACAAATTCAGTAACAAACTCCCATATAATTGGTACAGAACTCCCAAGCTTTCACACTATATTAATAAAAATATTCCAAATAATTGTTAGGGTTGCTGGGGAAGGGTCAAATCACATTGCATATTTAATGGGAATGGCTCACAATTAATAATTTTCCATTCCATTCCATTTCCATTTTGGCCTTATGTTTGTTAAATAAATCCTGACACTGTGTAATATGTCATGTGTTGTTCATCTGAGGTTGTATTTACCCAATCTTATCACCTGCTAAGGAATAGATGACAGTTCTTATGTCCTGATATATAAAACCATAGAATTCAAAGATGGTGTACTTTCTTTTTCCCATGACTGTGTGTTTTTTTTTACAATTAAATGGTGATGTAATAATTTTCAATAAAAACCTGAACAATTACAGGAGACATTAACATAATTTCCACAGTCTCTGCTACGACTTTATCTGGTATTAGTATACATATCTGTCCATGGGAAATATACTGGCAATTAATTAGCAAACTGACATTTTGTGTTTTCTCAGGGTCCTGTACTGATTGGAAGCTCCCAAGGAGGTGTTAATATTGAAGATGTTGCTGCTGAGAATCCAGATGCCATTTTAAAGGAGCCCATTGATATTGTGGAAGGTATCAAGAAAGAGCAGGCTGCCAGGGTAAGAAAATAGTTTGATAATGTATTTTCTTCACACGCGTTACTCTCCCACTTATTTAAAGCATGAACATGAGTCTAATCAGGTTTCTGCATATAGTATGTCTGTTCTTTAACTTCTCTTGTATGGTGGTAGAACTGTCCATTTCTCATTCAAATTCATACATAAACATTGCAAAGCAAATGTATTTTCATCAGGGCTTGACAAACATGCTTGGAATCTACGAGCCAGCTACAAAAAGTTAGATTTTTTTTTTTTTTTAAATGAACAAAGCATTATTTTCAATGACAATGACATAGATTCAATGCATCTCTTTGAGGAGATGCTGACTGGAGCAGTGCAGTGTTTTGTTGCTCATGCACAATAGCATCCTAATTCTTTCCTATTGGAAAGCATTGGATTGGCCGAGATCATTAAGTTTGATTATTCCAGCCATGGAGGCAGGGCCAGCCTTGGCAAGACCGTTAAAGAGTTCACCTTTCCCATGCGATCAGAGTGGGGGCCATTCACCTAAACACACAGTGACAGACACTCAATAATTTTACACAGTGACACATACTATTTGACAGACACACTAATTCTGACACTCTCACAACTTATTTTTTATTTAAGTCAACCCAGCCTCCTAATTTTGGGAGATATGGAGTGGATCTTTTCCCTGGGGTCCAATGTGGATGATTAAATCTTTAAGCTCTTCTTCCTCTGCTCTCTTGGGCGCTGTTTAGTGCTACCGGGGCCATAGTTACATCGTATTCTGGCTCCTGGCATCACAGCAGTGTCGCTGGCTGACCTGACGCCTGGAATTTGTTGATCCCTGATTTACATGTATAGTTCTACTTTGAAATGGTCGTTGCATTGCTTATAAAGTGGGAGCTGATTCCTATGTTTGCTAATATAGTTGAATAGGAGTGCAGGTTACCAAAAACCCCTCTTCTTCAGTCATATTCGATTATAAATCAACATGAAAAATATTTTGCCTTCTACTTCCCCCTCCCCCCCCCCTTTCCCTCCCATAGTTAATTTAGGTGTGTTTTGCGTGTATTGTCAGTTGTTTTAATTGCATAAGTGCTTTCAGTAGACTTATTGGCTTGCTGTGTTATTTGTTTTAAATTGTTAGTTATTGTACACACAACTTATCCTCACTGTAGAGAGGAGCAAATGTGATTGTATTAGCAGAGTTACCGGCAAATATATAATGAATTTTTATTTTTTTATTTTTTTTATTTTATTTTATTTATTTACAATTCATTTCTCCATGAGTCATTTTTGGTATAGAGGCAATGCTGATGGCATAGTGTTTATGTTGAGGCATTATACCTATTGTGTCTCCTATTCTGCTAGGGTATATAGAAGCGAATTGACACTTCTTTCTGACACTGATCGGCTAGCAAGGAAGCCTACATGTCGCGGGGTGAAAGCTGGGTGTACATGTTACAATAGTGCAACACAGACAAACACGGCATGAAGGCAGCACTGAGGAGTATAAACTTCAAATTTCATTATAGAGTTCAATATATCATTGATCATTGTGTTTAAAGATGCTAGGGATCAAAATGGAACTGTCACAAAAAGTTCACTTTAATAAATTTTTCTGGAGTGTTAATTTTGACTTGTGCCGTAGTTCTACCTGGGATGGTTCAGTAGTTATTGTTTTGGCTATTTCTTTGTCTAGTAAAGTAAACCAAGGAGGAAGACTTCCTGAAATTACCTTCATCAATATTGAGCAGCTTGCGATGTCTGTCTTGGCGCTGCACTAAAAAAGAGACTGTGACCAATAGGGATTATTTTTGTCTATCTGTAGGACGAGGGCTTGGAAGATTGACAGAGCTGTTAATACAGCTATAGATGTCAAACTAAATATACAGTTTCCAGGTGACAGGTAGAATTTTGTAAAATAAATGAAATGACAGATCTGTTTCCCTTCCTTCACTTTATATGATACATAACTTACATAATGTTTTTGTCATGTGCTGTAGTTTAAAATATAGTTACACAATGCATCAATAGAAACTGGCGAACTGATCCTCTTTTAATATAAGTTAACTGTTTCAAGTGGGGATCTTTATTGACAGGTGTACAGTGTAAGACTACTTAGTTTTCTTTTTCAAGCATGGTCTACAAAGGCTATGAGTTGCCATCTTAAGGGGGAACAGTAACCCGAAGAAATTATATACAGTACTGTATATAAGCACTAACCACTGAGTTTTCTCACCTGCTTCCTTCCAGTGCATACTCTCCCACATCCATGCATTCTAACCATTGCTTAAATTGGCAGCAAACACATTAAGGGGTTACTCAAAACAAAAGAAAACAGTGTTTTCATAAAACACTGTTTTTGGTTATTGCTAGTCCGCCCCCTCCAAATTGAAAATAAATAAAAATAATATAAAGTTCTCCCTGCAACCTGATTTTTATTCCCCCAATTCTTTTCAGTTCTCATTCCCTATAATACCCCAGATGCCCCCTTTCTTTTACCTTATATGTCTTTCTTTCTCTCCTACTGTCTAAGCATGGCCTGTCCCGCATTATGACACTTAACGTCCCTATTCATGTATACCTGTTAATCTTTAATACAATTATTGAGGTTGTATACTGCATGCTATCTACTTTATTTATACTTCAACACTGTCACCAGTTTTACTTATTATATACGTTTTTCTTTATCATTAAATCATTTAATTTATTAAATCATTTAATCATTCATTTTCAATAAAGCTTAAATGGAAAAAGTAGATTAACAAATATTTTTCTTTCCTATCATACAATTATTTATACTTTTTACCTTATCTTATGGTGGTTTTAAAAAAATAAATAAAAAATGTGTTTAAAAATAAAATAAAAATAATAATAATATAAATTTGTTTTTTTAGCTTGCTGAGAAAATGGGCTTCCCGGCAAATATAATAGATGATGCTGCACAGTGTATGGTCAATCTGTATAATCTGTTTATGAAATATGATGCCACAATGGTGGAAATAAATCCAATGGTGGAAGATTCATCAGGAATAGGTAATTTTTTTCTCTCCACAATTAGAAATGTTTGCATGATTAGCTCTCATCACCGTATGAAGAATAATTGTGAATGTACTAATGCTGCTATTCGGTACTTTATTTATGTAAGGAACACTTCTCCCCTTACTGCCTAATTATGTTTTTTCGCCCTTTTCAGTTTAAGGATGGAGGAGATGCTACTTGGTGGGATAACGTATATAATGGGTTAGTCTTGGCTTTTTTTGTAATAAAATATCAAATTGTAAGACCCGTAGCTATGTATGTAGATATTATGAGACATGCCTATTATTGAGTTAGAAGTGGGGCATTTTGGAGAAACTGGAAAGATTGAACTATTCACTGACATATTTCAATTGAAAGATACTCTGTTTGCAATTCAAATCATGGTTTGTGAAGAGAAGATGCACTGTTGACAATACAGTGAATGGTTCCTTTCAGTCTGCTATAAAATACATATTGAAGCAATAAGTGTGAAAAATATTAATACTACATAACATTTACATATATAATTGAACTTTTCTAAATATGCACTTTTCATAAAGAATGATGCTGTAATTTAATTTTTGTTTAAATGCGCTTGTTAAGTTGTATGCAGTTGTGTACAGGTCGTTATTTATTTCCTAATTTGTGTGGATATTTTGATTCTCCATCTGTTCCTTTTGTTAGATCCTTGTTTTCAGGAATTGAAATGTTAGCACAGCCTTGCATAGATGACATGATTGCTATTTGATGTAACAAAAGCAGTAAAAGGCCACTCTTTAATTTTACTTAAAACCCCCCCCCAAAAAAACAGAAGGCTGCTAGCAGACGTGCAGTCTTATTAGGATGACCTTTTACACAACAAACTAAGCACTGCATCCAAACTGGCCTTTAATAGGGTTATGTGCCTTTTTATTGATAGCTATATTTCACTGATTTATTTTTAATGTTGAGACAATAATGCGTTGCATTTTATAGTCATAATTATCAGTTCACAAAGTCTTGCATTGCGACAGCTGCTGCAGTTTTAGTTTACAAAATTAGTGGCTGAATTGATCGGGGACACCGTGAAATAAATGTTATACCTCCATAATTTTATCGATGGGTGTGAGTGAGAGACATTTGTTAGATAAAAATCAGCTGCGCAGCTGCATAATTTAAACTTAAAGGAACTGTATGAGCACCCTAACGACTTTATCAAAATGAAGTTGTTATGGTTATGGCCGTATTTACATAGGGGCTAATGAAGCTACAGCCTTTTAATCATCCTTTTACCCCACCCACCGACATACTGCTTTACCGGACCTACTGTTAGGGGGTATGGATTTACTTGAAAGATGAAAGTGAGAGATTAGCATAGGGCATGTTTTTTTTTTTTTAACAGCCATATCCTGTGTGTTTCCCTCCACCACCACCTCTACAAGATGCTTGTGAGGTATGTTTTCTGTACATAAGAGTTTGTAATTAGGCCCATCATAATTGTCAGCACCAGTCCCAATGGGCTCTTAATCTGGCCCTGGTTATGGTGCTCAGAGATCTCTGGCACTTTCTTACCTGTAGGGGTTAAATGGTTACCATCCAGTTTATCCAAACCAGTTGGAGGAAGCACAAAGTGGTCAACCTGCCCAGTTAGGGAAGATTTGCCGCAGATTGGCTTAGAGAAGTTAGCTGATGCTGTAGAAAAGGTACATACATGAAAATTAAGCATAACAATTATTGATACCACCACCTGACCACCATCTAGCACTTAGGTGGTTCCTCGAGGGGAAACATTCCATAGAGTTGCACAGTCTGTAGAAAGATAGAGTACCCACTGTGACGGACATTTACATATATAATCAAGTGAAGAGTGAAATCACTCCCGATTGTCACTACTAGGCAGTACCTCCTTAACCCCTTAATGACGAGTGACGAACGAGGTCTGTCACAGAAGGGAGACACTTAACGACGAGTGATGGACATTGTCCGTCACGCGGTAAAATTAACCCCCGGTTCGCCGCGATCGCGGGGTTAATGGTGCTCCGGTCTGTCTCTGTATTAGAGGCAGACCGTGAGCACCCGATCGGGCTGCCCCAGCACCGGTGCTCACTGTCAGAGCGAGCACATGTGCTCAATATACTTACCGTCCGCCTCCCTGCACTTCCTGGTTCTGTGTGAAGTGCTGATCCTGCCCCCTGTGTAAAAAAATAAATAAAGTTAGAATAAAATCCCACCCCCCTTTACCCATTTTAATACAAAATTAACCCCTTCCCTGCCAATTGATCACTGACTACACTGACTACAGTGATCAATGGGCAGGGATTACATTTTAAATGATGATTTTTTTTTTTGATTTTTTTTTAACCCCTGAGGGTTAAATTTTTAAAAAAAATTTTTTTAACCCTCAGGGGTTAATTAATTTTATTAATTAATTTTAAGTATTTTAAAATTATATATTTAGTTAGCTGAAATTGGGGGATTTGGTGTTAGGCTAACTAGGGGTTAACGTTAAAAAAAGTTTTAAAATAAGCTTTAAAAAGTTAAAGGTTTTAATAAAGTAAAAAATAAACCCCCCCCCCTTACCCAGTCCAAATAAAAATTAACCCCATCCCTGCCAGTCGACCACTGCCTACAGTGATCAAAATACAGATCACAGTATTATACTGTGATCTAAATTTTTTTTAACCACTGAGGATTAACTTTTATTTATTTTTTAACCCTCAGGGGTTCAATTTATTTAATTAACTAATTTAAATATTTTATAATTATGTATTTTGCTAGCTGGGGTGGGTGGGAGTTATGGGAAAATGGGGAATTTACTGTTAGTGCTGCTTACTGCTAGTTAGGGGTTAACAGTAAAATGTTAAATCTGTGTAAAAAAAACAAACCAAAAAAACACAAAAAAACCCCGACACATTATATATTCTGTGAATCAGAACAACTAAATGAACTTATTTTTTATTACTTTCCTTAACCTGCACTAATTATGAACACATTATTATTGCAAAAACTGTAAAAAAACACATTTTTCATTTTTTTTGCATTTTCTGTATTTTTTACAATAAATAAGCATATATATATATATGTATGTATGTTACATCAAATTAAAGCCCTTTCTGTCCTTTAAAAAAACGGTGTGTTGGTGCAATGAATTAGGAAAATGCAAATTGCAGTTGAACGCAAACAGCAAAAAAAAGCAAAAAATGCTGTTGTCATTAAGTGAAAGACAAGCTTCTGAAGCTCTGTCCTTAAGGGGTTAAATTCCCTTAAACCTAAAACACAGCTTATTTCTTTATTATTATTATTATTATTATTATTATTATTATTATTATTTGTACAGAACACAAATGAGCAGATTAAAATATCCTTCATGGCTCAGTAAGAGTTAGATATTGGTATCTCACCAATACCATTCCACTTGGGGGGGAAAAAATCACATTGTTTATAAGTGCACCTCCAGTGTCAGATACTTTGAATTCAGTTACAATTTCTTGACCAGGTGACATTTACCACCAGCTTGACTACATGCTTACAGTCCATCAATCCTGTATACGTGTTTTAGGTGTGAGAGAGAATGGGGTTCCTCAATGCATAAATGATGGACATGCCCACTTATCCAACAATACTGGAACATAGTACGTTCCAAAATCCAAGATATCGCAGGGCAATTAAACCTTGCAGAGGCAATCACTTTGATTGCTCTGATTCACAGATTAGGAAAACGTGTGCAATTTCTACTAACCGCAACTAGATCCCTTAGTCCACCTAAGTGGAGACAGGCGCAACGCTCCACCATATCAGAATGGTCTATCAGGGTTGAGAAAATTTGCAGAAATGGCTTTGATCCTTAATCATACCAATACTGCTGCACTTGCAGGGCACAATGTGAAACTTTTTTTTATAAGGTGGGTGCCAGACTGGTAGTAAATCATGGGTCTGCATTGCTAAATTGAACCATCCGCCTTCCTATATCATATGAAGAATTTGTTATGTACGACAGTGTATTGTTATGAAATATAGGAATTCTAATTTGTTTTTATTAGTTTATCAAGTAGACTCACATTGTCACACAGCTCTAGTACAACATGCTTCCAACCTCCTTCATGCTGGATGAAAGATTTTAGTGCATTTTGTAAATACTTGTAAAGCAAGTTATTTTTCCAATACCCTATGTCACTGTTGTTATCACTCAGATGTATACCTTTTAATGCTTGCAACGTTTGTTTCCTGTTAAAAGAAAAGAAAAAAAAAAAGTGACATGACCCATATAAACAATACTGAATCAGCTGGCAGTGTTAAACACATAAGTGCCAAGAAACAAGAAAAGAAAACTAGTAAAAACAAATCAAATGCTTGGTATTTCTATCACCTGGAGCTAGCAATATCATACACTGATGAAACTGGGGAGAAAACTTATTCCTGAAGCTGTCCTTGACAATTAGCCAATGCCTAGTCTAAATGTTAGGCTATTGAACATTAATAATGCATAGCTATACCTGCAAGTGTGTTACAGAGCATTATGTAGGTAGCAGTGACTACCGTCCAGTCTCCAGTTGTAGGGGCGAGCTAGGACACAGGCCCATCCAGTCCAGACTTTCCAGATGCTGGAAGTAGGCACGAGACAGGACCAATGCCATTCTGGTGTGGGAAATATGTTGATGCTGTGGGTTCAAATCTTTTGGCGCTTGTCTCCTGACGTATGGTGGCTATTTCGACCCACTGCTTGTGCTATTTACTGGCAGGATCCGGACCACTCTCAGAACCCTCTGTTCTGTGTTGTGAAGGTAGATTGGCTACAACCTTCTGTCTTGTTTACAGCCTTCTCAAGAACACAGTGCTTATAAGATCAAAGGCCATTAGTAGGCTACAGGTATGCTGTGAGGGTCTGTCTGATTACCCAGAAGTTGCCATGTGATGTTAAACCTCCTTCTTAGGTAAGTCACCTTTATTGCAGTACTGCACAAGTCAGCCAGTGCTGGCTCCTCCCCCGATACACCTCCTTGGCTGAGATCATCAAAATTGATGATCTCCGCCAATTCAATGTTTTCCCATAGGAAAGTATTGGGTTCCTATCGCAAAATGCCGCACTAGCCAATCAGCATCTACTCATAGAGATGCATTGAATCACCTCTCGTGGCCGTCTGAGTGACAGTTACTGGAGATGTCCCTGGCAGTAATGTCAACGCTGCCTCTTTATAGAGAAAATGCAGTGTTTACATTAAAATGTCTGCAGGGACATTAAGCTGCAGTTGTTCTGATGACTATAGTGTCCCTTTAATAGTAAATGACCATTTATGTAGTTGAGCAGAGGATAAGATGTAATTTTGAGGGTTTCAGAATGGTGTGAAAGTGTGACGGCTGAGTAGGAAATTCAAAGATATGACTTATCAACAGTGTGGTGGTGTTAGGATATGTGAATGAGAAGAGGTTTTTCGTGAGACCTAAAAGGTGCAGGGCAGGGGTTTTCTCAGGGACCCATTATTATTGAATACACTACATCTAATTCCCCTCCTAGTCACCCCCAAATGCCCCTAGGTCCCCCATATTACCTTTTTTGAAACTTTATTTTGTGCCCGGACCTAGTTCCTGGGCGCCGCCATCTTTGTGTGGGCAGGTGAAGGCCCTGTGGGACACGTCATCTGTCCACATTAGATAGCATTGTGAAATTCTCGCGCATGCCCAGTTAAGCACTTGGGCGTTCGGACTGGAATTTCGTCTATTCACTCATTCGTCAAAAAGACAAATGAATGATAAGAAATTTCAAACGAATTAACTCTTAAACCTCTTTGTTAGTTTAGTTTATTACAAGGAGGGAGCTACTGGCTCGCGGCTCTCTCCTTGTAAAACTGTATGTAAAAAATAGAAGCGGCAGGGAGCAGTGCTCCCTGCCACTTCCTAACTCCGCCCATGCCCTCCGTCATTCTATGAGGGTCAATATGACCCTCATATTAGCATAAGGGACATTACAAGTCCAGGAAAGAAATACAGAGAAGATGGGTTACAGGGGTACTAAAAGGGCCTAACCCTTATCTAAACAAACATTCAAAAATACACAGAAATGAGAAAGAAAACGTCCCTAGAGAGCAGGACCGAATCTCCTCAAAACTAGTACCCCCTTTGGGGCAATAAGAATGCGTTTGTCCACTACTGTGTACCAAATAAAGTGAATTTTTTTTTTTTTTTTATTGATAAGTCAACATTCAAAATATCCCTATATTCAAATACACCAGACTGCTTAGACTGAATATGAAGGAACAGAAAGGAAGGCAAAAAAGCATCTCAGCGTGCACACATACAAATTATTCAACCCAGTGTTGCTAACTAAGTATCTTTGTAAAAAAGTTGCAAAATGGCCACTAAGAAATGCACCAGTATAGCTACAGTATCCAAAAGGGTTAGCACATTGTAATAAGTCAGGGCAGGTTGAAATAAATACTAGTTCCTTCTATAGAGAATCAATATAGGCATAAATACGAGACTCCTCACTAAAAATAAATAGTATAGGTCTCTAAACACAAAATCCTGATGGTTTACTACCAATTGTGGAGAGTATAATTCGGCCAGATTGGCTCAATATATTTCTATAAAGTAAGTAAATCGACAGGACAGAAAGAGATAGGTAAATAATTGAAAAATAAAGTGAGGAGGCAATAGAGAGGGTTCATATATAGATAACCCAAACTAAAATAAAGGCAGTCTATAGAGTGTGGAGAAAACCCTCCACACTCCCCCAAAAAGCCCAACGCGCGTTTTGGCGATAATTTTCGTCTTTTTCAAGGGCATAGGTAGTGAGCAAACATCCCTCGCTTATCCCCTTCGTTTTATACCCCGTTATTGGCGCCAAACAATTCACCCATAATGAGTGGGCTGAGTTTGCTTGGTTTTGCCAATCAGGATCGTCGGTGGGAGGTTCCAAGTAACGATCATAGCGCATGTGTATACTTAGACTAATTGCGCATGCGTGAATGCCGGCATTCAGCCAGACATCATGCATGCGCTGTGATCGTTACTAGGAACCTCCCACCGACGATCCTGATTGGCAAAACCAAACAAACTCAGCCCACTCATTATGGGTGAATTGTTTGGCGCCCATAACGGGGTATAAAACGAAGGGGATAAGCGAGGGATGTTTGCTCACTACCTATGCCCTTGAAAAAGGCGAAATTATCGCCGAAACGCGCGTTGGGCTTTTTGGGGGGAGTGTGGAGGGTTTTCTCTACACTCTATAGATTGCCTTTATTTTAGTTTGGGTTATCTATATATGAACCCTCTCTATTGCCTCCTCACTTTATTTTTCAATTATTTACCTATCTCTTTCTGTCCTGTCGATTTACTTTATAGAAATATATTGAGCCAATCTGGCCGAATTATACTCTCCACAATTGGTAGTAAACCATCAGGATTTTGTGTTTAGAGACATATACTATTTATTTTTAGTGAGGAGTCTCATATTTATGCCTATATAGATTCTCTATAGAAGGAACTACGGTAGTATTTATTTCAACCTGCCCTGACTTATTACAATGTGCTAACCCTTTTGGATACTGTAGCTATACTGGTGCATTTCTTAGTGGCCATTTTGCTACTTTTTTACAAGGATACTTAGTTAGCAACACTGGGTTGAATAATTTGTATGTGTGCACGCTGAAATGCTTTTTTGCCTTCCTTTCTGTTCCTTCATATTCAGTCTAAGCAGTCTGGTGTATTTTAATATAGGGATATTTTGAATTTTGACTTATCAATAAATTTTTATTTATTTTTTCACTTTATTTGGTACACAGTAGTGGACAAACTTATTCTTATTGCCCCAAAGGGGGTACTAGTTTTGAGGAGATTCGTTCCTGCTCTCTAGGGACGTTTTCTTTCTCATTTCTGTGTATTTTTTGGACATTACAATCTCCCCAATGCCCCTACTCACTATGCCGTGAGTAGGAGCATGTCTGCTAAACCGTGAACAGACAGTGGCTCACTGTTTAAAAAAAAAAAAAAAAAAAGCCCCACATTCCCTGAATCAAATCAAGGGGGAATGTAACAGATCCCCTATACTCCGGCTGAGTATATTATTATTATGATGATATTTATATAGCGCCATCAAATTCCGCAGCGCTTTACAATGGGTGGACGAACAGACATGTAGTTGTAACCAGACACGTTGGACACACAGGAACAGAGGGGTTGAGGGCCCTGCTCAATAAGCTTACATGCTAGAGGGAGTGGGGTAAAATGACACACAAAGGTAAGGATAGTATTAGACTAGTGACATTTGCAGAAGAAGAATCAGTCAGGAGCTATTAACAGTTTAATTGATACGCTTTTATAAAGAATTGGGTTTTTAACGATTTTTTTGAAGGAGTGGAGACTGGGTGAGCATCTAACGGAGGAGGGAAGAGAGTTCCACAGGAACGGTGTAGCCCTCAAGAAATCCTGAAGGCGAGCATCAGATGTGGGAGTACGGACAGAAGATAGACCTATGTCTTCAGCAGATCGTAAGGGCCTCTGACGAGCTAAGTGGGCGAAACGCGCGCGTCAGGGGCTTAAGGGCTTTATTCATGCCGCCTTTTTATTAGATTATCATTTTCACTCTTAATGTCTCTTTGCAATCTAGTTTATTTGCTAGTTGGGTTAGACTTAGGTGCCCTCGAAGGCACGGGGGGTGTATTGGTAGCATTAGTGCAGCAACCTTTTGAGTATCCGTTTTAGTATCACTTTGATAGTTTTAGACAGTTACTTTTTACACTCCTGCAGGGACGGCTACAGATCTCTAGCGTGCTACCTTTTTTCCCTCTAAGTGTATTATTATATAGTGGAATTCCACAACTTATATAGCACTTCTTTATTTACCAACTTTATTGGAATATATATTTTTGCGAACCCCATCCTGACTAACCACAGACAGCCATTCTAGCCGATTACCGAATACATATTGGCTAAAACCGTTCTTTATGAGCACACTTTCCGCTACCATTCCCACTAGGAACATAGCACGCTATTCAGACCTCCTATTATTAACAACATTAGTTTACTCTTATTATCGCAGTACTTTCAATGGTACCTGGCTCTATCACCATTCTTTGAATGCTTATTGTTATATACGGATACTATTGATAGTACACAGTACATATATGCTGCTTATACTTGCAGGATCCACTCTTATTAATGTAGAATTGTGCCTTTACCATACTCCATCACTCTCCTAGTATTACGGCTAATATTAGCTAAACGTCTCTCCCAAACAGCACAGACGTGTGCTGCAGCTCATTACTCTTATATATTACTCAAGACATTAGAGTTTATCCTAGTTTACCATATTGTATCTCTTTTATTTTACGTTATATCTCTTCTGTTGTATCCATTTTGGGTCATTGTTATATTTTTTTGTATATACACAATTTTCTTGATATTATTTAATATATAATAAATTCTTTTTTGTTTTTTGACCTCTTGGTCTTTTTATCTGTGCTCCTTTTCTTCATATTCTAATTATTTATTATGAAGCTCAGGCACACATTACTATCTTTTTCTCCCAGTTTATAGGTACACTACTTTCTAGTCTATTGTCCTAGACGGGACATACTTGTGTATAAGGGAGAATAGATAGGTGGGAGCAGCATTATGTAGAGATTTGAAAGCAAGAACCAGAATTTTAAATTGAGCTCTATATTTTATAGGAAGCCAATGTATATCCGTTAGTCTCCCGAATTCCAAGTGCTGCAGTGTTTATAGCTCCTGTTTCCAGCAGAGTAGTGATTAGAGCTCTCCAATCCCCCAAACATGAGCCTAGACTTCCTGAAAGGGTAAAACAAATGTGTTTAATGGGAGCCACACACTACCTTTTATGTAACTCCTTATGCAAGTGGTTTTCTCCTCCCCTGTGCCTGAGAGATAATTACCCAAGCATGCAAACTTATAATTAAATTATCTCCGGTACAAACACAACAAACTCCCAAAAATACATAAAAACCACACATACGTGACATCACCTGATAGCCCTGTTCTGGTTGACCAACATATCCAAAAATCACCCAGATTGGTTAAGGGGTTTGGGATTTTCATGGAAGTCAATTATTTGACCGACCGTTCACATGGTCCAATGCCTAAAACAGCTCCAAGAAACCAGGGCTAACGGTCCGTCTAGTTCGGTAGTTTTTAATACCGAATGGGAGGCAAGTAAAACACAAACTTAATAAGCGATTCCTGGACTGGGGATGAGCACAGCACAAGCAAGGAAAAATAGGGGTTTTGTCACACAGCTCCCCCCCAGTTTCATGGGTCGGCATACCTGCCTAGACCCCAACGGGTTGGCTTGGGGGTGTCCAGTCGAGTGATAGTTATTTCTCTAGCTCCGGAAAGTGCCGAACCGGGACACCCAAGGCAAGCCACTAATGGCGGTTGGGGAGATTTAACTCCCGAACAGGGTCTTTGTATATGGCCCATAGTTAGTGGGCATGAAACTAGCGTCCACACTCCTCCAGGAGTCTGTGGCGAACGTCCAGGCAGAAGGGCATTCTTCACAGGGACCTAGCACAGGTCCCCCATGGTGGGGCATCTTCTAAAATAATTAACAGGGGAAGCCATAGTGTACTCCCCCAGCACTCACCTGTGCCCCCTGAGTGGGGTCTACTCAATGGAACGGGGACCTAGGGTCCCCCCGGCCCCCACCATGAGCGCCGGTTGGGGCCCTTGGTAACAAGGCCACCACCCATGAGTGGTGGGAGGGGGCCAAAAGTAACAAAAGTGGGGGGACCTATTGTCCTCCCCCGACCCATTCATTATTTACATAGGAGTGTGGGTCTTTAAAAAAAAAAAAAAATGTTTACACAACAGTGAGCAGCCACTTTAGTCCCTACTTTGTCTTATGTGTTAAAGAAAACTAGATCAAATAGGAAAAAAAACCAAAAAACAGATCCTGAGAGAGGGAGCGAAGAGGAAGCGATTGTGGAAAGGTAAGTTCAGCATGACAGTGCGCTTTAAGTGTTTCACAATGTGTCTGTTGAACAGGATATGCTCCAATTAAATGCAAGCTTTTAAAGTTAGTTGTGGTATTCAGCACATATTTGAAGTTTTGTTTTCTTCTCTTATGCTAAGCATTCTTATGTTCTAAGTTATCTAATTATCTAACAATCGCGTGGGGACTCACCTTTAACATTAGTAATCCATTAGGTGCAAAACCTCAAAAGATATTCCCTAAAGTATCGGATACTCTTGAAAAAGGCAGTCTGTCAGGTGCGGAAACATTGTACAGTGTTCATCCATATGTTCCTAATCTAAATTATCCTAATCTTACCTATTCTTCCTAATCTAAATGATCAAATTGCCATAAAATTGGAGAGCCTCTATTTGCTAGCCTATTTGTAAATAGGTGCAACTGTCTTCCATAGCTTAAATTCCATTTTCTTCATTATCTAATTCTTCTGTTTAACCATATTGGTATTAACGAACGTCTTCTGTTTGTTTCCTGTGGATTTATGTGTGTTTATAGTTGTTTCTGTAACATTTGTATAACCATATTCCACTGAAATGTGTGTGGTTTTTTTTTTTCTCCTGAGAACGTTTCATTTTAGTCCATCTCTAGTAATGCCTTGAGACTTACCATAGCTGACCCTTCTAAACTTCCCTGTTTTTAAAGTGATTAGTTTCACTTTTCAATTATCTCCAAGGCGCCATTGCATGGTCTCTATTCCCCAAATGTTCTCTTAGTAGGTATTGGTTATTACCTGATTTAGACAAACTGTTTGGTACTGCTACATGCTGAGAAAAGAGGCTGCTTTTTTTTTTTATTAGGTTCCAAAACTTGTTTTCTTTATCTGAACAACTTATATATCCTAATCAACAGATGGGTAATTAAAACATGTTTTGGATTCTGTAACAGATGCAAACCATTAATGTGTTTGTCCGTTAACACATATGCACATTTATCACAGTCTGAAGAGCCACTATGATTATAGATCCATATGACACAGTTTTTAAGTCAGTATGCTATTTTATCCTGTTCATTTTGCTTTTTTGCTATTTTTCTAAAAAAAAAAAAAAATTTCATGTTGTAAATGTGCATATCAAACTATTAAAATGATTTAGCTTGCTGAAGTGCTTTGTGTGTGAAGAGTGTGTCCTCTATTACCTTCCTTACACCCCCTGGCTGTCAGTCAAAGGGTCCTGTTACTCTGTGGAGCTAAACTCAAGAGGCAGACAATTGCCCTGAGCACCTGCCTTTTAAATACTTGTCATTGAATGGTGAAGAAGTCTGTGATTGGTCAGCCACAGAATGTCTGGCCAGGGTTAGACAGGGCTGTCTTGCAAAGCCTGCAGACAAGTGCATTAGACCTTCCCATAGGAAAGCATTAAATCAATGTTTTCCTATGGGAAAAAATCTGACGCTGGATGTCCCTATGCAGCGCGTGATGACATCCAGCATCGGTTACCGGACCTAAGGTCCGCTTGGATCCAGGAAGCGCCTCCAATGGCTGTCTAGGAGACAGCCACTGGAGACAGACATAGTGCTGCAATGTAAACATTGCAGTTTCTTTGGAACTTCAGTGTCTTACATTACTGCACCAAGTGCAATAGGGACACGGTACCCAGACTGCTTTAATGAGCTGAAGTGTTCTGGGTGCATACAGTGTCACTTTAAGGATGCTAGAAAGTTCCATGCTGTCCTACACACAGTGTGCTTAAATACCTATAGGACAACAAGGAATGCCCTGTAGATTTGGTGTTAGTAGTATTAAATCTCTGCTTACCCTAGGAAACACCAGGTATCAATGCATACTTGACCCTCCCCTCTGTCTGCTGGGTCAATTTTTTTTGGCCCAGACTTCTTGGTAAGCTGCTCTTTAAATGTATGTTTAAATGCATATTCACAGAACACAGTGTGAGTTAAATCCCTGCTCACACCAGTTATTCCAGGTTTCAATGGATACCTACGGCTTTTATGAGTCTGCTGGTGCTATTTTTAGTGGCTCCAGACTTATTGATGAACTGCTTGCAGTGCTGGAAGCAGCTCTTTAGACCCTCTGCAACATTAGTGCATGCTATGCCTTCCTACGATAGGCTGTTAGGACAGCAGAGCACACCCTAACATTTTAACCGGCCGGCTGGCCTACCTCCCTTCCCAGAGTGCGGATTGTCGTCCAGGGGTCTGCTTGGCAACCCAGGCAGTCCCTCTGCATCCAAACTTGGAGATCCGAGACAGCTTGTCAGTGCGATCACTGTTAAAAGGATTTGTAACCTTGGCTGAGACATTGTTCTTTTCCACTTTTTTTTTCCTTCACTTGGAGAGAGGCTGAGATTTTTTTTAAAATCCTTTGTTCAGTGTTGATCACAGTATTACCCGGTCATTAGTTTGATTAGGGTGATTAGTACTATTATTTTTATTTATAGGGTAAAAACATTTATTTTAATTTTTTTTACCCTTTTTGTCAGCTGCAGCAGTTTTTCATTTTTTAACCCCTTTCCTTTTGCCTGTTCACTGTACAGTATCTGTACTGTATGTGTGATCTGTGTGATCAGAGCGCTCTGTAGAAACCCCCCCCCCCTTTTTTTTTAATGGTGTTACAGCTGTTTTTTTTATTTTTTTTATTTTTTTTTATTTTTTTTTTACAGCTGTAATTTTATTTTAATTCTATGGTTGGGTGTAGGGTTTTCTGTAGGTGGAAGTGGGAATTGAGGTGTGGATGAGGTAGTGGGTATTAGGCAGGTAAGCGAATATTATATTTTTTTTGTAAATGTTTCTAGTTTAACGTGCAGTGATGCATCACAGAGAAATGACATGAGCTAAGGTATAGAATATTGACATGAGTGAATCACACAATCAACCTACGCAGAGGTGTAATATAAACATTTACAGTTGAAGAATGACCAGAAGAGAGAATGATTGCACTTTTAAAGTAAATATTAAGACTATCTAGGAAAGTATCTCAAACGCAAGACTGTTAACCCCTTAAGGACACATGACATGTGTGACATGTCATGATCCGCTTTTATTCCAGAAGTTTGGTCCTTAAGGGGTTAAGAAGAAAAAAAATAAACCTCTAAAAATGTTACTTGCAACTCCCAGCATGAGATATATGATAAAGGTATAAGATTAGGTATTGGGCTTATATTGGTTCCAGCTCTACTAGCCGTAAGCAAGATAATGTAAAAACAGATATTGAGAGCTAGAATGTTAATAACGCGAGAGTAAAGAACCACTGGATAGCTTGATTACACTGTAGTATAGCATACATTTATACAGTATGAAGTGGTAGGCCTGAATAATTCTAGCCACACCAAGATTAATGAAACAAACAGATTAAGTTTTGCTGTTACTGCTGAAAAGCGCTTTTAAATTATCTCAGAATCAGCCCGAGATGGCCATCTGTCAGCCCACACTAGTCTCATGCCTATTGGGAATTCAGATAAATATGGCCTCCACCAGACTCAGTCTCTCATGCAAGCTGACACATGTTGCCCACTTATCTGGACACTCCAGGTACTCCAATCAATAGCAAGGAATGAGCCCTCCACATGTTGACCAAGGCGAATGGTTCTCCCTGGATGTGAGCAATGTGAGGTATTTCCCCTAAAGGCGTGCAGCCCAGGTGAGTGGAAGCGTGGAGAGGGCTGTTGGAAGGCCAATGTGCCCTTGTTGCATGGCGCAGTGCTGACTCTTCTGCTGCCTGTGCACTCTTGTGCCAGTCGCTGAGCTCGTTGTCTCAACTTCGCTCAGAATCTGGCACATAAATCTTCAGTGCCCTCCATTATAGAAGGTAACCGACTAGGACTCTTTAAAGCGGGAGAAGCTGCCGTGTTGTGTATGGGCCTCGTGGCTGACATGGTGGCGAGGGGAATGGGGCTAGCAAGATGCTCAGGCTGCACGAGAGCAGAGAATTTGAAATTTCCTCTGTCCAGTTACTGCTAGCAGGCCGCAAGTTAGTCCAGATGAGTGACAAAGTGATCCATCATGAGTTAAAAATCAGAAGTGCTCAGTCTGGCCCCGGATAGCACAGTAAATCAGCAGTAGTTTAGCTTTGTCAAGGAGCACAGCTGTGCAGCATCCAGCCCGCTCGGCTGCAAAGCCCTGCCCTGCCTTACGAATATAACATTATATGGCACAGAAGGCTTATGTCATTCTGGCTGGCTCAAATAGTGACACTGTCGCACCCTCTGACATTGAGCCCCTAAACAAATCCTCCAGTGAAGATACCCCACTACTATCTACAAAAGCGTGCTTAGAATGGCCTGCAGTGCTAGGGAAAAGCTGGATTACACCTAAGCTTTACTGCCCCAGAAATACCTTCATTCACGGCTACATGTGGCATCGCAACAGCGATAAATGTTTGAGAGGCAGTGAACTAGTTTAGGCTCTTCATGTCGGATGACATATTTGATCTGATGGTTGAACAAACCAACTTGTATGTCAGCCTGTATCTGTTTGGAAGTCCGGAGGCATACTACAGTAAAATGTTGTAGTAGATGTTTCAGAAATGAAAACATTTTGGGCACGAAACCTAGTAATGGGTATTGTGAAAAAAGTGTCGGATCCTACTGGCACAAGCACCCTATCATGTCTATCCCTCTTTTCCCAGTGATTATGAAGAGGTATCGCCAACAACAAATGCTTCTATTCCTCTATTTTAACAATGACGCACTGTGTTTCCATAGAAATGACCCATTGTTGGACAGATTCTACAAAACGTGCCCCCTTATCCAACTCCTGTCTAAGAAACGTGCGTTGTACAGCAAGAATATCGGATCAGTAGACTTGGCTGATCAATGTATACGGCCTTATCTGGTGGTCCAAAGAACAAGAAAATTGCAATCTATTTATGCCAGGTTGCAATTTTTAATTCCCATGTGCTGTATAAAATAAAGCCATAGGGAAGTCATACCCATTTCTTGATTTTATGTTAAAACTTTTGTCCGTTATTTTAGTATATTGGGTTGTCTTGTTTTGCAAATGATATGCCATGATGGGGGTAATCATCATTCGTGGGCTGCCATACGGTCTCAAAGGCCCAGCAAATCAATCTGCCAAATTTCAGTGTGTAAATACTGAAATGGAAAAGCCTTATATCTGTAACTTTCCTAAATACTATAACACCTATACATGGGGGGAATCGTTGTACATGTGGGACATCACAGAGTACAAATATGTGTATATTACCGATTACTGAGTAGAAACAAAAAAGTAGAGAAAATGTGGTGCATGCACGGGACGCACGCTTCACTCGCTACACTGGAGCATCAGGAGTGCCAAAGGCACACATATTCTTTGTTAAATAAACATCATTTTAGAATAAAAGAATAAATGAAAATATAAAAAATTAGATGTATTTATATTAATCCCTTAGAAAATTGCATGAATCAAAGTCTTCATGAAGACCTGTTGGTCTCAAGGTGTCAAGATTAAATATCCACTTAATTTCAAATATTTTCAATTTATGTATTAGGTTATCATCTCTTCAAATTTTAGACTTTCTTGATTGCAAGGAACCTCATCCCCATAGAGTTGATTTTATGATTTATTTTAAAGTGCACAGAAACATTGTGATTTTCGTACTTATTTAAAATGTTGCAGCAATATTCTGCTGTTTTTTATGGAGGGGAGGGGGGTGCCGACCACATAAGTTATTGAAAGGACAAATCAAGATAAATACCATATTATTAGAATAACCGGTAGTTAACTGATCTGATTTGTTTTGGTTTTTAACATGGGGATCTTCAAAAACTGTTAAATGTTCCTTTTTTACTGCCTGTTATTTTACATCCTTAACAATAACCACAATTACATTTTTAAAAATATTTTCTATCAGAAAATTATAAACCCAAATCTTTGTTAGGTACACCTCTATAAATCATGTAACGTTTCTGGGGGAGGATATCGGCTAGCTCTGGATCATTTAATAAAATAGGCCAATATTTTGTTATCCTTCTGATTTGTTTATGGTGGTGTTAAAATTACAACTAAAAGGTACACTTTTCTTAATCCCACCTTTTGTTGATGTTCCTTTGTTTTAGAAGTTAGGAGTTCTCTGTTAGAATTTGCTACTTCCTTACATATCATAATGTAGTTTTACTTGTGTAAAGAATTTCTTCTTATCTGTACAGTTACATCTAGTTTGAATAAACTGTCACTTGGGGATATTTGATAGCCACTTAAGGTAATGATAACTCTCTTAAAGCTGCATTCCCGGCACTACCGATCCCTCTGCTTCCCCCCTCCCGGTAAATAAACCCTTTATTTACTTTTCTTATCCCAGCGCCGATGTCCCTCGACGCTGGGTTGTATCCCCGTACCCTCCTCGGTACTGCGACAAGCGGGGTCTAATGCACACATGCAGCGAGTGCATTAGAACTCCCCACAGGAAAAACTAACAAGCTAAAGAAGTGTGCCAGTTAGGACTGGGATAAATGAGAGAAAATCAGTAGACATGCCAGATGCCCACATGGTATTTACAGACTGGAATAAGGTCAGAACTAAATTATAAACACAAAAATAAATACATTTTATTAAATAACACTAAACATACAAGTGTTTGAATACGTGCTTATGTACTAAACGGTGGAGAAAAGAATAAGAAATAAATGTTAAACCAGTATAAGAACTGTCGAGATCACTGTTGCCACTAGAATACTGATATGGTATATAGTTTATCTGCGAGATTGATTCTAAGGAATCTGGTAATCGTGGCAATAGGGATTAGTGATATACAGGAAGTGCAGAATTATTAGGCAAGTTGTATTTTTGAGGATTAATTTTATTATTGAACAACAACCATGTTCTCAATGAACCCAAAAAACTCATTAATATCAAAGCTGAATATTTTTGGAAGTACTTTTTAGTTTGTTTTTAGTTATAGCTATGTTAGGGGGATATCTGTGTGTGCAGGTGACTATTACTGTGCATAATTATTAGGCAACTTAACAAAAAACAAATATATACCCATTCCAATTATTTATTATTACCAGTGAAACCAATATAACATCTCAGCATTCACAAATATACATTTCTGACATTCAAAAACAAAACAAAAACAAATCAGTGACCAATATAGCCACCTTTCTTTGCAAGGACACTCAAAAGCCTGCCATCCATGGATTCTGTCAGTGTTTTGATCTATTCACCATCAACATTGCGTGCAGCAGCAACCACAGTCTCCCAGACACTGTTCAGAGAGGTGTACTGTTTTCCCTCCTTGTAAATCTCACATTTGATGATGGACCACAGGTTCTCAATGGGGTTCAGATCAGGTGAACAAAGAGGCCATGTCATTAGATTTTCTTCTTTTATACCTTTCTTGCCAGCCACGCTGTGGAGTACTTGGACGCGTGTGATGGAGCATTGTCCTGCATGAAAATCATCTTTTTCTTGAAGGATGCAGATTTCTTCCTGTACCACTGCTTGAAGAAGGTGTCTTCCAGGAACTGGCAGTAGGACTGGGAGTTGAGCTTGACTCCATCCTCAACCCGAAAAGGCCCCACAAGCTCATCTTTGATGATACCAGCCCAAACCAGTACTCCACCTCCACCTTACTGGCGTCTGAGTCGGACTGGAGCTCTCTGCCCTTTACCAATCCAGCCACAGGCCCATCCATCTGGCCCATCAAGACTCACTCTCATTTCATCAGTCCATAAAACCTTAGAAAAATCAGTCTTGAGATATTTCTTGGCCCAGTCTTGGCGTTTCAGCTTGTGTGTCTTGTTCAGTGGTGGTCGTCTTTCAGCCTTTCTTACCTTGGTCATGTCTCTGAGTATTGCACACCTTGTGCTTTTGGGCACTCCAGTGATGTTGCAGCTCTGAAATATGGCCAAACTGGTGGCAAGTGGCATCGTGGCAGCTGCAGGCTTGACTTTTCTCAGTTCATGGGCAGTTATTTTGCGCCTTGGTTTTTCCACAAGCTTCTTGCGACCCTGTTGACTATTTTGAATGAAACGCTTGATTGTTCGATGATCACGCTTCAGAAGCTTTGCAATTTAAAGAGTGCTGCATCCCTCTGCAAGATATCTCACTATTTTTGACTTTTCTGAGCCTGTCAAGTCCTTCTTTTGACCCATTTTGCCAAAGGAAAGGAAGTTGCCTAATAATTATGCACACCTGATATAGGGTGTTGATGTCATTAGACCACACACCTTCTCATTACAGAGATGCACATCACCTAATATGCTTAATTGGTAGTAGGCTTTCGAGCCTATACAGCTTGGAGTAAGACAACATGCATAAAGAGGATGATGTGGTCAAAATACTCATTTGCCTAATAATTCTCCACTCCCTGTATGGGTGTAGGGAAGAACCTTGCATAATAAGTATTTAACCAGTATGAGAACTGTCAAGATCACTGTTGCCACTAGGATGCCAATACGATATACCATATCTGCATCCTAGTGGCAACAGTGATCTCGACAGTTCTCATACTGGTTAAATACTTAGTAGGTCACTTACTCTTTGTTTTTAGACTGTAGGTATTCTAAATTGGCATCTTGATGAAAGGATAACTAAAGACACATACGTGAAGTGGTCTGAGTGCAATCCTGTCATTTTAACCATGCACTGCAATACAACATTGCAATTTTGTAGAAAAGGGTTAAATAGACATCTGGTGACAGTCTTCCTGACAGTCAATAGAGACACTTCCTCCTCCTGAACAGAGTGAAACTCAGTCCTGGAATAAATTGTTGCTGATAGCATTTGATTGGAGAGGTGTGGTGTTTGGCACACAGGTCTAGTTCCAATCCATTGCATCTCTATGCGAAGCAATTAATTGAAGGAGATTGCAGGTGATGTCAGCTTGGATACTGACATCACCTGAGAAGGAGCTAAAAGGTTGCAGTGGAAGAGTTGCAGCACTGGAAACAAGCTAAGTAATCTTTATTTAATTTTACTGAGCGAAGTGGGGAGGTGTTGGACATTGATAAATTAACTATAAGGGAACATATTGTCCCAAAATAACAATTATTTTTGGGACTATAGATTCCCCTTTAAATATAAAAAGGAAAAGAGGAAAAATTAAACCGCATAAGATATCAAAAGTTAGTAATACTTCCACACTTAAAATATGCTTACAGAAACAATGGCCACCAAAGTCCAGAACTCAGCTTTTCTCTCTTACTAAATTAACTGCTTTTTTTCTGGGGAATTGTTTCTCCTTTAAGCATCTTATCTGCAAGTGCTCAGAAGACATACTATACAAATCCTTACTGTGCTGTATGGATATTTTCTACTTGTTGGATACAACTGATATGTCTTTTTTTAAGGGGGATACTCTACTAAGTAAGGTTGAAATTCCAAATTGGACTCATGGTCCAGGCATTCTTGTACCAAAAAGCCTGCCACTCTTACAGGTTCTCTGGAATATGTGTGTCCTCCACCACATTCAGTGATCATGTACACTTCGTGAGACCTGCAGCATTTGTCCTGGAAGGTTCTCTTGCTCTTGGTTATTGCTTCATCTAGGAGGGTTTCCAAGCTTTCTTCTTTGTCCTGTGCTTCCAATATCCTTTTCCCCCCATCAGAATAAGTCTGTTTTATGCACTTCCTATATCATTTTGCCTACTTCTTCCAGCAATCTGGAGATAGTGTCTCTTGTTGTCTTTAGCTGGCCAGTGATCAGGAGAGCTTTTTCACACTCTGTTCACACCCTGTTGTATGTGGTGCCAAGAGCCTTCAAGTATTCGGTTGAGTCCCACTAGGTCAGTGATGGCGAACCTTTTTGAGCCCGAGTGCCCAAACCGCAATACATGCCAACATTTTTTCTCCTTAAAGTGCCAACACGGCAATTAAACACAAATACTGAGGTTTAAGTTTAGAAAAAAAAAAAAACTCGTACTGTTGTCCGAACTAATAACTTTTGTTTTAAAAGAACACAGAGAGTTCAATGATACAAATTTTAAATAGTGATATAAATAGATAAAATTAAGCTTATATTTATTAGTATCTCCAACAAATGCAATACATACATAGACAGACTGCTGAATACATACACACAGTCTGCTGAATACACACACACAAGACTGCTGAATACAGAGACTGCTGAGTACACACACACACACACACACTGCTGAGTACACACACACAGACTGCTGAATACACACACAGACAGACTGCTGAATACACGCACACACACACAGACTGCTGAATACACACATACTGCATTGAGGTGGGGGGTGCGTGTGAGTGTTGTATGTGAGGGGTGCTGTGTGTGTGTGGGGGGGTGTTCTGTGTGTGTGTGCTATATGTGTAAGGGTGCTGCGGAGGGGTAGGGGTACTGTGTGTGGGGGTAGGGGTACTGTGTGGGGGGGTGGGGTACTGTGTGGGGGTTGGGGTGGGTACTGTGTATGGGGGTGGGGGTACCGTGTATGGTGGGGGGTAGGGGTACTGTGTATGGGGGTGGCTACTGCTGGGGGGGTAGGGGTTACTGCTGGGCACAGGGGTTACCGCTTGCTGGGGGTTACTGCTGGGGGTAGGGTACTGCTGGGGGGGGTACTGCTGGGCAGGGTGGGGGTACTGCTGCAGGGTAGGGGTACTGCTGGGGAGGGTAGGGGCTGCTGGGGAGGGTAGGGGTGCTGGGGGTAGGGCTACTTCTGGGGGGGTAAGGGTGCTGTGTGTCAGTATACCCCCCCCCTCCTTCTTCTTACTTTTAATGAAGTGGGGGGGGGGGACACAGCTATCCCTGGTGGTCCGGTGGTGGTAAGCACTGCAGGGGGAGGGCTCCAGGAAGCAGCTCCCCTGTCCTCCGGCGCAATGCTGTGTGGAGCGTTGCCATGGTAACGCGCGGCAACGCTCCACACAGCATCGCGCGGGAGGACAGGGGAGCTGCTTCCTAGAGCCCTCCCCCTGCCTCCCGACCCGGAAGCAGAGTAGGCGCCTGCCGTTTCGGGCAGGCAGGTGCCTACTCTGCAGAGATGGCGAACCTGTGGCCGCGTGCCCACAGAAAGGGCCCCGCGTGCCACAGGTTCGCCATCACTGCACTAGGTCATTTTTTCAGGTTTTGGCATTTATTTTGACCATCGGATTAAGTCTCTGTTTGAGTTGGTTCTTTTGTGAATCAACCCGTACCCAACATAATTACCACCTGTTCTAGAGCGTTGACATGAGGCTTCTATAGAGCAGAATTGCAAAATGATTATTGGTACTCTTTGTATATTTTTCCAAGGTCTATGGTTTGTGTAAGGTCTGAACCCCTTTACGTGCCCACCCTGTTCTTATTTGTCTCATACCTTTGCTGCTTGGGTAAGTGTGTTTTTCTTTTTTTGTTTACTTTACTCCTTTGCATATGAGTGAGTTAATCTTTTTCCCAAAGACATTCTGGTTGATAACATAGAAATGTAATGTAATGTAGTAAAACTATGTTGGTAACACTTAAATTTCCTTTGAATCATGCCCTCATTTTACAGATCACTAATATCTTAATTCCCGTTTCCTTTTTTCTTGCTAACCTTTGTTCTTCCTTTGCTGTCACAGCTGTTCCTTAACAGTCAGTCTTGTACATTTATTTATTTATTTTCCCAAAATGTTTACCTGCCGTGACTTTTTGGTACATGCTGAATGCAGACAGGGGTATTAGGACAAACATTGCTCCTGAAGTCTTGTCACTTCCTTGCAAAGTATATAGAAATATAAAAATTCATCATGTTTCATCTCAAGTATGCTTACATCAAACCTTTTTAAATTGTACTCTGTTAATTTAACTATGGCATCCTGGCAGGAAGTTGAATAAGTTAATCAGACTAACAGATATCTCTCTCTCTCTCTCTATATATATATATATATATATTTATTTTATTGTGCAAAAAATATATTTGTACAAACAGGATGCTAATGCCACATTGGCCAATATTTTGACATTTTAAACCTTGGTGGTGTAGCAAACGACAAACTGCGCATTTTTACAAAATGCTGTGCGCTGACAGCCGTTAACATTGATTACAGCTAGGGTTGCACAGACTGAAAACACAATGGCATGAAGTCATACAATGATACATTAAAGCTTTGAGTCAATCATGTTCTCTATCCGGGTCCTGTCTCCAGTGTTTAGTGAATAGGAGTGAAGATCCCAAACACCCGCTAACTTCCTCTGGTGGGAAAGGGGGGGGAATGGTGGTGGTGGGGGTACTAGTGGGTATATTTGTTCTGAGGTCATTGATACCAGTCGTGGACTAAGTCAGAGGTGCGAGTGAGAGGTCTTGCCGACCAGTATGTACCTCGACCTTATTGCGCATTGTTTCCAGCTATGTTGGTGCAGGGAGGGTGACCGCCTCTAGGTTGAAAGGTGGCAAATATGCCTCTGTAATGAGGAGGGAGGGGTGGGTGTGCTGTGTAAATTCAATCCTGACTTGTTAAGTTGGTATACTGTTGGGGGCAGTCTAGGGAGTTTTGTCCAGTCTCCCCCAATAAGGATGATGCTGTCACCCCTTGTAATGGGAGAGTATTTAAAAACCATGTCAACCATGGTCTCCAAGCGTTCAGGTATTCGTCGTACCTGTGCGAGAAGGAGTAAGATAGCTGCTCCATTATCCTGATGGAGTCTACCTTCTGAATTTACTCTTTAATGGAGGGGTTTGTGGGCCGTTTCCATTTAATGGGGATTAGGCTGTTAGCGGCTGCGAGGAGATGGTTTAGCAGCAATCTGATCTGTTTGGGCATAAGAGAGGGATATAGCATGAGCAACATAGACTCGGAGGTATGTGGTAGCTGTACGCCAGTGATTGAGTGAATGAGGGATTTCATTTTTCCCCAATATAATTGTATAGTGGGGCATGACCACCAAATGTGCACTGGCGTGCCTATTGCCTGTTTGCATCTCCAGCACGTGTTGGGTGAGTTGGGAAAGAATTGATTAACCCTGGTCGGGTCGGTGTGTAGTGCCACCTTGAGATTCTTTTGTATTTCTCCTTGTAGGTGCTGGTGCTTAGGGATGATTTGAAGATGTTTGTGAAAATACGTGTCCATTCCCTGTCCTACAGGGTTATCCCTAGTTCTTTCTCCCACTGTTTGGTAAAGTCTGGGAGGTAGTCATCTTGTTTGTTCTGGATAATTTTGTAGAAGGTGGATAGATGTTTGGTCTTTAAACTATGTGTGGAGCATATTGTTTCAAATTGGGTGGCTGTTCCAGAGCCCTTTAGGATAATGGGGTTAGCCTGGATATAGTGAGTGATTTGCTTATGTCTCAACCGAAGCAATTCGGTTTGCTGGTCCTGTGGTATGAGTTCGTTGAAGGATCGTATACCCTCGTCTGTCAATAGCGTTCCAAGTGATAGAACGCTGGAATGGTTCTGGCTTAAGATATACCATAACGGGTTGTTTGTGAGTGAGTACAAAGGAGAGGGATGTGGTGCTATGTTTGGGATCTATCTGATCTTCGACCACAGCAGTAAGGTCGGTGTTACAGTGGGATGTGGCGCGTGGCCCGGTGTTAGGCAAGGCTTTCCCTTCTCGTGCCACGGTATCGTGTGAATGGGGGCCGTGAATGAAGTAGCTTCCAATTGCACCCATTGTTTGGGGTTGTGAGGCTGTGCCCATTTATAGATTCTGGTGAGTATGATGGCTTGGTGGTAGGTTTCTAGGTCCGGTAGACCCAGGACCCCCTGTACTTTCTGCCTGGATAGTCAAGTATACTTTAGTCTAGGGTGTTTATTAGCTCACAAGAAGGACGAGAAAAGGCGTTTCACCTTTATGAAGAAGGGAGGAGCTATCCTGATGGGCAGGGTTTGTAGTAGGTAGAGTAATTTGGGAAGCACATTCATCCTCAGAATGTTTATTCTACAGAGCCACCCAAAGTACAGCTTGTTCCAGGCCTTGAGGTCTGTGGCAATGGATGTCAGTAATGGTGGGACGTTCAAGTCGTATGTCTGCGGTAACACTTTAGGTATATGTATCCCTAGATATTTCACTGCCGCTGGTGACCAGCTGAGAGGGAATAGTTGTGTTATGGCGTCTTTGGTGTTAGAGATATTGAGTGGTAGGATCTCGCTTTTAGTGACATTTATCCTGAAGTTGAACACCTCAGCATACGTGTCTATTTCTGTGAATACATGGGGGAGTGATGTGGTCGGGTCTGTGATCATGAAGAGCTAGTCATCTGCAAAAGCGGAGACTTTGTGTTCGTAGCCCTGTGCAATAAAGCCCTTAATGCCCAGGTGGTCCCTAATTCCTTGGAGGAAGGGTTCAATGGATAGGATGAAAAGGAGAGGAGAAAGGGGGCACCCCTGTGTCTTGCCATTGGTAATGGTCACTGTGTCTGATAATTGGCCGTTCACCCTGATCCTGGCTATATTCTATATTTTTTATGTTTAGGAACACTCTGGCTGGATAGTTCACTCCTAACTTTAATGAATTGTTATAGATAACATAAATGGATTCTCACCTTTGTTATTGCAGTTATACTTGCCCTGACCGGTATATGGTTGAGAATTCAGGTGGTCCTAGCTCTCCCTCTTCTATTTTTCAGGATGCTGTTTAATTCATTAAAAACCTAAATGATGCTATTAAGCTGTATGATCATTGCATGGTACACTTTACTAATTGTAAGTGTAAAAAGGCAAATCTATTGCAAGCAGATCTAAAGCTCACAGGCTGTGTGCCATAACACTTAATTCTGTTCTGAAGGCGGTGGATTGAAGGCCCTGTGCTGAATTCTCTTTTCCTTTTGTGTCAGTAGTTATAATTCTATAACCCTCTATCTGTAATCTCATCTGTGTCTTTAACTTAATTTGTTAAGCGCTTTAAATATAATGATTGTATAAGAAATGTAAAATACGTTTAAGAATTTTAGATAAACTAAGGATGGGTTTGTGCACATAAAGAAATCCCCAATAACATGATGGGGGGTACTTTATCCTAGCAGCAGTCATTGCAACCCGTTGCTAAAACTGGAACCTGAATGAGTGCTGTATCGAACAGCTGTTCTCAACAGGTACATGCTTATCAACTGAGTGACAGAGAACTGTCCCCCTCACCTGTCATTCATACTGACATCCACTCTCTTGCTGCTGCTTAGCTTAATTCCACCTGAATCTGTTATTTTAAATTTCAACATTGTACAAACCTCTTGTACAAAGCACTCTGTATAAAAACCTGGGAAAGCTTAGACAGTGGTAAAAAAAAAAAAAAGTCAATGTAAAGAGCAATCTGTAAGATCTTGGGGTGGCAATACAACGAAATTCAGGAGAATGTCGTTAAACAAAATCTGATGTGACAAAAATCACATTGCATGTTTATATAACTAATATGATTAGAAAAGATCTTCATGAACTAAAAAAATAAGTGAAAATGAAAAAAACTGAATAACACTGTAGGCAGAAAAATTACCAAATATCAGGTTAATCAGGAGCATAATGTGTTCTCTTCTGATCTAAAGTGCTGTCTGGCTTCTGAGCAATTTTACTGCCCCCAAATGTTTCCAAGAAAACTGTGGTACATGGAGAACTTCGTCTCCACAGATATGGCAAAATGTGTGCATTAAATTTGACTAATTGTCTTGTAATATGAGCAGGACTGATTGAGGTGTAACAATTCTCATTTACAAAAGTGCCTATATCTATGGGGAAAAAAGGACTCTAAAGTGTTTGATTTGTTTGGAGTATTCCTTTAATTTAACTTGGTCAATAGGGTTTGAAAAATAATACTATGAATGGAGTATATACATATGCATAACAACCCGTGCACTTCAAAATTAGTTTTGACGCTTAACCTTGTCCTTGATCATGGCCACAAATATTTTATATCCATTTAATTCACTGAATTGTGCTTTCCTGGGAAGTTGAATGTCTTTGGTGTAGTTAAACACTACATTATGTGCATTTATGTGAATCTTAACCATAACAGTAATATGTCTTAAACAATGACCATCCTGTTTTAAACAAACTTAAAGCATGCTAAGCAAGGTCGTGTGTAAAACCTCTCTCTTAAATTGCATACAGATTCCACTGAATCATATTTAAGTAGCTTAATATGGCTGCCACACCACAATAACCTATTTTACTTGCATTTAAAACAATTCCCCTCTCTGTTCTTTCTAGTTATGTGCATGGATGCAAAGATCAATTTTGACACTAATGCAGCATATCGCCAGAAGGAAGTGTTTGATCTCAGGGACTGGTCACAAGAAGATGAACGAGACCAACAAGCAGCAAAGGCTGACCTCAACTACATTGGACTGGATGGCAACATTGGATGTCTTGGTATGTTAGTATTTCCTGTCTTGGTATGTTAGTATTTCCTGTCTTGTGTAGCTTTATGGTTTCCTACCTTCAAATATACCTACAATAAATGCATTTTAGTGTTAACTATGTAAAAATTGGCCTTTATGTATCTCCCCCTCAAGCATCTACTTATTTTCTTTCAAGTAATAAATAAAGGCCATTTTTAGATTAGCTGAATTAACCAAGCACATATGTTTCCAAATGTTTAGGGCCAAACTTGATATGTGCTTGTAACAATTTGCAAACTTGCTTGTGTCTGTATCAAATGAAACCGTTTGGAGCCCAACAATTCAGAGTACTTGCACAATATTATCTTGTGACACTACTGGATTCTTTGTGGAGAGCAGCACAGTTTCTTTGTAGTTAGACTATCAACCTATGACACTTAAAATTGTGTGTTCTTCCCCACAGACCCATGAATATTTCTAAAAGAAAGATAATTTCAGAGCAAATCTATATATTACAACAATTGGCTTGCAGAGGCACATTCCTATACCTTTATTTAACTAAATGGCATCTCGACATTGAGTAGGGATATGTTTGCATTAAAGGAACACTATAAAAAAAGGAACATTTTTATTACTGTACATTTTTGTTTTAATTTGTAAATGGACACACGTCTCCTGCCTGTGACATATACAGCCTTCCTGCACACTTCCTGAAAAGAGTGTTTACTTTAGAAGTTCATATAGCCTGCTCTGTTAATTGAACTCTTATGCACATGTGCCTGTTGCAGACTATTAACAAATACAAATAAGACATTCTGGATTAAACACACTGTACTGCAATAGTTGATTGAAAATAAAACCATTTTGTTCATGTGCGTCACAGCCAGGGGAGTTGTGACTAGGGCTGCATGAATAATTATGCATTTGCTTGCTAGAATTGAAGAATACATATACAGTAATAATGAATACATTGAATATTGTCTTAATTGGTATTGTATTAGATTATTAGATGAATGACCATCCTTTTGTTTCTTTTTCCAAAAGGCATCATTATTAATCCCTTTTCTTTATTCTCCATTACCACAATTACCTAGATTTGTAAGTAGTTAAAGCAGGAGATCTTTCCTGCATTTTGCAGACTCAATACCTGGGTAACATTGAGATACAACCCAAGTAGTTTTTTAATGACAAGCTGTCCAATGATACCTTTGGAAAAATGTAGAGCATAAAAAGATGATTGTGGGCAACTCTCAAATGATGCATTTCATGTATTCATATGTTATTTAGTGAATGGAGCTGGTTTAGCAATGGCTACAATGGATATAATAAAACTTCATGGAGGAACACCAGCAAATTTCCTAGATGTTGGAGGAGGTGCCACGGTTCACCAAGTAACAGAAGCATTTAGACTAATTACGTCTGATAAAAAGGTACATGATGTTAATTATAAATGTAATACTGACATGGTATAAATCTTGATTCTAAAAAAAAAAAAAGTTACACTTTCTAATCTTGGTTTGTTAATGCATCCAGATACTACCAAGTGTGATGATTCTTGCAGTGTTGCATGTGGAAGTAAAACAAAAACAAAAAACCCCTAGAGGGCGGGGCCTGACTGCAATGCTGGCCGGACGTATCCTGTAAGAGCTCCTGCACCTAATCTATTATAAGCAGATATTCGCCAGATTGTACTCCTACTAGAGACTCTAGCTACAATGAATCCATAGTGTGTTTTGATGTACTTGGGTGTCCATTTTTGTTAAATAGACCGATTTCTCAATGGGCACTGTCTAACTGCTGTTTGTATACGCTCAAATCCACTAGACATTGTTTTTGAGTGACAGATTTAGCTTTAGTTTAAGGATTATATGGTTTGTCATCTCTAAGTCCAAATAATGTGCAATTTGAATTTTAAACATCTGCATCCATAGTAGAAATACTGAACTCAGAATATTGCGTTTTATGCAGACATTCAGAATATACTTTCAGTTTTATATTTAAACAATCAATTTAAAATGTTTGTATTGTGTGTTACCAAAGGGTTCTTTAAAACATTTTTTTCCTGAAAATTCTCAATTGCAACCTTCAAGAGTTTGGGGAATTTTCCAAGTAAATAGAAAATGGCACACTTTGTTTAGTGGAAGCTCTATTTTATTGTTCTTTTGTAAACATATCAAAGACTTCACTGAGGAATACTTTTGCTCATTGGAATTGCCTATTTATGAAAATTGTTGAAAAGGGGAGAACTTTAAACTTCCGCGAAGGATCTTCCGTAAATCCTTATTTTGTATGCCTGGCCAGGATTAATAGTAAAACGAGGCCCGGGTAATAGAGCTACTAGAGACTAAAGACTAAGCAAAAGGGAGGAGCATGGTGGGGAATGAGATTTGGGTAAGAATATCTACCTACTGCCTCCTCTGGAGTTATACATTTATCTTGAATGTTTTGTAATTAAGAGTTCTTCTTTAAACTCAAGGGGTGGAGTAGGGTTGGAAAAGGTTTTTTAAATCTTGATCAATCTGGAAATATCACTAAAATTTAACCCCTTAAGGAGACATGACATGTGTGACATATCAGGATTCCCTTTTATTCCAGAAGTTTGGTCCTTAAGGGGTTAAAATGCCATTGACACGCACAAATCATGCTAATTCCTGTTAAAAAAAATGCAATTAAGCTGTTTGACAGTATACTTGTAATTGTGGGATGCCACTAAAACCTACTAGTAATACAGCTGGCGGCATATGCAACTGACCATGGGTGTCATATTTGTAGTCTTTACTGTTCTGCCAATGGCACAGCCATAAAAAAATAAAATGGTGAAAAAAGAAGAGATGTAGTAACATTAAAACTATACAAGTACAAGCAAAGTAGCTATAAATGTTCTTAGATGGAATGTTATTAAATGTTTTAAAGTTTAAAAGTAAAAGGTGTTGATTTTGTAGAGCCAGGGATGTTTAAACAAGGCATTGCAAGTTCTATGTTTTCTCCATATGTTGTTCATATATAATTAACTTGTATAACAATTTGCTAAATATTAGCCGGAACAACTGGACTTATATTTGGGAAGTACATAAGGGCGTACTTAGGGGACACCCGTAAGAAGAAGGAATCCAGAGAGCAGATAACGGAGATCACAAGGAATATCACCTGACTAGTAAACCTGCACATGTACAAGGCACTGACCAATGCTCAGAAACAACTGACGGACATATTAAACAGCAAACATTTTCACCTCCAATAGCATACAAATGCTTTCTTTTATCTACACGCTAGTAAAGGAGGTAAGCTCCTAGCTCGAATGCTTCAGGGCCAACAAGCACCAGCTCAGGTGCACCGCCTATGCATGACAAAATGTAAATTAACCCAATTTCCTAAAGAAATAGTGGAGGAGTTCCAGAGGTTCTACGCTGATCTTTATAACATCTCCTCTGCCCCCTCTGATGTCCCCCCCCCTCCCCCAATCGGTGAGTAACATAGAATTAAACTGACAAGGTTCTACCCCAACCACACTGATGGCTGAGGAAGCACAATCACTGGATGGACCAATTTCGAAAGGACAGAGTACGCTTGGTCATAAAAACGGCAAAAGCTGGCAAGGCACCAAGTCCAGACCGGCTGTCAGCTGGCTACTATAAGAAGTTTGGACATATACTGGTCCCCAGATTAGGTTCTAAATAGACTCACTCAAGGGGAATGACTCCACGAAGAATCCCTGGCAGCTACTGCTGCCATAATCTCCAAATTTAGAAAACCGGAGAATTACTGCCCGATCTCCCTGCTCAACTTTGATGTCAAATTCCTTTCAAATATACTAGCGATGAGGCTTCAAGCTTTCCTACCTAGAATTCTCCACCCAGACCAGACTGGAATCATTGCTATATGCAAGTGCAGGTGGCTGCTTATGCTTTCTATGGATGTGAAAAAAAGCATTAGACTGGGTGATTTGGTATTTCATGTTGTCGGTGCAGCACAAAGTGGGAATTGGTGACTGGATGCTCAAATGGATTGAGGCACTATACTGTCAGCCGAATGCAAAAGTCAGGGTCACTGGAGCCCTTACTGATAGTTTATCTATTCGCCACGGTACCAGACAAGGGTGCACTTTCTCACATCTATTTGCCCTGACACTAGAACCATTCTTAGCTACTGTACGCAATAATACGCACATTAAAGGGTTGCGTTGTCAGGAATTGGAGCGTAAGATAGCAGGACAACATGCTTTTTTAAAATTTTTTATTTTTTTATTAAAGTGCCGCTGAGAACTCTCCCTGCCTTGCTCGGACAATTCTGGACTTACGGAGACCTGTCGGTTCTGAAACTGAATCCCGACAAATGTGAAATCTTTAACATTACCACTTCATCTCCCGACTGCTCCCTGGTTAAAACTAACTTTCCTTTTCAATGGTATGATAATCAGATGAGATATCTTGGTATTTGGATCGAAATCCTAAAGAATTATATCAACAAAACTTTGTGCCACTCCTACACAAGATCCAAAACGATCTCAGACACTGGAATCATCAACATATATCATGGCAGGGTAGCATCGTGGTTATTGAAATGAACATTCTCCCTCAGCTACTGTACTTCTTACAGACCATCCCACTGGCTCTGTCTTGTGATTTATTTGCAGGCCTGTGGACAACTGTTTTCCGTTGTGTGGAGGGGAGAGAGAGCGAGGAGGAGTTGAGGAGGCATGACGTGTGCCTCTTCCCTTTTTCCTTCAACCTCTTATTTGATTCACCTGTTCCTGTCTACTACTTTTGATCTCCCTTCCACATCATAGACTCCATTTGTGATAAGACATCATCCCACCCTGGCTACTGGTCAGAGTGGAATATTAGTTCTGCCTGCCAGAGGGACTAAATACGTGGGAACTCAGATGATGAGCAATAGTATGTGATAAAGCTGGCATAGTGTAGCCTTGAGAGGAATTGCAGATCTCTGACCAGACTTACATACATTCATGCACACCTGAGACAGACAAAGAGTTTATCACTGATGCTATATTCAATGTTGGACAATGACCGATTCGACAAGATTAAAAGTCACCATACAGTGGCAACTCTGATTGAGCTGACCTATCCACCTATAGTTCGATGGAGAGGTGTCGCTATTGATCTACCCCCTAGCCCTGGAAAACCACTTACATTCTCGATACTCTTTTGCATGATGCATTCGGTCGTAGTACTTGCTGCATACCTGTGAAATGGTGTACAATCACGCACCTTCTGATAGTCCTATCTCTCTGAGCATGTAATGACGAGTGCTGGCTGTAAATTGACATGTACATGGGATTGCTACAATTCATGCCATTTGCCTTGCATAGAGACCTTGCGTGGTCTGACCAGATATGAACAGTTAAGGGACCTGTATGTCTTGCTGAAATGCAGAATGTGTGCTAAATGTTGTTTCTTTACTTTTCTTGTACTCTTCTTGAGAATCAATAAAAAAAAAAAAATATTGATATAACTAAATATTAGCCAAAAACCTGGTTTGTCTCTATGCTCTTTGATTGTAGTGCCCTGCTGGAGAGCAGGTTACTGCATACTGCCTCGTAAGGAAAATCATTTTGTGTAACATATCAAAAAGATAGTTTTATGCAAATTAGAATCTTTTAGAAGCAAAACTTCATTGTTCAAGACTGCATCTAAAGTTTAGTGAAGATTACTTACATTTTTTAGAATCCTTTAAGCCATACTTTCACTGATGTCCCATAGCACTAAATAAATAATTGGTAATGTGCAGTAGACTGACATTACATAGGGAATAATACTGTAAGCATGAGATAAGAAAGCATTGTTGGCTTTACTAAGACCATAAGCCTAATAGGAAGCTAGGATTTTCTTGGCTGTTATCTATTATTGGAAAGGATGATAGCATTAAGAATAGTACTGTATCATTAGGATTTTCATAAGTAACGTGTTGAATATTCCATAGTCTGTATATTGAACAATAGTCTATACTTTAGCATTCTGCATTCATATGTTGGCAATTTAATTCTTCAATATAAACCATTGTTGTTATATCTGCAAAGTAATTATTTTGGCTTTACATTTGAATATATGAAATTCCTGCACCACATGCTATTTCTTCATATAGTAATGCTTGCTTTATTTATTTTTTTATTTTTTCAATAGGAGTAAATTCAATTATTTTTTGTATATAGTAATGATAAGCTTTGATTTAGGAGGAATGTGAAAGTGTTATTTGGTTATATGGTATGTCGTTATACTGCTGTAGTCTGACACTGTGGCAGTAGAATTTTGTAAGCAGGGAACATTTGCCTTCATAGTCTGTTTCGTGGCTGCATAGCATGTCTTCAATTCACATGTGGTTGTCAAGCTTGGTTATAAATCCTGTACATCATAATCTTTGGTCTTGTGTTTTTATAAATGTCTATTATTTTTCAATAATACATGCTTTGCTCTTATATTTCTTTTATACTACACAGTATTTTAGTTTAGGGTTAGTGTACTGTGGAGGGGATAATACATATTGTTAGTGTTAGGGTAGGGGTCAATGTATAATGATAGTGTTAGGGTAGTGTAGCAGTTAAAGCGGCACTGTCATGGCCGAATCCAGTTTTGTTTTGTTTTTTTAACCCCCCTCCCGACTCCACTACATCTAACTGACCCCTAGTCACCCCCAAATGCCCCTAAGCCCCCCATATTACCTATTTTTATTCTTTATTTTCTGCCCCAACCTATATTCAGGGAGCCACCATCTTTGTGTGGGTAGAGGAAGTCCCTGTGGGACACGTCATCTGCCCACACTAGATAGCCTGTGAGATTCCCACACATGCCCAGTGAAACACTTGGGCATGCGAACGGGAATTTAATCAATTCATTAATTCGTCAGAAAGACGAATGAATGAATAGCATTGTCAGTCAAACAAACACTGTGTATCAGTGTTCGTTTGTTCGTTCAGTTTATTACAAGGAGGAAGCTACCAGCGCGCAGCTCCCTCCTTGTAATATGTGAAGATAGAAGCGGCAGGGTCTTTCAGTCACATTTACGAATACTAAGTAAAGATTACTTAGTATTAGTAAATTCAGCCAGTGGCTGCTCACTGTTAAAAAAAACAAAAAAAAACAAAAAAAAAACAACCTATTGGCCCCACCCCTGAGCTGTGGGTGGGGGGCCATAATGGACAATCGGGGGGAGGGGGGGATGGGACCTACTGTCCTCCCCCCGGCACCCACCCCTGCGCAGTGGGTGGGGGCCATAAATTACAATGGGGGAGACGACCTACTGTCTTCCCCCCGGCCCCCACCCTTGAGCGGTGGGTGGGGGCCATAAAGATAATAAGGGGGGGGCTACAGTCCTCCCCCCTGGCCCCTATCCCTGGGTGGTGGGTGGGGCCATAAAGATAATGGGGGGGTGCTACTGTCCTGCCCCCACCCCTGCGCGGTGGGTGGGGGCCATAAATTACAATGGGGGGGGACCTACTGTCCTCCCCCTCCCGGCCCCCACCCTTGAGCGGTGGGTGGGGGCCATAAAGATAATAAGGGGGGGAACCTACTCCCCCCATCAAAGGTGACTAGGGGTCCCCAAGCCCCTAGTCACCCAGCCCCCAAAAAGTCACCCCTTACCTACCTCTCTCAACCTAAAAAATAGTGAGGGGGAAATAAAATAACTAACTTGTAAAGAAAAATTAAACTTATCATTTGACGTCTATAAAGCCTTGCCCCGCCCTGCAATTAGGCTAAGAACACTCTGATTGGTTGGTTTAAGCCAATCAGAGTGCTTTGTGTCATTTTACACAGCGTGGGAAGAGCACTCTGATTGGCTAAACCTAATATAAGCCTTCCCCCGCCCTCTGCGCAGAGCCCTCCATGGGTGAAGATGGATTATTTTTTTTGCGCTTTGGTTTTTTATTTTTCGTCTTTTTTTTTTTTTTTTACGCTCAGGTTTTTTATTTTATTTTAAGTTCGACAGGAATGATGTTTTTTTATTTGGCCTTTTTTGAAGATTTTAGAAAAAAAGAAGACTTCAAAAGGTAAGTTACATTTTTCTTTACAGGTTAGTTATTTTATTCTCCCCTCACTATTTTTCAGGGTGAGGGGGTTATGTAGGGGGTAACTTTTTTTTTTTTTTTGGGGTGGGTGATTAGGGGCTTGGGGACCCCTAGTCACCTTTGATGGAGGGGGGGGAGGGATTTGTCTTAGGACCCCCACCCGCCGCCCGGAGGGGGGGGGGAAGAGGACGGTAGGTCCCCCCACATTGTAATTTATAGCCCCCACCCACCGCGCAGGGGTGGTGGCCGGTGGGGGAGGACAGTAGGTCCCCCCCTCATTATCTTTATGGCCCCCACCCACACCTCAAGGGTGGGGGCCGGGGAGGACAATAAGTCCCCCCCCCATTGTAATTTATGGCCCCCCAGTCACCGCGCAGGGGTGGGGGCTGGTGGGGGGAGGACAGTAGGTCCCCCCCTATTATCTTTTTGTCCCCCACCCACCACGCAGGTGTGGGGGGAGGACAGTAGGTGCCCCCTATTATCTTTTTGGCCCCCACCCACAACGCAGGGGTGGGGGGAGGACAGTAGGTCCCCCCCCATTATCTTTTTGGCCCCCACCCACCACGCAGGGGTGGGGGGAGGACAGTAGGTCCCCCCCCCATTATCTTTATGGCACCCACTGGCTGGGGGGGGGAGGACTGTAGGTTCCCCCCCATTATCTTTATGGCCCCCACCCACCGCTCAAGGGTGGGGGCCAGGGGGGGAGGACAGTAGGTCTCCGCCCCCTCATTATCATTATGGCCCCCACCCACCGCTCAAGGGTATAAGTCCCGCCCATTGTAATTTATGGCCCCCACTCACCGCGCAGGGGTGGGGGCTGGTGGGGGGAGGACAGTAGGTCCCCCCCTATTATCTTTTTGGCCCCCACCCACCACGCAGGTGTTGGGGGAGGACAGTAGGTCCCCCCCTATTATCTTTTTGGCCCCCACCCACCATGCAGGGGTGGGGGGAGGACAGTAGGTCCCCCCCATTATCTTTATGGCACCCACTGGCTGGGGGGGGAGGACTGTAGGTCCCCCCCCCTCATTATCTTTATGGCCCCCACCCACCGCTCAAGGGTGGGGGCCAGGGGGGGGTGAACAGTAGGTCTCCGCCCCCTCATTATCATTATGGCCCCCACCCACCGCTCAAGGGTGGGGGCCGGGGGGAAGGACAGTAGGTCCCCCCCCATTGTAATTTATGGCCCCCACCCACTGCTCAAGGGTGGGGGCCGGGGGGGGGACAGTAGGTCCCCCCCATTGTAATTTTTGGCCCCCACCCACCGCGCAGGGGTGGGGGCCGGTGGGGGGAGAACAGTAGGTCCCCCCCCTCAGTATCTTTATGGCTCCCACCCACCGCGTAGGGGTGGGGGCCGTTGGGGAGAGGACAGTAGGTCCCCCCCATTATCTTTATGGCCCCCACCCACCGCCCGGAGTGGGGACCGGGGACGACGACTGTAGATTGCCCCCCTCATTATCTTTATGGCCCCCTCCCACTGCTCAAAGGGGAGAGGTCAGTAGGTCCCCCCCCATTGTAATTTATGGCCCCCACCCACCGCACAGGGGTGGGGGGAGGACAGTAGGACTCCCCCTCATTATCTTTATGGCCTACACCCACCGCTCAAGGGGAGGACAGTATATTCCCCCCATTGTAATTTATGGCCCCCACCCACCGCTCAGGGGTGGGGCCAAGGGCCAATAGTTGTTTTTTTTTAGTATTCGTAAATGTGGCTGAAAGACCAATTTAGGTCTTTCAGCCTTTTGGAAGATAACTCCCTAATACTGTGGGAGTTAGGAAGTTATCTACTAAGCGGCTGCAAGATGCAGCCGCGGCACAAATTGAATCGGAGTTTAATTCATTCGAATGAAATTCCAATATGAACAAAGTGCCGAATTGAGTTCTAAAAGAAACTAACATACTGTTCTCATCCAGTTAGAACACAATTCGGCAGTTTTGTCTAAAATGACAGGAAGCATCGCGAGATCACAGAGGAAAGGTAAGAATATGGGAAAATTGCTGTGACCAGCGGAAATGAAGCACACTTTGCTCCTCCGCTGGTCAAGCGGAGGAAACCTCCATAAGGCAAAGAGTCCCTACTTTGTCTTATGATTTTAAAGAAAACTAAAGAAGACAGGAAGAAAAGAAGAACAGATCCTGAGAGAAGGGGAGAAGTGTATATATATATATATATATATACACCCCCATTATTTTTGCCAAGGTTAGGTGTTTTTTTTTTTTTTTTTAAATGCTATAAAATTCTGTGATCTTTGAAATTGCTTTTAGTGAATGGAGTGCGTTGGATCTTGTATGTTATGTACATAATGAGAGGAAGCAAACCGTGTGGGGCAGCCAGATGATGGGGTCCCACTGGGAGCGAAACCTTTGCCATTCAACTTAGCCTTCCGATTTCTTGTTAATTAAAAGTTTGGTTATAAAACCCAGATTTGTAATGAAAAAGCAGAGGTTTGTGTAGCGAATGACAAACATTGTGTATCAAATGTTAAATTGTATATCCTTTGTGACAATCTGTGGTATAACTTCTGCAAATAAAATAAAGAATTGAAAAAAAAAAAACATAAAATGAGAGTGGAAGAATTAAGTACATATCCAGAGTTTGTGTTTATACATGTTGGAAGCAGAAAGAATTAGCAAGCGAAAAGATCTGAGTGACTTTGAGTGATGGGCCTAGCCTAATATGGATGGCTGGACGACTGGGTCAAACCATCTAAAAAATGGCAAGTTTTGTAAGGTGTTACTGGTATGCAGTGTTTTTACCTACCAAATGTAGTGCTAGGGAGGGCAACCGCTGTCACAGTCATGGGCACCAAAGGTTTGAGGAGTCATGAGGGGAGCAAAGGCTAACCTGTCTGGTTTGATAACACAGAAAAGTTACTGTATCTCAAATTTATGAAAAGCTTAGTGCTGGCTATAACAGAAAGGTGTTAGAAAACAAAGTGTATCGTAATTTGCTTTGTATGGGGCTGCATAGCCGAAGACCGGTTAGTGTGCCCATGATGACCCCTGTCCACCTCTGAATGCACTTTCAATGGGAACGTGAGCATCAGAACTGGACTGTGGAGCATCAAATAAAAAATTACTTTATCCCGAGTACCACATTTGAATTGTTAAATTATGTTGTGATACATTATTCATACACAGTACCTCTTCCTTTCATCTCTTTCAATCAAAAATGATAGACTCTACAAAAAAGTAACTAAATATATTAACTTTATTTTACAGGTTCTAGCTATCCTGGTTAATATTTTTGGTGGCATTATGAGATGTGATGTTATTGCGCAAGGCATCATAATGGCTGTGAAGGACCTTGAACTGAGGGTGCCTATTGTCGTCCGTTTGCAAGGTAAATATTCACATTCTTCTGCTCCATATTTAGAAGAAGGACTCTTATATGAGAGGTGTAATTACTACCAATTGACTGCAGTTTGGCACATTGGTGGAGTAAGTTTACATTAAGAGTTGTACAATACTGGACTGAAAATTTGTATAGATTGTGTTTTCACAAGGCACTTGTCATTATGGCAAAATAATGTTGACATATTTAGTAAATATTTTTGAGTTTACCTGTTTTTCATTGTACTTGTGCAAGCACTGAATATAGGCAAGCTGAGAAAACTACAGAGGTTAAAACACAAAAAAGCAAAACAAAAAACCTATCATTTTGGAGCCCCCTCTTCTTCAAGGGACCAAAAGTAATTGGACAATTTACTCAAAAGCTGTTTCATGGACAGGTGTGGGCTATTCCTTCATTATTTCTCTGTCAAAGGAGCTCTCAATGCAAGTCGAACGGGGCATCCTTAAGTTGAAAACAAAAATCCATCTGAGATATAGCAGGAACATTAGGAGTGGCCATATCATAACAGTTTTGTACATTCTGAGAGAAAAAAAATAAGACTGCGTTGGTGTGCTCTGCTACACAAAAATGCCTCGATGTTCACAGAATACATCAGTGGTGGATTATCATAGGATCCTTTTCATGGTAAAGAAAAACTCCTTTAAAACATCCCATCAAGTGAGGAACACTCTCCAGGAGGTAGGTTTATCATTATCTAAGTCTACCATAAAGAGAAGACTTCAGAAGAGCAAATACAGAGGGTTTGCCACAAGGTGCAAACCATTCATTAGACGTCGCCAAAAACCATCTAAAAAAGCCAGTCCAGTTCTGGAACAGCATTCTTTGGACTTGTGAAACTAAGATAAACCTGTACCAGATTGATGGTAAGAAAAAAGTATGCAGAAGGCTTGGAATGGCTTTTATCCAAAGCATACCACATCATCTGTAAAACAAGATGGAGGCAGTGTGATGGCATGGGCATACATGGCTTTCAATAGCACAGACGGTTGAATTCTGAATTTTATATAGATATATTGTCTGGTCAGAAAAGTAATTCATGAGTTTGAAGTAGAATATTCTGCAATGGCCGCGTCAATCACCTTATCTCCGCATCAAGCATGCAGTTCACTTGTTGAAGACAAAACGTAAGGCAGATAGACCCAAGTGTAAACACCACAGGAGAAAGCTGCAGTAGAGGCCTTGCTAAGCATTACAAAGGAGGAAACCCAGAGTTTGGTGATGTCCATGTGTTCCAGACTTCAAGCAGTCATCGCTTGCAAAGGATTGTCGACAAAGTATTACAAATTTACATTTTATTCATGATTGTGTCAATTTTTACAATTACATTTGAGCCCCTGAAATAATCACACTGTGTGTGAAAATGGAAATTCCTAAACATTTCATATATTTTTGTTCAACCTCTTGAATTAAAGCTGAAAGTCTGCACTTCAGTAGCATCACGGTTGCTTTGTTTGAAATTCATTGTGTTGGCATACAGATCCAAAATTATGAAAATTGTCACTGTGCAAATATTTCCAGACGTAATTGTACATAACGCAAACAGGCCACATACACACAAGTAGAATACGACAACATATACATACATTTCAAAATATAATAGAATTGACACTCCAAGGGACCTCAGAGCCACTAAAAGAATGCCCACTCCTGTGCTAGATGATGGTTAACATGACAGGTCTGTAATAACAAATGATTTACCTGTTTGTCATGAAGAGATGAATATTGCATTTGTAGAAAGTGAATTCCTGTATCTTTACTGTTTGCTGTTATTTAACCTTTTTTTCTGATTGTGAAATCACATTTCTTCAAATCTCAGTAAAGAAAGACCCTTTTAATAACAAAAAAAAAAAATGCAATATGATCATGTGCAAAGTGTAATAATATGCAATTCTTTACCAGGACAGACCGTAATAACAAAATAAGTTTAAGGATATAGTTTAATTAATCGATAAAATGTATTTTATTTATTGTTTTACTGTAGATACAATATTCTCTTTATGTACACTATAGCGTTACATAAAGAGGGCTATCTCTAGCTTTTGATGAGTACATATTGAGCAATGCCAAGAGATTAGTTTGGTTTTGTTTTAATTTCTTCATTATAATTCCCACTTTTCTCCATGAAAACTTCTCTCTTCTCCGAAGTATATTATATCCTATCTGCCATGCCCTTCCCTGCATTTTGTATTATGGTATATTTGACCCTCTTCCTATGGATTTCCCAGTAAATTCTTTCTTTCCATAATTGTTCCTGGTCACCCCCTCCACCCTCATAAGTATTCCTAACCTTTGTTCTCTTTTTACTTTTCTTTACCTCGTCCATTGTCACCTGTTATATTTTATTATTACCTTTAACCCTCCCCCTTTGCTGCTGCTTATAATCCCCCTTACCCTTTAACCGTCATCCCTTGCCCCATAGTATACTTCTCACTCTTCTGTCCCTTACAGATTATTGGGATATTACATTCCATGCTCTCCTGCTCCTTGATTCCCTTTATTTCACATTCTCTTCCCCCATATTTCCCCTGGATTCATCCTCCCTCTCGTCTATCAGCTGATCAGTTTGCAACTCCATCCCTTCTTCATTTTAAGCTCATTCCTATTGTCTATTTGAAGGTTGGGGGTTGAGAGCAACATTCTCACTTGTCTTTGGATGGAGTCTTTGTGCTGCACATAGGCACAAATATTCTCTTATTTCTATATCTGATCTTGCAGGGCTGATGAATGGTGCTGGATGAGTAATGATGTCATATTCCAGAAGCAGTGTTATGTACTATGGTGATATGTAAACAGATTAGTATTTTTTAATTTATTAAAAGCATCATTATCCAAGTCAATATCAATTATGTATGCACTCTTTCCAGTGATACTATGAGTCATGCAGTAATACAATGAATACATTAGAATTGTCACTCTCTAAGCATTACATGCAGCAATGCCTTTTGTGTAAATATACAAATAATAAATGTTATCTTTTCCTTTCATGCGATTTAAATGGACAAACATTTTGGGGGGTGACATTATTATGAACCCATTACTTTAATTAAGCTTAATGATTTTTATTTCCTCGACAGGTACAAGGGTTGATGATGCCAAAGCACTGATAACTGCCAGCGGTCTGAAAATTCTTGCTTGTGATGACCTTGATGAAGCTGCAAAAATGGTAAATGTGTATATATTTTGGAAAATAAAAGCATATATCACACAGATAAGTTGACAAACCTAGTTTATTCCCTTAGTTCCATGGCCAAAAGAATGTGTGTAGTTACCAATGTAATGAAAGTCTTGGTGGTTATTCTTTTCTTCAGTTTGTGTTTGCACCCTGAGCCTCATTTGCGAAACTTTTTGAACCACTTACTATTGTTCTATTGTATAAATCTCTTTAAAAAGGAGTCAGAATATTTGATTACATGAAGATCATGTCTTCATCTTCCATTAAAGGACCACTATAGTGCCAGGAAAACATACTTGTTTTCCTGGCACTATAGTGCCCTGAGGGTGCCCCCACCCTCAGGGTCCCACTCCCGCCAGGCTGTAAGGAGAGGAAGGGGTTAAACACTTGCCTTTCTCCAGCGCCGGGCTCCCTCAGTGCGGGAGACTCTCCTCCTCCTTTCCCCGTCATCGGCTGAATGCGCATTGCGCGGCAAGAGCCGCGCGCATTCAGCCAGTCTCATAGGAAAGCATTCTCAATGCTTTCCTATGGACGCTGGCTTCTTCTCACTGTGAAAATCTTCTATGTTTAAGCTGCAGGGTTAATCCTAGCTGGACCGGACACCCAGACCACTTCATTGAGCTGAAGTGGTCTGGGTGCCTATAGTGGTCCTTTAAGACCCAAGCTGTGTGCTGTGATTCTCCATCTTGAAGCAGTACAGACAGATTCTCATATTTAATACATAAATAAATACTGTTCAGCCACTGAATTGTGGGAGAGATGTAAAACACAGGCTTTCAGAACTATGTCTTGTTTGGAGAAAGTTTAACAATTTATCTTATATGTAAGTAAATATTGCAGACTATTTGAAAAATGATTTTAAACCTTTCTTAATGGTTGACACATGGGATACATCCCATCTGTAAATCTATTAGTGATGCCTCTGCCATTTCTTTGGATTTATGATTACTGCATGGGCTTAGGGTTGTACTATTGGTGGATGCCTCACAATTGAGAAGTTCATTAATAACTTATTGAAAACTAACTCCGGCATACAAGAACTGTGAAATGATGCTACATAGACAAGTGTTGCGCTCAAAATATACTTAAAGGGACACTATAGTCACCCAGACCACTTCAGCTCAATGGTCCCTCTAGGGTTAACCCTGCCTGATGTAAACATAGCTGTTTCTGAGAACTGCTATGTTTACATCTGGGGTTAAGCCAGCCTCTAGTGGCTGTCTTCTGGACAGCCACTAGAGGTGCATCGGCAATGATTGAGGGCATAATATGCCTCAATCACGCAGTGCGTCCATAGGAAAGCATTGAAAAATGCTTTCCTACGGACACTTTGAATGCGCGCACGACAGACAAGGATGCTGACGTTGGTGGGGGAGGAGAAGTTAGGGAGCCCAGCGGGGGAAAAGGGTGAGTAGCTGAAGGGGCACCCTCAGGGAACTATAGTGTCAGGAAACCCAAGCGGTTTTCCTGACTATAGTGTCCCTTTAAACATACATTGATCAAAGAAAATCTGTAAAAAAATTAAAAACATTATCTAGTGCAGATTATCCTTATTATAGTAATAATACACTGTTTCATATACATATATGAGGGTTACACTCACATTTACCAGACCCCTATTAACCCTGGCTCTGGGTAAGAAATGCTCCACTTGAGAGGGAATAACACCCACAATGCTCAGGCTTGAAGGCTTTGAAGACTTTAATTCTCAAAAGATGGCACTTTTAGGATGAAATAGCTGCAATTACTAAAAGTGCAATTTTTTGAGAATTAAAGTCTTTAGAGCCTTCAGGCCTGAGCATTGTGGGAGTTATTCCCTCTCAAGTGGAGCCTTTCTTACCCAGAGCCAGGGTTGATAGGGCTCTGGTAAATGTGAGTGTAACCCTCGTATACAGATTTTCTTTGATTTTTTTTTTCTTTAATCATTGTATGTTAAGTATATTTTGAGCACAACACTTGTTTATAGTTTTTGGATTATTTTGTCACTTTAGGTGATTGCAGCTCATTTTCACAAGCACTACTTATTTTTTAAGCGCTATGCACTTTTTGGTTATTATGATGCTACATAGACCCAGAGAGCGGGCCGGAGATGTCCACTAAATCTAGTACGTGCAGGAGTCCAGATTTCTGAATTTCCAATACCAGTTAGTAAATGAGATTAGTTTCTTGGGAACCTGATTGCTGTAGGAGCCCATTATACAGGGTTATTCACTAAAGTGAGAATTTGAGGTGAATTCAAAGTGAATTCATTTACATTTAAGGCCAACATTGCCAAACTGGAAGCATGGCTGACTAGGATAATTTGTCCAGTTCAGCTATGTTGGCCTTAAATTTGCATTTCACTTTCAATTTTTCACTTGAGTGAATAACCCTGATAGTTATCATGCACCTTAACTATTTTGCTGCATTCAGATAACCTGTATATACCGTTATTTTTGTCTGTCCCTCATAGTACATTTTATCATAAATCCCTATGTACTCGTCTGCGATGATTGATGTAGATTGTACTGTAGGTTACAGGAATTCTAAATTTGTGTCTAGACTGGTTATGTGTGTAGCTAAAATACCTTCTTTTGTTAGACAACTGTCCAATCACACTCCTAGTATGCCTTCGTTACCATCTTGGCATGCTACCTAAATGGTTTTTGTCAAATTCCATTGTTTGCCAAAGCCATATATGTTTTTACAATGTGAGAAAATATATTGCAGGCTGTATACTGATTCAAAACAAAATTATTTTTCTTTTTAGGTTGTGAAGCTTTCGGAAATCGTATCATTGGCAAAACAAGCACAAGTGGATGTGAAATTCCAGTTGCCAATCTAAAGCTTCCCAAAAAGAATTTTGTTGAATTTGAACATTTTTTGTGTTTTTTTTTTTCCTCTCCTTTTTCTTTCTAGACTTTAATTAAATGCTTTATGACTGTAAAATAGTTTGTGTTTAAACTGAGTTGCTGCTCTTTAAATCATTGTCACTTTACATGTGTATTGGAACTGTTTTTACATTCTAGACTAGTTATTCATCACATTGCATCGCGTTGAGCCAACTGCTGTATTGTAATTATCAGACATGCATTCATGTAACAGACATTCTGTGATTGGATGCTTGTTAGCTACATGCATCTTTAAATGTATTAATGTGTGTGGCAGAGTAGATAATCATATGACACTTATCGATTATAGAATATCAGATCAGGATGATACTTTTGAAAGCCACTATAGTAATGGCGTTTTCATATTCGAAACGGGAATATGTGGTTCATTTAAATAGTACAGTCCTAAATCGTGGCTTATGGTTATAGGAGACATATAACTAGAACTTTCTGCTTCATTGGCCTATAAATAATACCCCAGTATTGGGAATCTTAGTGAGAGGCTTCAGTAGAGTTAATGGCTACCTGCACTACATGTTGTGTGTAAATGTGGTCTATTATACATAGCAACACTCCATCAAAGATTACCACCCGTCTGTTATTCTTCCATGAAGTTAGGTATACAATTTGTACCTTATATGTTACTTAATATAGAGTCTTAATTAAGTAACCTATTGTTTAAGCAAAATGGGTATGAAAGGTACAGCCAGCAGGAAAATTGGGTCTTGTAAGTTGTTAACACAAAATAAAAAAATACTATTTTAAGATCTTGTCAACAGGTCATTGTTTCACATTTGTTTTCTAAAGTGCTTTTATTTATTTATTTTGTTTTAGTTACTGTGTTTAGATTTTTTTGGTTAAGCAGCATCTCTGCTTAACATACAGCGCATACCCATTGTCATTATGCAAGTTGTAACCAAGAATGTACAGTAAGGTGTGTGTGAGCACGAAGTATGAAGGTCAACGGGAAAAAAGAGGGCTTAATCCTAGAATGGTAATTGCAAAACAAGAGTAGAACATAGAGGCCCTGACCAGTTAGTATTAGGCAGTAAGGAGTTTAAAACTTAACTTTAAATGGATAATCGATAACAAATAAACTGAGACACTCCATATAAGACACAATGTTGCCAAAATAGTGAAAGAATGAAAAAAAGTGAAATAAAATATATACAATACTCCTCTGAATACATATATACAAGATATGCTAACTATAGTGCTGCAAAGGCAAACGTGTTATCTTCTATTATGTTATCCATTAAAAGTTAAGTTTCAACTCCTTACTATCTAATACTAGCTGATCAGGGCCTCTCTGTTCTGCTCTTATTTTGCAATAATTGTTTTTAAAAAGCCAGTCTCCGTGATCAGTAGTAATGAAAAATTGGCCCTCGGGCTGCGTGATAGCCCTAGTAGGCAGTAACTGTGATCACTGTCAGCTAAGGCTTATCAGTGAATTGTATTTGGCTCTTGCAGCAATTAGCCCAGTCTTCAAAACAGTGCATTGTGAGTTAGCTTGGGCTAAAATGGCATTATTGTTTTCTGGTCAGTGATAACAATGACAACCTCACCAAATAGCATCTGTGGGAAGTTTGCAAAGAGGGAAGTCTCCAATTTTAAATTATAAGTTGCTCCAAAATCTAGCAAAGTTATACATGTGGGAATTTACTTTGCAACGATGGAGCAAAATACAAATCTGGGGTCTTTGTATTAGTAGGACACGAAAGGCATGTGAAATCCACTACTTTACATTGATAAAAACATAACACAAAAATTAACAGCTAAATTTGGCAATAACTGATGATGAAATGGTCAAGTGCAAAGACACAGCAATGCCCCATGTTAAGTAGATCAAGTTGTATTTTTTTGCAAGTGATCTGCCATGATGTGGATAAAGTGCAGTTGGGAGCATATCATTTTATCTCAAATGGGACATGGGCCCACTGAGATTGGCCTATCTATGATTTAATCCAATAACTTCTCAAAAATCTGGCAAAGTCTACATCATGGGCCCGCCAAAGGTTTTCAGACGGCCAGTGGAAAATGTAGAGGGAGAGCCCAGGAGAGCAGGTCGGCATGGAGGAGAGGTGCAGAGTTGCAGACTGTGAAGTACCGGTAGCTGTCAGTGAGTTCTGGCCAATCAGTGTTGCTGTGGGTTACCACGGCAACGCACTGACTCTTCCAGCTTCAGAGATCACAAGACCTCTACCACATGGTTTGCTGCGCTGCAGACCGGAGATTTAGCACACCGGACATCCAGGGAGGGAGACCACTGGACCCACCACATAATGGATTACTGCAAATAAAAAATAGTATTTTGTGGAAGGATGATCACATTGTCACTCACCTGACACACTGTCACCCACACAGTCAACCTCCTTCATCCTGACACAATTACATTAACCCCCCAATCCTGTCTCACACACCTGCTACAACAATGCCACACTTAACACTCCCTTTCTCTTGCACGGTCAAACACCACCCATCCCTGTCACACTCATCCTCATCACTCTAACACTCGGAATTAGCCAAACAGAAAAAAACGACTTTGAGGTTTGTTCTTTTCGAGTTCACTTATTTTGGTATTAAATTTGGAATTCAATATGAATTTACCTTGAAGTCTTAACAAATGTAACTTTAGTCAATAACCCTTTTAGTCTGTGAAATTCCGTAGGAAAATGGAATGAGTGGGGTAGTGCAAAAAATAAAATGTAACTAGCAGATGCTCTTGGTTAAATAGCTTACTTTGTACAGATATATCATTTTTGTTTTTAGCAGTTTTGAATTCTGTGAGTGCTATTTAAGTTATTGGCTCAGCATACCAAAGTTTGTAAAGGTTTACACTGATATTTTTAGCCAACTTCATACAAAAGTGATATCATACTTTTATTATAAAATAAACCTTCCTGGGAATTGATGAGCAGACCAATATAACAATGTGATATTTGTTTAACTTTTGTCAAGCAACGTTAAAACATCAGAGAGAAATATTTTACATGAGAATTGGCATAATCTTAGTTTTATGCACAGCACTGGGTCAAAATTATGTTTTTTTGGTGCACACTATGCAGGTTGGGGGAGTATTAACAAACCTCTGTCTGTTGCTGCAATATCCCTGCTCTAGTTCCTGTGTCCACCTTGTGTGTCTTGCAGGAGGCGCCGAAGTGGTAAATTGCCCACTATGCATTTGGGTATCTTCTGTCTCCAAGTTACCCAAGTGAGGCAATGTGATTGGGTAACTTGGAGACAGCACCACTTAGTTAATGGCTACCTGTCGTTTTCATTATACTACCCTGACTGTTGATGCGGATAGTGCAGTTTTTTGGACTGGCATTTACTTTCACTGGTGGGCTGCAGGTGCAAGATTTAGGCCAGCAGTCATTTAGAGCATTTTTTTTGACTACCTACCCTCAGCTAAGCCAGTCTGCTGATCCTGCTGCTAGTGTGCTCCCCAGTGCCATTTAACTTTTCATTCATAAGACTCCACAGGTAAATCCTGGTTATATTGATTTGTTCAGGTCCAGGTTAAATTGATTAGTTTGTAACAGCTGAAATGTATTTGTGAACAAGTCTAATTCTTAGGACTCAAGATCAGGAAAGGGCTGGCAACCGTTTGGCCTGGGAGGCAAGTACAACTTACTTTTGTAACTCACAGATATCAGGTCTTATTAATTTGAAGTATGCAATATGTAAGAAAGCAGTATACCTAAAGTTGTGGGCGTTATCTGGCCTATATTAACTCTTTCATCAACTACCTATGGACATTCTCCCGGCGTTTGGAACAGTGACACGCACTTCCGGGTTCTGACCACCACTTTCCGGTTCGTGGCACTTTGTTACCTGGAAAGGTTAAAGGATCCTAACGTGTACATCTTGGAGGAAAGACGAAACGGGGGATATGATAGAAACATTTAAATACATAAAGGGAATCAACACAGTAACGGAGGAGACTATATTTAAAAAAAGAAAAAACTACCACAACAAGAGGACATAGTCTTAAATTAGAGGGGCAAAGGTTTAAAACTATCAGGAAGTATTACTTTACTGAGAGGATAGTGGATGCATTGAATAGCCTTCCAGCTGAAGTGGTAGGGGTTAACAAAGTGAGGCAGTTTAAGCATGCATGGAATAGGCATAAGGCTATCCTGACTATAGGATAAGGCCAGGGACTAATGAAAGTATTTAGAAAATTGGGCAGACTAGATGGGCCAAATGGTTATTTGCTGTCACATTCTATGTAATGTATATATCAGTGGTTCCCAAACTGTGTGCCGCGGTGCCCCATGGCGTGCACACAGGGGTGCAGCGGAATGTTTCCAAGGTGCTATGATTTCCCCAGTGCTACGAAACATTACTGCTGAACAGGGACCCGGTCAGGTGCCACGGTCCTTTAGGACTGCGACCTTACCCCTGTACTGTACGCCGGCTAAGAGTAAATGACAGCCTGTCACTTCCTCCCAGCATCCTGCAGGGAGGCAGCGCTGGAGGAGGCAGCCGCAGCATGAGGGGCGTGGAGCATGAAGAGCTCTAGACCCCTCACTCCCACCAGCAGCAAGACTTCAAGCCACCCTCCTTCCACATAAGGTAAGCTGACAGGAGGGTGGCTGGAGATATTAAAAAAAAAAAAAAAAAAAATCATGTGTATGTATGTGTGTGTATATATATATATATAATGTCAATGTGCGCCTGTGTGTCAGGGTGTGTATCTGTGTCAGGGTGTGGGCACGTATCAATGTTTGTATGTGTTGGTGTGTCTGTCTATATGTATGTATGTGTCAGTGTATTTATTTGCATGAACATCTGTGTATGTATGTATGTGGTAGCGTATGTGCATACATCCAAGCAAACACCAGCAAAACATACAAGCACATTCCTGCAATCTAACTCAAATATTACATACACACACCCCTGCATTCAAACTAAAAAATATATATACAAACATACCCCTTCACTCAAACACAAATGTACATCCGCATTTAAAAGTAAACATTGCTTTCAGACACAACCCTGCAATCAAACGCAAACATTACATACAAACACACCCGTGTCTTAAAACACAATAACTATATACATGCACCCCTTCAAACACTGTACATTATACAATAGCGCCAGTAAATGCAGCAGCGCTGTACAGATATGCAACCTAGCAATTTTGACTTAGGTTGCCTTGGAAACATACTGAAATATTAAGGGCACCTTGAACCTAAAAAGTTTGGGAACTGCTGGTATATATCATATGCACATACACCAAGGAATCCTCAGCAGCTCATTAGTATATTAGGCAGAAGGGTCCTGTGTGCCTATTTTTATGGGAGGAGGGATGAAGGACTCCAGCTTGTCAAGTGGGGGTTTACAAGGGTTTAATTGATGAGTGCAGTGGTCAGTGGAGGGTGGGTTTGGGCATATAATACGGAGTTTGGATGATTTCTAGTTGGAATCAGAAAATGATTGGGTCAGACAATCTATAACAAAGTACAGCTATCCTCTGTGATTGTCCCTGCACAGAAGCAGGGAAGCCTATAGAGACTGTCTCTATTCAAACACTGTCTGTCCCAAGGTGCATGCATATATGGCTGAAGGATCCTGTTATATGCTAAATGTATAAATTAGTTTTTCTTATTTTCTCGTATATATACCTCATTCAAAAAAATTATTTCCTTTCAAAACTTGATGAAAGGATTATTATATTACAAATAGTTATAAAGTGACAGTTGTCCTTTAAGACCATAGATTTTCAAACGTATTCTTGTTTGGCATCACACACAGCATGATGACGCCGCATGCACCAATAGTTCTCATAGAGAATCATTAGTTTGGTGGATTGTAACGATTGCTGTGCATTTGCTGTAGATTTCCCATGCTTCTCATCTGAAGTATTAGGTTGGACCAGAAATCAGAGGATTAATGATCTTAACGTGGGTGGGTTGGCGTGCACGGTGGTGGTGGTGGGGGAGGAGTTGCTTATTTTTCTGGCTGAAACAGAACAATTTTTGTTTAAAGATATTTAATATATACATGTAACTATTGAGTAAATATAAAAGAAAAAAAGCTGCTCACATTTGAAGTCCTTGTATTTGCTGTAAATCCTCATTATTTTCCACTTCTGTAGCAAACTCCAACTAAACAAGCGTGACTCAGCCCATTTAACTTTCTATAATCCTGCTAAGCTTCTACCATAAGCAATTCTTTATGAACAGAGCAAGCTATGCTGTAAATTATGCTGTAGAACGTTAAAGGCTGGCTTGCAATATCCAGAAATCAAACCAAACCAAACATCGTATCAAACATCATACACTGATCAGCCACAACATTAAAACCACCTGCCTAATATCATGTAGGTCCCCTTGCGCTGCCAAAATAGCTCAGATCTGTTGAGGGAAGGACGCCACAAGATCTTTTTTTTTCTTCTTCTTCTTTTCAATTTGATAATTTTTATTTTATTTTATTAAGACAAGATAATACATAACATAAGTGGCAGCTCACAATTCAATAAGCAACACGTCATGTGACATTATGCATGTTATTCCTGGTATGCATATACACACACCAGTAAAGATGTTAGCACAAAGGTTGTATGTACTGTAGCTGCAGCCGGTTCCCTCATTTACCATTATAACGTCTTAAAGCATAAAATTTAGCAGGGCTAACCATACAGATATCTTAGCCATAATTTTATATAGTTAGTAAGAGTTCCTCTACTTAAAATATATAAATAATTGAGAATACAATATAAAATAGGGATTGCCTTGGAAGCAGTCATGTTTTGTCTTTTTAACCACTTAAGGATGGCTGGCGTTCTATGCTGTCCTTTTTGGGGTGGCTCTAAATGCCAGAGGGCGATATAGAACTTCCCCAGCTTTCTTCATACTCACCTGGTTCCCGCCAATCCCACGCCAGTGAGCGCGATCCTGGGTTCTGCCTGGGAGCTCAGGCAGGCCCCCTCCATTGCCTGAATACGAGTTGTCAGGTATCAGCTACATCTAATGACTCATAATACCAAAAATAGGCTATATCAAGGTGAAGTGCTGAAGTTGAGGTCGAAATTACGTCCTATCAATTGTGATGTTTGTTCCATGGGTGTGTCAAGTGGAGCCCCCATTGTAAGAAAAGCAGGAAAGGTAGGGGAGCAGTGTAGTATGTGAGAGAATAATGAAGGATTTAGGATCGATTCCAACTATGTTCATGTGGGTTCAGGTCTTGCATTATGCCCATGAGTATGTCACTAGGTTTGGAGAGTAGTTTCTGTTGGGTTATAGATAAACAGGCACTCTGGGAGAGCACGGCTGTCTCACAAATTAGAAGTGATATGAACTGATCTCAATCCCCCATGTGAAAGCACAGTCTTGGTGCAGAGCCGTAGTTTGTGCTTTGTGTT